TAAGCTAACTACTAAAAAATAAAACATTTATACTTCCTTATATAATTAGTAATAATAAATTAGGTATTAAGACTTCTTTTCTTATTAATACCGAAGTAAATAAATATACTTTTATTAATTCCAAGTTTATAAGAATAATTAAATAATTTCTAAATATTAAGCCTATTTAATTAATATTATCCTATAATATAAGAGAGTTTAATAGTAAGCAGGCCACGCCTATTACTTACTATATTAAGCTTATACTCTTAATTAATAGATAAAAGGTCCTAATACCTATACTAGTTATAGGACTAGAAAAGTATAATATAATTTTAGGATAATAATAGTTTATAAATACTAGTATTCTAATTAATTATAAGAATAGAAAGTTAATCTAGCTAGATAATTAGCCTAGAAAGAAAAGTTAGGATAAAGTCCTAATTACTATATATAAGAACTTGGAACCTAGAAAAAGTAACTAGTACTAAGAAAATATAAATAGAAAAAATAAAGCTATAGCTATAAATAAGTTCTAAAGACCTTAGCTTATAAAGAGAAAACCCTCTTATTCTTTTCCTAATCCGGGCTCAGAAAGCCATATATAGTAAAAGAATTAAGCTTAATACTATAGAGAAATATAAGTAGCCTTAGGAAATATAGAAGTTTCTCCTAAGCCAGAAACAGAAATATTAAAACCATACTATCTAAAGAAAAGCTATAAGAGCCAGTCGAGGCCTATAGTTAATATTATAGGTATCTTACTAGCTGCTTTCTAGATAAACCTATAAAAAAAAGAACTTTTTCTTTATAATATTATTTTTTAAGATTAATAAAAAGCTAGAATTATAATAAGAAAATAAGTTTATTTCGGGTAAATAATAGCCAAAAGAAACGAAGCTATAGTAATTAGTAAGAGTCTTACTAGAGAAGTTTAAGGAATTTATAAATATTTTCTTAAAGAAAGTATTAAATATCTTATTCCTATATTAACTATATAACTATAAGATTTAGATTAATAATTCTAAAAGCCCAGAAAGCCTAGGGTATTTCTCGCTTTATTAATAATTAACTTATAAGCTATAGGAAATAAAGCATTTCCTTAAAAAGAACCTCTAATAAGGCTTTATTAAGCCAAGCTAGTTCCCTTTTATATCCCTAATTCTCTTTATAAAAAAGGCTAATAAAGCTCTCTAATTCTATATTAATTATTATAAGCTAAATAACTTAATATAGAAAAATTATTTTTTTTTCCCTTATTTATAAGACTCTCATATAGCTAGCTCAAGCTAAGATCTATATAAAACTAGATATTTAGTAAATATTCTATTAGATTTAAATAAATCCAGAATTAGAAGAACTCACGATATTCTATATGAGATATAAGGCCTATAAGTATAAAGTTCTTTAGGAAGGCCTAACTAATAGCCTTACTATATATTAGAAATATATAAATAATACTTTCTTTAATTACCTTAATATCTTTTATATAGCTTACTTAAATAATATTCTAATTTATTTAAATAATTCCCTAAAATATAAAAATCATATATAAAAGGTCCTTTAGTAATTATAAGATACTAGCCTTTAAGTAAATATTAAGAAATTAGAATTCAAGATTATTTATATAAAGTACCTAGGTTTTATTATTTCTACTAGAGATATTAAAGTAAATCTAGATAAGATAGTAATTATTAAGGACTAGTAATTACTAAAAATAATTAAAGAAATATAAAACTTTCTAGGTTTTTATAACTTTTATTAGTATTTTATTACGAATTATAGCTATATAATAAAGCTTTTAATAACTCTAATATATAAGAAAGTTTTATTTAAGTAAATAAATTAATATTAAGAAAGTTTTATAAAACTAAAGCAAGCTATATTTTCGGTACTAATTCTATATTACTATAACCCGAATTTTTTTACTATAATTAAGACGGATATATTAAATAGAGTTATAGCCGGTATTCTCTTATAATAAGACTCTTAGATAAGACTCTAGTACCTGGTAGCATTTTTTTCTAAGACTATATAATTAGTAAAGCTAAACTATAATATTTATAATAAAGAAATACTTATTATTATTCTTTTCTTAATTAAATAGCAAGCGGAACTAGAAGGCCTATAAAAGGCACTTTTTATAATTTACTCAGATTACTAAACTCTTAAGTATTTTATAACTATAAAGAAGCTTTTAGTAAAATAAGCTTACTAGATAAAGTACTTTTCCCGCTACTATTTCAAGCTTATATATTAGATAAGTAAGTTAAATAAATGAGCAAATACCCTAAATAGGAAATATAAGGATATAATTACCTAAAATAAGATAATAGTAGCTTACTAGACCCAAATTCTCTTCTTATAATAAAAGATTAATAATAATATTATATAAGATCTCTAGTTAGTTCTAATTAAGGCCTTTATAAACCCAGCTCAGGAAGAAACCTAGTATAATAATATCTAGCTAGTAAATAAGCTATTAAGCAAGAATCAAGAATTACTAAAGCTAGAGAAGCTATAGGATAAGGCAAGAAATAAGAAAAAAGATATTTAGATATTATAAAATAGCCTCCTCTTATAATATAGTAAACTATTTATATCTAATAATATAATAATACCCGAGATACTTCTATATACTACCCTTATTTAGGAAATATATATATAGTTCCTAATATGATACCTAGAATAAGCCAAGCTTTAATAGCTTCTTTAGGTCTACTATTACTAGCTAGGCCAAGATATAGATATTAATTAGTATAAGAATAACTATTATACCTATTAATAATCTCATATTTCTAGAAATAAGAAACCAGGGCTCTTATATTTATTACTAGTTCCTAACTACTTCTAGTAATATATATTAGTAGATTTCAAGAAATACTTAGAAAATAAGAATAAGTATAATATAATAGTAATCTTTATTAACTGCCTAGGCAAATACCCTATTATAATTCCTGTCCAAGATATAATAATAGCTAAAGAGTTAGTATCTCTATTTTTTACCTATATAGTTTACTAAGTTAGTATCCCGGAAACTATAATATCTAATTAAGGCCCCTAGTTTATATCGGATTTCTGGAACGAGTTCTATAAGTATATTAGTATAAAGCTCAAGTTATTAATTACTAACTATCCCTAAACTAATAGCTAGATAAAGATTATTAACTAGTATTTTAACTAATAGCTATATCCCTATATGAATTACTACTAGGATAATTAGGACAAATAGGTAGTAATAATTAACTACTAGTAGATAGCTCTGGTTTATGAAATTATAAGCTAATTCCCGTTTCTTATAAAAAAGGGCTATAAACTATAGATATTATTTAACTAGAAAACTCAAGTATAATTAGATATCCTAAAGGAAGAGCTAAATAAGTAAGAAACAAAGGCCCTAGTAATACGGCTTTATAAATTATAGTAAAGAGTATAGGAGAATATAATATAAGTATAAGAATATTATACCGCCCAAGCTAATAAGTACTACCGACCGGTAAACTTCGGAGTAGGAGACAAGATATGAATTACTACTAAGTACTAGAAAAACGACCGTCCAAACCATAAGCTGGCTTACTAAATAGAAGAACCATATAAAATCCTGAAATAAATAAGATATTTCTTTAGGCTTAAGTTTCCGGAATTAATAAGAATATATTCGGTATTCTATATAGAGAAGCTATATAAGGATCTAGGTAACTTCTTTCCCGGACAAGCGAATCCGGAGCCTCTGTTATTAGAACTATAAGACGGGGAAACGGAATACGAAGTTCAAGAGGTACTAGTAGTAAAGCTGCTCCGTAGGAAGCTTAAGTACCGAGTCTAGTAGAAAGGATGGGATCTAGATCCGGAGTAGTATCCCGCATCCTTATTAAGTAATAGCGCCCTGGCTTTTCAGAGCTTCCATAACAAGAACCCCGAATAGCCAGGACCGCCCCAGAACCTTCCCTATTAGTTAGACTGTACTAAGAATAATATACTGCCGGAACCGCATAATACGGACGGAAATCCTTGCAAGTTACATATAAAAGGCCCTGGCCTTTCATACGTGACTATAACTTGAGAATTGGACAGGGACTTTCAAAGCTCGGGAACGAGCTTATTTCGAGGGGGGGGGGTAATATTACGGTTATTACGATATACGGTACTAGTAGGGGTTAGACTAGAGCTGAGAGAGGCATCTGGCATCTGAGCGAGGCATCTGTAGTTACCTGATTATTGCACGTGACTCCGAGCTTAAGCTAGTACGTGGGCCCGTGTATAGCTCGCAATTATTTAGATCCGAGGCTCCTTTGAGATCCTCTTCTCTCTTTAGCTTTGAATCGTCGAAATAGAGACAGTCTAACCACGCCTTCCAGGCCCTAGATCTTGTGCTCGTAACAAAAGATATAAAGTATTTTTCTAATTAATTAGAATTAGAATTTAGAATCAAGTATATATGGAGAGGTATATATTAGGGCTAATTACTCCCCCTTTACTTGCTACTAATTAGTGGACTCGCCTATATTTATGGGCGTTTGGGGGGCGTTTAGTACCTGTCAAGCTGCATAAGCCCATATTGAGCCTTCAGGGCACTTTTAGTAAGCTTATCCCTTCGTCCGGTGAGACATGGTCCGTACTAGCGGCCGCATCATGCGGATAGCCTGATTGGAGGAGACGGTTGTATTCTTACCTAACAAGGGATAATCGAGTGCGGCCGCTAGTACGGACCATGTCTCACCGGACGAAGGGATAGGGGCTTACAGGGGACTAGGACTAGCTACAGGGAGATTAAAGTAAGACCTTACAGGGCATTTAGTGGCCTTCATAAAATAATGCCCTGTATTCCCGATACTTTATGCCGTGATCTTCGTACATAAAAACCAACCTCTCAACATTATCATCTCACCTCGTCATTAGAGTTGAAGCAATTCGGTTCGTGATCTTGATTCGATATTGAAAATTTGGCGGACTGGTGTACTGAGCATACTCACTGCTAGAAGCGGCGATCAGCGCAGAGTCCACTTGCTGACCAACTGCAGTGCGGTCGCCCTTACTATCCCTGCTTGATTGTCTTGACAAGCTTCCATCCACCGTCTTCCTGACATTCCAACATAACAATGATATTCTCAGCCCTTCCGTCAAGCTCCGAGATACGATCCAACTCACCCAGATCGAAGTGAGCTGCCGCATCAAGATCTTTCAAAGTCGCCAAACTGGAGCTCTTCCAGATCCGAGATCTGTCCCGACTACTGTTTAGAATTGTGAATATGAGGAACAAGAGGCTGAGAAGAGCAAGGAGGAAGAGGAGGGAAAGCCAGGGCCAGATGACTTTGATGAAAGTTTCGTATTTGGTGTTCAGTCCTTGGATGAATTTGCCTGAGTCGTTGTTTTCCTGTATGCTGGATGAGAAGTGCATTAGTATTTTTAGGGGCTTCTCACAAGGAGAAGGCCAAAAGGGCGTGAATTCACGTATTTGTTTGACAGACTGATTGCAATATTGTTCATGATGGTGTCAAAAATTCCGAGATCTCAGTTCCAGTGTTGATCAAAGCAGCAAGGGCTCGAGCCGTGTCTGTGCTGTAAACGGTAGCACTACCTGGCGTATAGGTTCCCACTAGAACTGTGTCCGAGATTGTTGTAAGGGCAATTATAGCGTTCGATGAGACGTTGTAGATTGCCGGATCATCAGGTGCCGTTAGCTTGTAACCGGGCGAGTTGTCTTCCCCTGTGAACTCTACCCAAATATGTCGCTGAGGGTAGAGTTGAATTGGAATTTGACCAGTGGCCCGTCATATTAGAAGAGAGTTGGCTATTAATTGCGCGGGTGTTCCATTCTTGGATGCAATATATGTGTGCGAACTCGAACGCAGTGTTTCGATACATGACAAATACATCAGTAATTGGCCACAGGATATCACGAAGCCCGATGGAAACCTGTCTCAACCACGTTTTATCGCCATAATAGCGAGTGGTGTAAGTTGAAGCACTGTATTATTGCTGACGTTAAGCCCATTTGGGAGACCTCGGGCGCAATTCTCTCAGGTGGTATTGAGGGAATTAGTAGTATTTGCACTCCGAAAGCAGACGCCAAGGTTCGGATAGAGTGGAAAGGTACAGTTTCCCGTCGAGCAGGTTGGCATTATGCATGGAACAATCTGGTATACCGGTGTATACAGACCGTTGCAGAAAGCACCTCTTGTAGAAGTATGCACAAGTGGGATTTTAGCTGTAGGAATGTTAATATTTATACATATCTCAGCCAAGGGCATTATACCCAGAAAGCAGGAGGGCAAATATATTGAGAGTTGGTTATCGTTAGATGGAAAATCAACCAAGACAGGGGATAGATATTCCTGGGTATGTGGGATGGTAGCAGGGAGATGACTGATGTTTACTGAGTGCGGTTCATAGCTGATACTTTATTCTGTGACTGGGGATAGTGGAAGGGCAATAAGTGTTACAATAGCTCCTAGTGATGCCAGATGTCTATGTTTGATAACAATAAGCCTCAGAGCAATGATTTCTAGGTTTGCTAACGCCACCTTAGTTTCCGAGGTTGCCATAATCGCAGCCCTCCAAAGCTTCCTCATCTGGCTCTGTCAATGGTCTGGAAGTCCACTAAGATTTTTCCTTTGCAAGCGAACCAGGCCCACTCCAGCTGTCGAATGCATTCCACAACGGGGAATAAAAAGCTCTTTTCGGAAACTGTCGCAAAAAGAGACATCAATCTGTTGATTGTGATGCTCCAAGGCCATTGTGCAAAGCTTTCCCGTCATAGATTTTCAAGGTGATGACAATTGCCGCATGCAAAACAGCACTGATGAACCAAGAAACAAATTCTAGAAGCCACCAGTCTGCAAAAGCAAGAGGTGGCGCAGAAGGAGGCCATTACTGGCTTCAACTGGTAGACTCTTCCTCTTGGAAAGTAGACCTACCCCTGGAGATCGTCGGGCCCGCCAAGACTCCTACTCAACTGCGATTTTCGTCGTTGTTTCATTCCAGTTAAGTTGTTCCCAAGAGTGAAAACGCGAATACCATCTAGATCTTTTTCGAGGCTGTGGTAAAAGGAGCAATAGTGAGGTGCTACAGATCTTGGCAGTTTCGGGCGCGAGCCCCCCCTGATGTTGGTTTTAGGGTTAAGGCGGCGTCATGGATTCTGGTGGCCCTTGGAAGCTGGGTATTCTAAAATAAGAATATCGACCCGAACTAAAGTCACAAGTGGCAGTAGCATGAAATTGCGGACCTTAGGACAGGCAACTTCTTGGAAGCGTGCCTCGGTGTCTGTTTTCGGAGTAAGTCGCTTCGGGACGTCGATCTCAGATCTAGATAGCATGAATTTGCTAATGTATGAAAAGAACTCGTGCTTACCTCTTTTCGGAAATGAGTTTCGTTCCGCCGGACAAGAGAACGGACTCTCTACCTTGAGCCCTCTAACCGAGCGTATGCGCTCGCCATGCGTACGAGGTAGATTCGTGTGGGGTCAAGGAACCCCACCAATGAACCCGGAAAACACCTTTTCGAATCTCAAGGCCTTTTCTCCTCTTCTTTGTCGCCAATAGTTTGTCGAATGCAATAACTCGGTACAGCCGTCCACGGTCCAGGCCCATCTCTTCAAGAATTGAGGCGTCATTTCCCAGCCAGCTGGATCCCAAGGATCACCCCAGATGATAAGGCCATTTCTGGGATTTGAATTTGAGCTGTTGAATAAACCACCTGTAGCAAGATCTCCAAGTCAGCATACCTTTTTTATGATGTTGAAGAAGTCGATCATAATGAGCCACGAGTAGCGAGACGCAGAACTTACAGAGATCCTCGCACAGCTCGAAACCATCATATGTGTCCTCTGCTAGTATGAGATTATCTCGCATCCTCGGCACTGGTAATAGGTCTATCCAAGGATGATGAGGTATCTCGCACTGCAGAGCAGTTGGACGAAGATTTTCAGGAATCTCCAAAATTCTCTCGGGGGATGTCAAATATTTTTCGTATTCCGATTTTGGAGTGAAAGGTGACAATGCGTTATCTTCCATGGTAAATTCTATTGGAAACCCGAGCATCAAGGCATTGTTACATAGTGCTCGAAAGATATTGAACTTGATCAAGACTAGGACCTGATCAGCTGTTGGAGAGCCGGTCATGTGATTCCTGGCAATCCATTTTTGGAATTGTCTGATCGTTTTGTCTGCCTTTTCGTAGTCTGACTTGCAGAAGCGTACAGCAACTTGAGACAACTTGGAAACTTAGGGTTGGGTTGATGCGATGGCAGTGCTGAATGATTGCCACGGGCCTGTATCTTCAGGGTCAAGGTCGATTGCTTGTTCTTGTCTCTTGATTGCTTGGGCTGCTCTATAACCTTCGTTGGCTGGCTGAAAGACAGATTCGACAAGATAGTTGGTTGAAGAGGTATGCTGTACGTGAGCCTGCAAGAGCTGCGCTTCTTTACGCTTTCCTGAACAGTATCAGTCACGAGACTTCAGAGTAGCCCTTAGAAGACTTTACTGTATGCTCTCTGGTTTAAGCGATTCTGCCGCCGCTTCCTTTCAGCTTGGTTAGACTGCCCAGTCCAATCGTCATCCGGAGTATCGATCTTCGTCTGCGGTAGCATACGCTCGAGTATGATCGGTGCAGTATGCATGTTTCTCGCCGCTTCCATGATCTCAGGGAGCGGACCCATGCTTGTGATGCGGATATAGGAGTTTTGGTGACACAGAACTCAATACCTGATGTAGAAGTTATTTTCGTTCCTTGGACTTGTCCGTCGATGTATGCAAGTGTATGACGCTCGGGGTATCTGCAACTGTACGTAGTATGATGTTGAGGAGGCGGTGATGTTGGAAAAACCTTCTCGTCGACTGTAGGACCCAGTTCTCGTGTTACCTTGCGAGAGTACGTTGTTGTCGGGTATGCACTTGGATTACGGCACTAGCCCGAACTGGGAAAGCCTCATCGTTCTTGCGCATGCAAGTCGATTACCGCTAAAATGGCCAGGGGAAGCTGTAAGAGTGTCAGTGACGTCTCGGCGGCCGAATGGGCCTTTAGTGAGTAAACCGTTCTAGATACCCCGGCAGAATCGAGCTTATCGATCGGAATTGCTGACAGTCAGACTTTCAATTCGTACTGTCCGGAGGCGCTTCGTTATTCTCTCCTTTGTATCTTTCTTTCACAGACAGCATCAGCATCTTCCTCAAACTCCAGTCATCAATCTGTCTTTATACAAACACGTCTGTTATCATTCTTAAACCTTAAATCATTCCTCAAACACTATGTCTTCAAGATACGCAGCAGCTCATGCCAACCCCCAAGGGCCTGGAGACGCTCGTCCAACTGCTCTTCAAATCATCCAAGACGAGAATATCGGCGCCAAACTCCTAGGCAAAACCATATTGATCACTGGCTGCTCTTCAGGCATCGGTATCGAAACAGCAAAGGCCCTCCACACTACAGGAGTCATCCTCTACCTCACAGCACGCAACATCGATAAAGCCAAAATCGCTCTTGGAGACCTCGTCACCCAACGCAACGTCCACCTCCTAAAACTCGACCTCAACTCCCTCTCCAGCGTCCGCGCTTGCGCCAGAGAATTCCTCTCCCAATCCCCTCAACTCAACATCTTCATCGCCAACGCCGGTGTGATGGCCACCCGCGAAGGCCGTACAGAAGACGGATTCGAGACACAATTTGGCACCAATCATCTCTCTCACTTCCTCCTTTTCAGCCTTCTCAAATCCACCCTATTGGCATCATCAACGCCAGCATTCAATTCCCGAGCCATTTTCCTCTCTTCCGTTGGTCACCGCCTGGGACAACCTGACTTTTTGAACTTGAATTTGGAAGGGAACTACAATCCATGGGTTGCTTACGGTTCCTCCAAAACCGCAAACCTCTGGACAGCCAACGAAATTGATCGTCGCTACGGCTCTCGCGGCCTCCACGCCTGGGCGGTCCATCCCGGCGGAGTAGCTACCGGATTAGCTCAACATATTTCTGCCGAAGAAAAAGCCGTTATGATGCAAGACACTACACTATTGAAAATAGCCAAGACTTCAGAACAGGGAGCTGCGACTACTGTCTGGGCTGCTATTGCTGGGGAGTTGGAGGGGAAGGGAGGAAGGTATGTGGAGGAGTGTGGGACTTTTACTGGGCCGTGGGATGAGAAGACGGGGATATATGATTCGGGGTATGCGGTTTGGGCTTATGATGAAGCGAAGGAGGGACAGTTGTGGAAAGAGAGTTTGAAATTGGTAGGGTTGGAGGATGAGTTGTGAAGTGGAGCGAGCTAGTGGAGAGGTCTATGAGCAATTAGGAGTTTTTGTTTTATGTTCTCCCCTTCACCTCCTTCGTACGTTATTGGCATTCAAAATGCGCTTCTAAATGTCCCCTCCTTCTCACTATCAGTCTAAAGCACAACGTGCCAAAATGGTCAGTTAAACCGCACAGACTTTGTTAACCTCCCTTCCCCCCCCCCCCCCCCCCCCCCCCCCTCCGAAATCGAGCCGGACTACAGGCGACCTCGCGGTATCCCTTAAGAATCTAAATAACAGCTTATTCCCCCTTCACTCACCTTCGGGATTCCGAGCTATCTCAATTAAGTTCTAACGAACAACTAATTAGTGTTAGAGGCGGCTTGCTAACGTCCTCCTAGGAGGACCTCCTTCCAGACCGTTGAGGACTTTGCGCGTACTACGTAGACCTGGGCAGTACAGAGGATCGACCGCACTTGCTAATCCAGGACACGCCAACACACCAGGCTCAGCGACTTTCACGATTTCCGCGAGAGAAGATGGATTATGATATGTTGATTGGTATCTCTACTCAGCAGTATCAACGACTCCACCATACTAGCAACGATTGCGCCACCCTTTGATAAACCCAAAACCAAGCAATCACTCAATGCTCATCTTCATCAAGCCATCATTAGTATCCACCATCCCCTGAAACCCAACCCTCTTCATCGCCCCATTCGCATTTCCTTTGCTCGCCTCCCCATTACTAGGCGGCCGACTACCCCACGGCGTGACATCTCTCTGCATCGGGCTTTGCATCACAGGACTATTGTGAACACTCATGCCTGGACTAACTGCTCTCCTCTTGAAGCTCGTCGGGTCGAAGTCGTCGTCTCTTCTGCGTTTGTTGTTGACTTTGCGGGTGATTTCTGCTGCGGTAGGAGCAGTCGGTGGTTGTGGTGTTGCGGATCTGGAGGGGGAGGATGTTTGTGGATCGGAACTACTAGCGGTTTGCTGGCTGGGGAAGAGTGGTGGTGTGGAGAGGGATGGTGAGTCTAGGGATATCTCTTCGCTGATTCCTGACGATGAGCCTCGTGGGAGGAATGGGGGTGGTGGGGTACGACTATTATCATCTGTGAAAGTCTCCCAGAACTCTTTGCCTTTCGAATTTCGCATGGCGTGCTGCTTGAAGCTGCTTGAGAGTCCCGCATTGGCATCTTCCATTATTTCATCTTCTAATATGCCCCCAAGTGAGTCCTGCGTGACAGGTCCTAAGCTTGGAGAAGAGTGGGTTGTGGTTGTGGTCGACATGGAGGGGCGGCGTGTGGGCTCGAGCTCCATATCGCTCTCGCGAGTTAGGCGTACAACTTCTGCCTCGCGACGAACCTCGGTCTCAATTGGGGTGCTTTCCTCAGCAAGGGCTGCTCGTATACGTGCGAAGCCTTTCGTCTTGGGCTATATGACATCAGTTTACCTTCGCAATAAATAGATAGATTGGAGTGTATACCAGCATATTTCCCCTCCTGGTCACTGGCCTACGAATGACCCCTCTTTGACCGTCACGACCAGGCGTAATAGGCATGCCATCCACATTCTCCAAGGTAGACTTCAATGTACCATCATCGCTCTCGCTCCCAGATATATGTAGCTGGTTCGCCGCCCAACTTATACTCTCCCTACGCGCTTTCAGTCCATCCCCAATCTCTCTGCCACCAAAGTAACCCGTATTCATGTTCTCGAGACTTCGCATAGTCGGCGGGGATTTCGACTTGGGGCTGGCCATCGAGTTTCCACTTCCGCTGCTCGAGCTCTTTCGGCTCTTGCCATGTCGCAGCCTTGCTCGCTGGAAGTTCATGAGGCTGCTCACAGCAGGCGACTGCCCTGCCCAGCCGTTTCCAGGACTAGGCTGCGCTGTACTAAAGGGCCCGCTCATCTTGTTGATTTGTGGAGTCGAGAGTATAGAGTCGTCGATATCGTCAGCATCCATGAGGTCGTCCTCGTCCGAGCTGCTACCTGATGACTCCGAACCCAGCATGTTCACGCTTCCGAGTGAGCTCGACACCACCATCCTATCCGCGTTCGCCATAGTCGACCATAGGGAGCTAGAATTGTTGTTCATCGACTCTGAGTTGCTTGAGAAGTGAAGCCCGTTCTTCTTGTTGGGTATATTCATCGCCCTGCCGCCGATGGTAGGCGACGAGTCTGGCGAAGATTGCTCTGCTAATGTTGAATGGTGGAGATTCGTTGCTGCTCGCGAAAAGTCTAGGCCCCGAGATCTTCTGGGGAGGACGCTGGAGGGCGAGCCATACGTCTGCGAATGGTCCAGCTTTGGTGACAAAGGAACGCGACTGATATACGCCTGGTTGCTGGGCGACATCAGATCCCGTGCCGGCATCTGCAAAGAAAGACCGCGCAATGGGTAGGCAGGCCGCCGTGGAGTTGTAGGATTGTCGCTTAGTGCGCTGTCGTCCTGGGATTTCTTTTTCTCTGGCTCTCGAAACTTTGGAGATGGTGACAAAGTAGGAGGTCCGCCATCAGAGAGGGAGCGCGCTTTCGAAGGTGATCGTGAGGCTGTCCTTCTTCCAGGTGTTCCACCACTCTCTTCCACAGCGTCTCCATCTCCAGGACCCATTGTAGGGTGCAGCGTATCGCCTAGTTGGCTTCTTAGCATGTTCTCAACAGCAATTCGACAACAATCGAGTGTATATCTTCGTTCTCGAGGGGAGGCTGGGCGATCCGTCCAGGGATCGAGGTGAATCAGCGGGTCGAGTCTGGGCGTATTTCCATGGCTCACACACTGTTAATAGTGCCAGAAACCGAGCTGGGCTGTATATGATATGTATATTGAGCGGCTGATTCGAGCCTTTGCGTATATTGTCCAGAGGCTACCGGATTGTTGTGAGGTTTCAACGCCGATGACATGTTGGTACAAGACCTCACTTCCCGAGTGCAAGGATCCAGCCACACTTCTAGCCTTGGCGTTCAGGGCTTGCCTCGCTAAACCCCCTGACAACGTCAACACGATATGATGACCTCGATAGAGACTCCCGGACAGAAAGGCGCCACTCATTTTCAGTCAAAGTTGGACTTTAAAATTACCTTTCTTGTGAAAAATAAAGAGTATTTTTTGGAGTTTGTAAGAGATCCGAAGTAGTAGACTTTGAAAATACCACAAGTCCAGGATCATTGGGAGATAAACAACTTCGACCTAGGACAATGAAAAATCATTAACATTGTTTTTGTCTAGCACAAGAGGGGTACTTTGACCTTCAATTTCGGTGTTCTCTGTGTTTGAAAGGCAACATAATCTTATTTGAGTTTTTAATTTTCGAGAGCAACGCAAGTGACCTATGTTACATATGCTTTTGGAAGAGCAGCGCAAATGACGTATCCCCTACTCGCCTTTTTGAAAACCCCAATGCAAGAGAGCTATTATACATCTCACTCTTAACAGGAGCGCAAACCAACTTTTTTTTTTTTCCTTTTCCGTTTTGAAAAGTGCAACGCAAGCGACATATCCCTCAGCACACCAAGAGCGTGCACGACCAAACCCTGGCCCAAGAGTAAGTGCCGAGCAAAAATGGGTGAAGCAAATTGTGTTGAACACTGTGCTGGGTGTTAGGTTCAAGGCGTGCTGGAAGTGGAACTCCAAAAAATCTTGTAATGTGGAAGGAAAGAAGGGATACGAGAGTGAAGGAGCCCACTTTTATACTTGAAAGTCGAGTCATGGCTCCGAAGCCATTTCATGATTCCAAGTGTGTGAATCGAGGTCAGTGCAAATGATGCAGAAGCCACTGCCGTTGAATGGGATGGGCATCCTGCTGATTCACGCGACGTTACCCCTATTCTCTCGTAAAAGCTCACTTGAGTTTGTGGAAACAACCCTACCGCTTCGATAACATAAGCCCCAATAACTGCATTTCAAATTTTGTTTTCGGGACGCTTGACATAACGAAAGACATGGCTACTTTCATGTGTATAACCTGTGAAACAAGGAAGTAATTCGTGTTCAAATCTCCTCCCGGATGTGAATAACTTGATAAGGTTCTCTTCAGTGTATTCATTTCCGTACTTCGGATCACGAACTAATTCATACTTTTCATTGAAACCATGGTGAGACTGAATAATGCATACATACTGCCAGCTAACCCTCCACCTCCATCCCTTCAACATCTCTTCTCTTTCCTCACACATGGCTATCTCTCACTCTCATTCAACCACTTATACACAACCCTCGCATCCTTTCCATGATACCTCTCATCTTTACTCGCCTCCTTAAACGCCTCTAGTGTCGGCTTGTCCAAAACCGTCCTTGCGCCCACCATCTCTGCTAACTCACTCCCCATCTGCAGCACCTTTGTACACAACTCTAGCCTAAAACCGCCTTCGTAGCCCCTCGAACTCGGTACATTTGCTTGCACACCGGGCACAGGATTACTCTTACTAGTAACCCAACACTGTCCCCCAGACACATTGATCACATCCGTGAGAAGCTTGACATCGAGTCCCATTTTAGTACCGATGTTCAGTGCTTCGGAAGCAGCGAGGGACGTGATCGCCGAGAGGTAGTTGTTAATCACTTTAAATGCAGTGCCAGCACCGACATCCCCGCAGTGGAAGATCGATTCCTTCTTGCCCATATGCCCCAGCACCTCCTTTGCTGCTTCAAACGAAGCTTTATCATTCGCACCAACCATGAACGTCAGCGTTCCATCTTCTGCTCCCATAGGACCGCCAGAGACAGGAGCGTCGACAAAAGATATTGAGGAGCCAGAGGAGGAATTGATTTTAGCGCTTGTGGTCACTGCTTTCGCGACTTTGAGGATTGTTGCTGTTTCGATTGTTCCGCATTCCATGATGATTTTCTTTTCGGGGGAGGATGCAGCTGCTGCTTCCACGCCGGAAATAATTCCAGTTTTCGTGTCAAGGTAGACTGCCTTTACAGCTGGGGAGTTCGGTAACATCGTGATGACCATGTTCTGAAGCCCGGTTAGCAGGTTTCTAGGATATTCCTTTTTCACATAGTGGGCCAACTTACAGCAGAGTTCGCCGCCTCGAAGCCATTGTTTATTACTTTCACTGGACCTTTTCCCGCCACTTGCTTTTGGAACTTTGAAATGGCTTCTTTGTTTACGTCGCATATGAGTAGTGTATACTCGGGGCTTAGTCCATTGCGGAGGTTCACGGCCATGGGATATCCCATCACACCCAGGCCTAAGACCAAGAGTTAGTTCGCCATCTTTCAATGTATTCACACACTACATGGAACAATACTTACCTATGAAAGCAACTGTCTTCGCTGGTGAAGCCATCTTCACAAGCCGATATTAAACCCTTTCGAAGCAAGTCGCGGTAATTCAAGGAGCTTTCGAATATTTCGATATAGGTATTTGATTGGAAGAAAGGGTCAGTGGCTTTGGTTTCCAGGTAAAACTTTCAACAGGACTGCTGTTGATTTTCTTTTTCAGTAGGTTTGATCATGAGTGGGGTCGGATATAGTGATCCGCATCGAACATGTTGATTGAGGGGTAAGCGGCAATGAAAAATACCCCGCAGTTCTCCAAATTGGAGAGAAGCGAGGGGGGCTCGTTCTCCCAATCTCAGCACGCGTCACAAATTCTATTTGCGTGACAGGAGCAATCGAGAAACCTGAACAAGGTGAGAACCCAGGTTAAAAAGTATATCCTCGGTTTGAAGTAAGTCTATAGAGCCCCAGGCAAAAACCTCCCCCCATTCGCCCTCCTCCAACCCCCATCATGCGCAACCACCACCTCAACGCCTTCAACCTCCCTCATCAACCTCCCAATCGCTCCAATCGTGCCTTCAGCAGCCTCCGTATCAACATGCACACTTCTCAACCCCCCACACCCATCACTGTACATCGCGACCCCCTTCTCCCCCTTCAAAATCCTCACATCATGACAACAGTCCCCACCAAGATAAACCCACCTCCCCTCAGCGATCATCGCAAGCAAATTGACATGTCCGAAAAGATGGCCTGGAGCATCGACAATATACACTGACCCATCCCCGAAATAGTCCAAAACATGCAAATCGAAAGCTGGTAATTTCTCCCATTTGTGTTCAGTTTGTTGCTTCGCAGCACTCGTGGATTGCGGATTGACTGGCGGGAGTTCGTACGTCCGTTCGAATGGGAGCTCATCGTGGTTAAACAACTCCTTAGGATATAAGTACCCCCCTCCGTTGGCCAATAAATCCAGCGTCCCGCTCCCTACCACGAATTTTGCATTCGGGAAGTCAGATGGTGTACCAATGTGGTCCCAGTGCACATGGCTCAACACCACGACCCCGATATCCTCAGGGTTGACGCCTCCGTTCCTCAAGCTCTCTCCAGTGTCAGGGGAAGTAGATGTAGGTTGGCGTTGAGCGATGTGATGTTGTTGAGTTTCTGTGTATTTACTAAAATCGCGTTTGAGGCCCAAATCGAAGACTAGGTTTGTTGTTTTGTTGGATTCGGGGGAGGTGTGTCGGATCAGAAAGCAGAGAGAGGGCACCGTGGTGCGTTTCTGAGGGTCTGCGTCGGTGATGAAGAGGGATTCGGGGAGTGTTAAACTTCCGCCTTCGAGAGCTGAGATGGTGACATATATCTGGTTCTCAGCCGGAGGTGGGAGAGACGGATGTTCTGCCATTTTTCTGTAATAATAGGAGAATATTTGAGTTCCAACGCGTGGTTTTTGTGAGAGTAGAGCAGATATTTTGAAGTGTTTCGTGTAAACCCCCACCACCCCATACTCGATTGGAGATTTGGAGAACCTCGGAAGCCTATCCGATCGTCGTCCAGGGGTTACAGGGGTTTAATACCCCACTGTGGGGCCTCCTGTCAGCGGCCGCATTGAAAGCGGGGTTCTCGAACCTCATTTCACTTAAGTAGACCATATGATTGAAAACGCTACCCAAATAGTTAGATATCTTTATACTCCAGCCACTTCCTCTCAGAAATCTCGTATCTAGTATCATTTAATAAAAGCCGAGATGGGAACTCCAAAGCTCCCAGAAAGAATGAAAGCCCAATTCCTCGATGCATTCAACACACCTTACGCTCTGCGTGAAACCCCTCTGCCAAAGTCAAGTTCAGAACATGATTTACTTATCAAAGTCGATGCAGCATCGTACTGCCAGTAAGCAAAAAGCAGTTCTTACTACAATTCGAAAAGAAGCCACTAACAACAACCCAGCACAGACGCCGTCCTCTCCTCTGGCCAGATGGCACCTCACCCCCCATCCCTCCCTCATATCGGCAGCCACGAGTTTGCCGGAACGATACTATCAACGCCGCCTTCTAGCAGCTTTAAGATTGGAGATAGAGTAGGAGTCCCGGGCCGCGGTTTCCATCCTTGCGGCACATGTTTCGAGTGCCTTCACGACGGCTGGCCGGACTCCGATCCCGCAGGTTTCTCAGTCTATTGCCCGCATGCTAAAAATCATGGTATTAATTCAGATGGCGGGTTCAGAGAGTACGCGGTTGTGGATGAGAGACAAGTTGCCAAGATCCCAGATGGCTTGACGCCGGTGGAGGTAGCGCCGCTCATGTGTGCCGGATTGACTGTTTATGCGGCGTTAAAAAGATGCGAATTGAAGCCTGGGCAAAGGGTAGGTATTTCGGGGTGTGGTGGCGGACTGGGCCATCTTGGGCTGCAGTTCGGGATGAAAATGGGGTACAAAGTCCTCGGAATGGATGCCGCTGATAGACCTTTGGCACTCGCCAAATCTCTTAACACCGGTGCAAAGATTATCGATGTCCGTGTTGAGAATGCTGAAGTTGTGAAGAAACAGATTGCCGAAGAAGACGGTAAAACGGAGCCGGGAGAAATCGGTCTCGACGCCGTGATCATCTTACCAGAAAGCCAGAAAGCGTTTGATTACGGGATGGCTTTACTGCGGAATCATGGAAAATGCGTGGTTGTCAGTTTCCCAAACGCAGGGTTTCATGTCAATGCAGGGGATCTGGTTTTCAGAGATATTTCTGTGGTGGGGAGTCTGATTGGGAGTAATCGGGTACTGAAGGAGATGCTTGAGTTCTGTGCGGCACAAGGGGTTAGGGCCATAACGAGGAAGTTTCCCTTGGAGGGTTTGAATGAGCTTGTTAGCGCGTATGACAAGGGAGCGGGAGGGAAATTGGTTATTGATATGGGAATGAAATAGGATAGTTGATCAATTCATCGGGACGTGAAGGAGATTTGAATTGTATGAAGGTCACGGCATAAAGTAAAACCAGGGCATTTGTGTTTTAACGGCACTTTAGCGTCTGTTTCTAGCGCACTCAGTCACTAAATTGCCCTATAATTCCAGGCCATTGCCCTAAAAGCACGCTATAAGACGGGGGCAAGGGGTGCAACTCCTTTTTAGGGCTTCTCCCCAGTACTTACAAGGGACGTCTCGCTAAAGAGCCATAGCAACTACCTATTTAGCGTCAAAGCGCTATTTACCCCTGAAGATCTTCTCATACCTTGCGAATGTCTCACAGCGCCTCTTGAGCTCTGCTTAGGGCGCATGGCCTGGAGTCATAGGGCCTTACAGCGGGCTCAACCCCTAAATTGTGCCTTGGGGGATGCCAAGGGCCCAAATGCTCTCTAATCCTGTCACTTTATGCCGTGATATTCGTAGTGATGTATGTATTTTGTGGCATGATATTCCCAGATGGTACATATTTTCATCAAGAAGATTCCAACATATCGGCGTAGATATTCAAGGAGCTCCCAATGACATCTACAATCGCCCATGTTTGCGCCCCCTTGAAAATCGTTGCCCAAACTCGCAAGACGCCGGCACTGAGACATTTGTTCATCACAGGCGGTGACATACCATCAGGGACTGCAAACTCTGTTTCGTCCAGCATCGTCTTTACTAGTGAACTAATCCTTCGTTCGTCGTCTGATATCGGTGGCTCAGGATTTGGTAATGATAGAGCCTCGAGCCATTTGCTCAATAAGAAAGCACATTCGAGTGAACACAGGGAGTGTTGAATCGACCAGATGAATGTCTGGGTCTTTGCTACCAGCCGTATGCCAATTTTGACCGGAACACTCAAGGCGTGAGCTGAATGTAAGACGGCACGCACAAGCTTTGGAGTGCGCTTGATCGGCGGACTGTCTCGGAAAGCATTCGCAATCTGAGCGGAATCACGTGTATCCAGTGCACGACCGGGGCCAGTATCCACGTTCAAACGGATATAAGCCAGCCGTAGAAGTGCTGTGGAGTTGAATGCCACAGGTCCATTTGGATTCATGGGATCCAGTGACGATTCCGGATTTCGTTTCCAGCCCAGCTGCCAATTCCTCAAGGCATTCTCTAGTGACGACACCTCTTCCGGAGTAAGCTCACCAGGGCTATCAAATCGATACTTGGCAATTTGTCGGACGAAAAAGATGTGCTGGATCACAGCATGAATCAGAACATAATTTCCCAGTGAAGAGTTCCACTCGGTTGTAGGTCTTCCTTTTCGCAGAAATAATCGTCGAAACGCTTCCTGGAATTCGATTTCTTGGGTTCGCTTCCTTCTTGCTTCTTTCCATGCCATGGCATTTGGTGCCTTGAATTCCGAAGCGCTGCATGGCAGAGTCAATTTGATTTCCGAGTTGAGAATGAGTGGTGGGATATTGTAAACGATGCAGTGAAGATTGAAGAAGCAGAATACTATAAATTTCGTTCTCTTCGTTGTTTCGAATCGTACCCAGTCTTCCCATGAGATATCTGGTTGAAGTGATTGACTTTGGAGCCCATCATCTCGTATAAGGGTCGCAAGGATACTTTGAATTGCAAGGGCTTCCCGAAGGATCTCCTTGTGTTTTGCCCAAGTTGCCATGGCCATCAAGATCAACAGTGCTTGAGCCGTTTGGATAAGATCTTCTCTTTCCAAGGAAAACGTAGCAGAGGCATCGGCCTCAGATGGCAGCCCCAGAGGACCAGACGTAGAACAATCAATCGCAGGACTTTCTGTATTTGAAGATACTTCAGGGCCTCTGGTGGTTGAAGAAACCTCTGATCCAGCTCGTCGATGAAAGCTGACGAGTCTGGCGTCCCTCCGTCGAATTCTTTGAGCAGCAATTGATTGGCTAGTATTGAAGAGCTCGACGCCTTTCTCTCCTTCAAAGCAATATTGAGCCCCAACAGCCGCCATTGCAAGGATCAATTCGAGTGAGCAGCCTTCTATCGTCATTGTGGCCAAGTGGAGAAATGGAAGGTGTTCATGAAATCCGTTGATATAAGCTGCAATGTACCGTGAGAGAGCTAGACGGGATGGGAGCTGGAAGCCAGGTGGCACCACCGAGGCGAAGTCGGCAAGTTTTGCTGTGACATTATGCCTGTCTTCGGATGAAAGCTCAGAGAATGGACGATTCATTGACTTTTGCTGCTGAGTTTGAACGGCTCGTTCTTCGGGCTGCAACGAGGGTAGCCGTGATCCAAAGCGTGAGAATGAATTAGGCTCTTCGGATTGATCATTGTTCTGGATCAAATGAGGTGCCTCTTGAACAGCAGAGTGAGGCATAAAATCATTGGCATTCGTCCAAGATTCGGGTGAAAAGTAAACCATTGGCTGCTCCGTGCTGATCAAGGACGAAAAGTGGTACGAGGACAGTAGATCGTTGTCGAGAAAAGCAGCAAGACTATCCAATGAGTCTTCAAACCCCAGTCCTTGGGACTGGTTTGCATATGGTCCCTGAAGAGAGTCTACTGGAGTCGCCATTTGATCGTTTTGAAGAGCCATACTGGGACCCTGCGGTATGATCTGTGTCGGAAACGGCGAGGCTGCAAAATTGCCTTGTAGAGCAGAATACTCTGCTGCCATCGACAAAGCAGCAAGGGAGTATTCATCGTTCTGGTTTGAGTTTGAAGGCCCATCAAGAGCTGTATTGGTTGGTGAGGAGACGCCGTGGAAGTTCATTGGATTGCCCATTTGTGGTGATCCGTGGTCATCATCATTCTCGATCGAGTTCTCAAATGCTATCCTCCTGCGTTTCTCCGTGGACTGAGCAGGTTCTTGGTTATCGCCGCCAGCTCGATCCTGCCTTTGGTTTCTCGAGGAGGCATCTCTGTTGTGAGTGAGCCTCTCGTGGCGTATGAGGAGGTCGCTGAAAAGGTCAGAAAACCTAAAGTATAGCTGCTAAGGTTGGAAGTCAAAGTACCTCCTAGTGAAATGGTGGTCACACAAGGTACAGCTGAACGGCTTCTCTTGGGTATCTGCAGGCACACACTAAGCAAGGTTTCCTCTGGCCCCTGAAGTCAGGAAGACCTACGAATTCGCTCATGTCGCTGCAGGTGTTCCAACCGAGCAAAGTTTCTCTGGCACCGATGACACAGAAATCTCTTTTGCTTCTTCCCACTTCCCTGTGCAGTCTCCTGACCTGTGGTTAGAGGCTCCTGTTCAAGCATTGAGAGTGCCGCGGCTCGGTGGCGGGCTCTGATTGGCGTGTAATCGCGTCCAAGATGATGGCATTTGCTTATTCAACGCAAAGCTCCTTGACTCAATGCTCCAACCTCAACTATTGTTTGGTTGTTGGAGATACACGTTGGAGGTTGATGTCTGATGTTGGAGAAAGATGAGCTGAAAAGAGGAGATTGCAGGAAAAGCGGGCCCGCGGGGACTTTCAGGCTTGGCGCAGACAGTGCGGGGAAAGTGGGGTGCCAACAGGGGGGCTTAAAGACGTCACATTCTATACGTCACATTCCGATGGCGGAGCGAAACATTCATTCCTCGATTCTAGGCACAAGATGTACTGTACTTCAATATTCTTATGGCGAGATCGTGAGGCTCAGTATGATTAATAAAGAGATGATGTATGTCAACGAGTGTAATGGTGAAGAAGACCTGTTAAGACTGCATTAACTCGAATTCGGAATTGCTGAGGCCAAATTTTGCTCATAAAATTCTGCTTCATTTCAATTCTTTTCACAAGCTGTACATTAACAGCTACAGACTCTCCTTCCAATTCGGTATCGAATATTAACATATCAGAGAACAATAGTACCCGCAGCTCTTCTCTTGGCACAAGATAGAGCGCGCCATCCTCCCGGCGCTTGGAATCATCAGCGACGTTACTTTAACTCATCGGGCTCAATAATTGATTAAGGCTCTGAAACCAGAGGTTTACTCTCTAGTGGAGTCTTTACCTATTTTTCATACTTTTAACTCGAGCTGAGGTGGTGCTGGAAGCCCTAAAGTATGCTCAGGTTACACTTCATTATGATATCAGGGAGTAGAAGGGCTTCCTAGGATCTACTGTATTTTACTGTTTGCACTTTCGAAGGGATTGAATTTCTCCCTCCATGCGTTTTTGCTGGACTCGACGACACGAATGAATGATACGATGTCATCCACTCCTTGAGGTTCATTGACCCAGTGTCCTCCATCTTCGTACGGTTTCCACGAAACCGCCATGCCAAGTTGTTCCAATGTCGTGGATAACTTCTTTCCATTGGCAATAGGAACAACATCGTCGTCCTGGGAGTGTGATAAGAAGACCGGGGTCTCGAGCACGGAAGTGGAGCTAAAGTCCGAAAGCACTGATGCCGTCTTGGCTTGATCTGTGGGTGTGTTGAGCATCTTGTGGCTGTAGTGCAGTCTGTTCCCAACCATACTCCATGCCTTGTCGTTTGCCCTAGTTGTGGCGATTTCTGGCTCAAATGGAAGCCAGCTGCTAAGTCCAATGAACCCACCGAGCCGTATTCCGCCGTACAGCAAGGTGTGTATTGCAGTAGCGCATCCTTGACTGATCCCGCCGAGGATAATTTGGTCGGGTGAGATCAATGCAGCTTCAGTCCGAATAAGATCAAGAACCTCCTTAACACTTTCTCTCAATCCATCAATCTGAATCTCATTCTTTTCCAAGTGATTTTCCACCGACCACATATCAAACCATTGAGACATCGGAGCTTCAAAGCGTGCCGAGTTCCGGATCTTCGAAGTCGGGAAAACCCATCTTGTTGTGGGAAATATTTCTGGTAGGGTACGATCGTCTGACGCCTGACTCTCGAAGAATTCTTCCGCGAATTCCGATGCAATACTGTCCCGGCCGTGGAGTAATATGATCGTTTGGGTATGATCCCCACGAGGGGTGACGATGTGTGCGGTGTTCTCCATGATGAATTTGGAGGCCTGTTGCCTCCGAGCCAATAGATTTTGCCGAGACCTCCGACACACTGATTTCTGGGAGCTAAGAGCGATGTTGCTGCGTTGGTGAAATTATGATGTTTGACGTTGAAAGATGCAAGTTGTACGAAGAGTTTGATAGGAAAGGAAATGCGAACTCTACGGAATATATAATTTGTGTGTGTGTGTGTGTGTGTGTGGCGCTAAATGGGATTTTAAAATAGACTGAGTAACTCATTTCTTAGCGGGGAATCGATACGTATTTAAAACTTATGATCCTCGCTAAAAAAAAACCGCTACGAAACCCGCTTGATTTCGCACGTCACGTGGAGGGCGCTTGTCCTTACCAAAACTTACTTAAATAAGTACAAGCACGCGCTGTGAAATTGTATTTATAAATTAATTTAAGTATAACAATAAAGTATTTAAAATAATTTAAACTTAAGTTAAGGTATTTATTTAAGTAAGAGAGTTTGATTTGATAAGTATATTTTTAAAAGTACTTAAATATATATATAATTAATAAAGCTCAGTTTTTTTTATTAAAATTAGTATATGAGACCTCTCTTTTTAATTATTAAGTAACCTAAAATTTATACTCTTTACTTAGTCTTAACCTTGAAGGCTTGATATAAAATTATAATTACGAATACTCAAATATTAGAGCACTGTTGCTTTCCGGATTAAGCAATTCCGACTCGAGGACGGCGATACTATTCTTTCAGGGCATGACTTTTGGAACCACAATATTTACAGTGTACTCCATTTCCCCAAGTGGCTCACAAATAACAGCTCTGATTGAGACGTATATCCTTCGCGCCAAGGCACACAACCAGAAATTGACTACCGTGTATAACCCGAGATTTACAGCATTGGCATCGTTCTACTCGATATCGGACTCTGGACCTCACGCACACTCGAAGATTCTGGGTCTGATTCCAATCTCCCAACTCCAAGTGATATTCTTGATTCAGTCAAACTTAGTGTTCTCGATATCTACTCTCAGCTGCAGAAAAGAAGAAACAGAGGCTCGATTATCTCGCTGCCAACGAATTGCCTCCTCGCTTAGGTAGACGTTACGCGGACATCGTGCTATTTTGTCTTCGATGTCTCGATTCTGGAAATGGAACCGGTGAAAAAGGAAAATTGTCGGTTGCATGGACGGACCAAGATAGTGTTGTAATCGGAGTAAGGTTCATCGAGAATGTGTTTACGAAAATCCAGGAAATCAGGATCTAGAGGTAATATATATATATATATATATATATATATCTCTTCCACTTACTTATTGCAGACATCCACAATTCTTTTCAGCACCCGCCATAGCGACAATGATATTATGTGATGCAACGTGTCATTGATTGAACTCATATGGTTTTAAAGTGTATCAGGTAAGTCAGTGAACTTCATCATGTGTTCCGTCCAGTCGCCCTTATGCAGTTGAAACCTTATTCCCCAACTCTCTGGGCTTCTCTCCCTTCTCCGCCATCTCATCCAACACCTTCTCTGCAGTCTTAATCGCCTCCACCATAGCCGGCACTCCAAGATATGTCGTAGCATGCAGAATCGCCTCCCTGATCTCCAGCTCCGTCAGACCATTGTTCCTCGCACCACGTATATGTACCGCGAGCTCGGGAGTCCGATTCAGCGCCATCAGGATACCAATATTCATCAGACTGCGCTGCTTCTTATCGAGCCCAGGTCGTGTCCATGTCCCCCAGCACCATTCTGTGACGAATTCTTGAGCCGGGCGCGAGAACTCTGTATTGCCGTTTGCGAGGGCGCGGTTCACATATTCGTCGCCCACAACGCTACGGCGCATTTTGAGCCCTTCTTCGAAGAGTTCCTTGTGGAAGGTGTCAAACTTGGGGTCGGTTGCCATTTTTGCGGAGGTGAAGTTTATGACGTTGATTAATGAGAGTTGGTAGTTGGGATCAAAGAAAGGGTTGTCAAATGAATTGGAAAGTTTTCTTGGGCATTCAGAGATGGGGAGAGAATATTCTCAGAAAATATGTTTGAGAAGAAAAGTTGAGAAAGAGCTGGTCAACCTTTCCAGTACTCGAAGTTGACTTGGGGAAGCCCCTCCTGCCCCACTTCTCCAACCGATTTCGGGACTGTCACTGTTGCCGAGGAAGATGGAACTTAGAGAGCAGCGGAGCATGGAATTCTGCAGATCTAAAGTTGAGAATTGTGGCGTCCGCGTTGCGAACAAGAGGTTGGATCAAAAGAAGTCTTATAATGCTAAGTTCTTTGATGGTGAAGGTCCCAGTGGTCTATCCCATCTTTCCCCTTCCAGTCCTCATTCCCACCCAAAAATCTATAAATAACCCTCGAATCCAAATCTCTACACCTCGGGTCATTCATCGCATCAGTATAAGTCTTTAGTCCAACCTCTCCAAGGACATTCCTTGAACCCACTCTCCTCGCCATATCGACCGCCAGCCCAAAATCTTTCCTCATAAGCTGCACCTTAAACCCATTCTTATACTCATTACTACTGGGCGCCTCGGCATACACTCCGGGGACCGGAGTAAATTTATCACAAATCGTATTCTGCGCAGTACCTGCGGCGTAAACCTTTTGCAGCACGCGAGGGTCGAGACCTGAGCGCATGCCCATGTCGAATGCTTCGGAGGCAGCAATGGCGATTATTCCGGAGAGGTAGTTATTGGAGAGCTTTGCTGCGAGGCCAAGTGAGGGTCCGCCGCAAGGAATAACGCTTTTCCCCATCATTTGAAGCAAGTGAGTAAGTCGAGGCAGGTTCGTATCGCTCTCTGAGCACCCGAGGAAAATGGCAATCGTTCCCTTGACAGCGCCAACAACACCTCCACTAACAGGGGCATCGTAGAATGAGGCCGTAGGGAAGTTTTGGTAAATGTGGTCCTTGACGAGGAGACTCGTTGCGGTATCAATGGTTGAGCAGTCGATTAACAGCTTTTTCGAGACATCTGTTGAACAGATTCCGGTTTGAGGGTCGAGATACACGGATTTGACTTGTGCTCCTTCTGGAACCATTGTTACGATGATATCCTATTAAAATTTCTGTTAGTTTCTTATGTTTGCTGATGTGGGGATCGGTGGCGACTCTTACGCTTTTCTCAGCAAGATCTTTTGCGTTGGCACTTTTGACCACCTTGTTTGGAAACTCTGTACATAACTGGTCTATCGCGGCTTGCACAACATCGAAAACATAAATAAGTGTCTCTGACGGAAGTTTCTTTGCTAGGTGTTCTGCCATTGGTTTTCCCATCGCCCCCAGGCCGATGAAGCCTACGGATCTGTACTCGAAGGACATATTACCAGAAAGTGAGTCCACCCAATCACTTCACAATCCAAAAAAAAAAAAAAAGGATTTATAAACAATCGAACAAGCTAACTTCAAACAATTCACAAAAGGTAGTCATAGTCCGGTTTGGACCGACATCTAAGTGTTCAAGTTAATTTGAGGAAGATCGGCATGACCCCACCAGGCAATCCCGGGTATATTACTTTTAGAGTGCGGGGAACCCAACCACCAAATCAACTTACCCCAACCCCTTCAACCCGAGTGAGGCTCATCAAACTCTAGGAGACATGATCCCGAGCACCTTCCTAAACAAGCTTATTGTGTGCAATAATCGTGCTTCCTTGATGTTGTTCTTCTTCTTCATTTCTTGAATTCGAGTTCTCAAATTCGATTCTATTCAGGGGGGAGAAATGTCCTCAATTTTCGTCAAACAAACGGCCCCACCTTCTCCCCCTTTAAACACTACACTCGCAACAGTCCAAGTACACGCCCTTTCAGCAGGCCACCTCACTTTGCCTGAATGGCACTTCGTATCTCCAGCTTCAGATACAGCACGAAGCACTGTGCCATCACTATCATTTCTCATCCATCATGAAAACTCGGAAACTGGGAAGAAGACGAGAATTGTATTCGACCTTGGGCTGAGGAGGGATCTGGAGAGATATTCAAGGCCGATACAACAGCATGCTGCGACGAGAAGACCGATTTCAACAAACCCGGATGTAGTGAAGAGTCTAGCTGCTGGGGGGCTGACGCCGGAGGATATTGATTTTGTTGTTTACTCTCATGTAACGAACGCCAACTCTTCTCCTCTAGGAGTTTACTGATACTTTACACAGATACACTGGGATCACATCGGTGAACCGCGAGATTTCGATAAAAGTACATTCGTAGTCGGTTCAGGGGCGGCCTCTCTCCTCCAAGGAACATCAACCTCCCTCCGCGGTGGCCATTCCTTCTTCGAAGCCGATCTCCTGCCACCATCAAGGACGATCGAGCTCTCAAACCCAAACTCACAGTCACCACAAGATGGCGTAGATAAGAAAACAAGCACGCCAGATTTTTACCAGCCATGGACTGCCCACCTCAACCTCCCCCATGTAATGGACATCTTCCTTGACGGCAGCCTCTACATAGTCGACGCGCCAGGGCACTTGCCAGGCCACATCAACCTGCTCGCGCGCACTTCACCCAATTCATACGTCTACCTCGCAGGTGATGCATGTCACGATCGGAGGATCATGCGAAAGGAGAAACAGATTGGGACTTGGGAAGATGCGGAGGGCATTACGTGCTGTATTCACGCGAATCGAGAGAAGGCGGAGGAGATGATTAAGACAATAGGTGAGTTGGAAGAGAGAGGGGTTGAGGTTATTTTTGCGCATGATGTGGAGTGGGAGCAGGATTCGAAGAATGAGGGGAGGTTTTGGGGTGAGGAGGGCAGGAGAGGGAAGAGGAGGGCTTGCTGTACTTGGTTGTATTAAAGTTGAGGGGGATTTGGTTATGTGCATATACATATTTCACAAACCTATCAAATATATGATCCTGTTTTTGCTTGAAATCAACAATATCCCAAGGCATCAACTTGTAACGTTGGTGTTCTTCGGGGAACCCACATAATTTACCCCGCAGACTACCCCACCTTGAGTTCGCAAACAAACAGCCGAGAAACCCCCCCTTGTTTTCACAACACTTCATTGAAACCACCCAATACATACTCGCCATACAAGCCAACGGTATCTTCTTTCCTCACCAAAACATTCGTTCCCCTTCTGCACACCTATCAAAACAACCTGAAAATGACTTCCCTAACCCCAGACCAAACCTCCCTAAAAGAAAAATACACCTCCACCCTGGGGCCCTCCTCCTGGACTGAAGGCTGCGAGTCTCTATTGAAACTATCCCCAGAAATGCTGAAAGCCAGTCTCCACATGTCTTCCGTCCCAAAAAAGAAGTCTCATCTCTCCCCCAAAATCCAATCCCTCATCGCACTTTCCGTCGACAGCGCATCAACACACCTGTACATACCAGGAATCCACGACCACATTAAAGAAGCCATCAAAAACGGAGCCTCCCAAGCGGAAATCATGGAAGTTCTCGAGTTGACAAGCACGCTGGGAATCCACGCATGCAATATCGGCGTCCCAATGCTCTGCGAGGTGATGCGTGAACTTGGCGGATACGAAAGCTATCTCGAAGCAGAGGAAGATGAGATGAGGAAGAAATTAAGAGAGGAGTTTACGGAGAAGAGGGGATATTGGCATACATTCTGGGAAGACTTTCTCAGGTTGGATCCGGAGTTTTTTGGGGCTTATTTGGAGTTCTCGACTGTTCCTTGGGTTAAGGATGTTAAAGGGGATCGGACAGGGGGTGGAGTGCTGGAACCAAAGGTATGCAACATTCCCGTCTTGTTTAGTTTTGGGGTAAGGAGGGCGAAAGGGGGAGATGAATGCTAATGGGAGATGTCAGGTTAAAGAACTGATTTACTGTGCCTTCGATGTCGCGGCGACGCACCTTTACCAGCCTGGACTTAAGCTGCATATGAGGAATGCGTTAGGGTATGGGGCAACTCCCGAGGAGATCATGGAGGTGCTTGAGATTGCGACGTTGTTGAGTATTCATACTTTGGAGGTAGCGACTCCGATTCTTGACCAGTACACAACTGGCAAAGCTTAAGTTGTAGACGAAACTAAACCATGCTTTCCATCCAAAGGAAATCCCACCAATAAGTGAACTTAAAAACTCGCAGAAAAGTATTGTAACTTCAAAGAAAAATAATTTTTGAACGTTTCAAGTCTTTGTATATAAATTGAGCAAACGGACTGGCGTAAAACAGCTGAGTACTTCTCTTACCCTTAAACGCATCTTCAACTAGAACTGATACTTGAACCCAGGGGACCTGTCAGTGTATTCTCCAGCTGGAGTTACATAGCCCTCGGCAATAAACTTCTTCTTCCCTGCTTCTCTTTTCACATACATATACCTAACAATCCACCACCCAATCCACGCGAACGCCAAACACCCCAAACTCCAAGAATGGCCCAAAGTATATTTTGGCGCCGCCTTCGTCTGATAAATCTGCCCACTCACCACCCCACCAATATTCGTCAGAGCGAGCAAGATTCCTAAACTTGCGGCACGTTTTCCATCAGGAGCGCAGTTTCCGGAAAGCCACGCGATATTAGTTCCCGTGCAAAGGAAGCAGGCCGTGGCGATCAGGTAGGTGGCGAAGTAACGGACGCCCGCAGAGACATCACAGAGGAGGATTGCGTATCCGGCTATGCCGACCGGAGCGCAGACGACTATGGTGAAGAAACGGGCGTTGTATTTGTCGGAGATGTACGCGCCGATTGCATAAACGATCGCTCCCCAGAGGTTGACTGTGTTTGGTTAGTGATTGTGGACAAAGATGATCGAGTTGAGGAGTACATACCTGGAATCACGAGGTATTGAGACTGGACAGTGGAATAGTGGAAGCCATTCTTAATGATAATTGGTAAGAAGGTTCCAAAACCTAGGCTTCAAGTTAGCAAGTGGACAAAGTTATAGTTGGTAGGATCTACAAACCGTAGAGAATGGTGACCACAGCGATCTGAATCACCCCATGGCCCCAACTCTTGGGGTCCTTGGCAGCCTCCTTGATATCTTTCATGTTGTAGTGCCCAGTGCCGCCACTATATGACTCAGCAAGCTCAGCACGGTGCTTCATGAGTGCTTTGTCTTCGTCGTTCAGGAAATAAGCTGTTTGGTAATTCTTCGGGACTAGAAAGATGCACATCGCCGCCCACACTACGGTGATGATGCCTTCAAGAATATAAAGCCTGTAGATCTGTAAGACAAAATATTTATAGAGCAGGGTGTGAGAGTTACCAGCGCCACCCCGGGTAGCCGGCCACGCCGTCCATGTGCAAAATTGCCCAGGCTAGCAGACCGCCGAAGGCTCCTGACAAGGCCGAAGCAACTAAGTCATCGTTAAACAGAAACTAAAGTGAGAGACATGGGCACTTACTAAATAGGTAAGCAACTCGTATAGCAAGTTCTTCTCGCTTGTACCAATTGCATAGGAGCAACGTCATGGAGGGGAAGAGACACCCCTCGAAGAATCCGAGGAAAATACGGGTCACAACCAGAGACGAAAATCCCTTGACGAATCCGGTGCTTAGACAAACGATGCCCCAGCAGAAGGTAATGAAGGGGATGACTCGATTGAATTGGAGGCGTTTGACGAGGATTGATGTTGGGAACTGATGCGTTTATTAGCCGGAGAGGACGTGGTCCGGAGCTCACCATTGGCTTACCTCTGCAAGAATGTAGAAGATATAAAAGACGGAAACCGCGGTCTAGAAAACAAGATTAGTATGTTAGAAGAGGTTTCATGTAAGGGAATAAACATTTAGTTCCGAGCCTTTCAACCCAATATCCATAATCATTCCCTGTGTTGCCGCGAACCCAATGTTACCTCTGTCAAGATAGCTGATGAGCATCAACATCATCATGACAGGTGCGATGAACAAATCCAGCTTTCGAAGAAGCTTCGCCTCTTTCTTCTTGTACTCAATTGACTCCGGAGTTTCTTGCTCGACATCTTCGGTGAAGCTGTCTTGAGCCTTCTCTTCGGTTATGGATGAAGCCATCTTGAATTAATTAATCTAGACGAAGAGTGACCTTTGTTGGCGTCGAGTTTGGCAGAGATGCAGCGATCTGCGTCTATTATGAGTCCTCGAACATCAGGCTTTTTTATGCCAGGGCCTGATTCGAGCACCAATTTTGGGGTAAAGAAAAGTGAGGTGAATCTTACGTTGCGGGGAAATATCAGAAAGATCCTGGTATTCCAATTTCTTTCAAGTCGGCCATTTCTGAAGCCCGGGAATAAGCAGTGCAAGTCTCAGGCCCACGATTCCATCCATCCCACTTTTCAATTCCCACGACGTCAGACGGCTGCTTGGATGCGCCCTGGGGAAAGTTCTCCAACGACGGGGGTATGTTTGTGCTTACCAGAGTGATCGACATGGAACTGAGGGGAAGAAGCTGTGCCTTCGGGGCGAGGCCCGAAAGCCGACGCTTTGCAGGAATTGAACCGAAGGGGGAAAATAAGCCGTGGAAGTCACTTGATCTGACCTGAAGAAGAAGGAGTCGTGTTAAGGTATTGTTGGTCTTTTTGTAGCTGTTTGATATGTCTAAAAGAGTTAACTTTTCTCCGCATCACACCCCTCTCCCGGTTCCTCAGCCACCTGCCATGAAAAGGGAGGCGAGAAATGTTAAGCGAACCCCTATTTAAGCATTAAAATTAATCGGAATTATGAACATTCCTCCTAGCGCTCCGTCTACTACCTAAGGCAAGAAAATACCTCAGACAATGGAATCTACTTCGGCGCATAGATAAAAGCCAACTGATCCATTTCATCCCCATCCTGCCCCATGAACCCAACAATTTGCCACCCACTCGGCGCCGAAAATGTAGCACAATCACTCGTGCTTGTGCCAGCCGCCAGCGTCCTCCCCAGGCTCGTCGTAGCTAGAATATAAAAATTCCTCGTCTGGCCGCTCTTCTGGCCCTGGCAGAGTTTTGCGGTAACCCAATACTCAGAACTTCCAAGCGTGAGACTCGCAGCTGTACCACCCGTGCCACCGTGGGTGAGCGTCGTTCCGGAAGTGAGAGTCAATCCGACTGAGTCCAAACGGGAGCCGCCACGGAAGGATAAGACAGAGGCTTTTGGGGTGGCGGGAAGAGACTCGAGGTCATTGAACCAGTTTCCGTGGGGTCCGCCCCAGAAGCCTGATTGGCGGCGTGTGCTGCTGACGGCCCAGGTGAAGTTGACGGTAATGGGGTTGTGGTCACTCAGGATGCTGCCATCGGATTGCAAGAATTTCGAGGACTCGTAGTTGAAGTATGTAGCCTCGAGGGAAAGTTGCTTAGAGCCACGGTAGAGGACTTTGTCAACGGTCTCACAAGTGTTGATTAAGGAAGGGTTGTCGCAAATCGTCTCGACGGTGGGGTTCACGCCTCCCTTCTCGAGCTGGACGAAACCATCAGTTAGGCCATTTTGGGTTTCGAAGACGGTGATACCGTCTGCGGAGCGGGTGTAGCGCGAGTTGGTGTCTCCGTAGACTACTACCGAGTTTCCGATGGACCAGGTATCGATGTAGTCTGCTACCTGCTGGAGATTCGCAGCACGTGCTACCTCGTCTCCAGCTTCGGTTCTGGAAAGAATGAGCATATTAGCCAAATTTGGGGAGGTACGACGAACCCGGCATCTGCGTGGAGATTGTAGAAGTCAATATAAACACCTTCTTCAACAATGAGGCGCATGAATGTGAAGCCTTTCGGTGTCAAGCAGTCAGCTCCTGACGCATCGGAGCACGTGCCCCATTTCTCGCGAGCAAAGTCGATCCAGTCAAAGTTCGACAACGTGTTGAGCCCGGAGCCGATGGCCGCGCCACCGGAAGTTGCGGTGCGGTATGAATGGTCATCCGTGGCGTAAATATATGCATGATAGTTGAAGTGTTCTTGGAAGTCAGTTTTGGCCCGTCACGTGATTGAAAAGGGGTTTTAATGGGCACATATCTTCTTGGACGTGGATAACGTCGTAATCATATTTTGCGAACAATGAACCGATTGTACCAGCGTTCGTTGCCTTATCGCCAGGAACGGCATTGTCGTTCAGGATGGCAGGAAGTCCAGCGACGTTGAATGACAGGATGTTGAGATCCCCACTCGTGGCTGCTGCTGAGACCGAGGAGGAGAGCGTAGCAGCCACTGCTGCAAGGCTGAAGAGAAGAGCCATGGTTATCGAAAGAACGTTGAGGTTTGTTGATTTTCTTCGCTTTAAGAAGAACCTGCAGGGAGTTATAGAAACCTGGGTTCTCGAATGACGCATCGGAAATGAGGACGATCATGATTTTTGCACTTCACAACCCCGTGGTTTCCCTTCTCAGGACCTTCTGGCACATGATCCACGCTATCGCGGTATCATTTGCAAATAGATCGGATCTGGATCTCAACTCGGAGCTAGTGCCGGGAGGAAACGATCAAGCGCGGCTCCAATCCGCCAGTAATTACTATTGTATTGCCGTACCTAACGTATCGGCAGTGATCCAGCAGCCAAGGCTGCTGAATACTTCTACTCCGGCACTGATGTGGAAATCACTTGCCTTCATTGGAGTGCTTTGAAACTTAAATATAAGAGAATTTCGGAGCAAACTTCTAGAAAAGATCAAAAATGAGGGGCAGTTCCTGCCAAGATGTTGCCAAGCCCGCACCCCGAAAGAATGGCCGCGGTCTATAGAGATGTATATCAGACATTTGCACGTGTTGGTTTGAATGGAAGAAGCATTCAGAATGCGAACTTGACGGATCAAGAAGCTTAAGTAGTAATAATTATATGTTTGGAATTCTTTATGAATAAAGTTCCGCGTGAAAAATCACGTGGACATCCTGATTGAACAGTTCAACAATTCCGTACCCCTGGACAGTTTGATCGAGATTTCAATTCAATATGCGGGTGAGTCCATTTTAAAAATGCCATCCAACAAAGATTTTCTTAAGAAACACAAAACATAGGGGGGGGAAGTGAAAGATAAGGTCGTTTCTTGAGCTCACCTTCGAAGACAAGCAGCAGGAAGCTCAGTAAAACTTCCTTATAAAATCGACAAATATGAGGCGAGGGAAAGTTATCTCTGACAAGCAACTCGGCATAAAGGTTTTCAAGTCTTGTGGTGTTCAAGGAGGAATGCGAAAGACGGGCTAAACCCCACCAAGGGGGGTTCGTTGAACGCGGGGACAGGCGTTTGTGGCGTGATCTATGTTACCCGAACGGCTCGTGACTGAAGGAACATGTAAAGAAAACCACCTGAAAGATCACGAGCTATAAAAGTCCCTGGTGGTATTTTACAAAGACAGGAGAATTTACCTTTGAAACATTGAATTTTGGGGTCGCACTGAAGAAAGGTTTCTCGAAATATTAAGGTCAGTAGAGCCGGCTCAAAAATTACTCAGCATTGATCGCTATAACCTCCACTGAACTACGAGCCATAACGGACGCCATTGCTCAATAGATCTAATGGCGACTTCTATTCCATCAACTTTCAGTTATTCTATCAGGTCTTGAACCGCGTCTATGCGACTGGAAAATACGTTTAATAACACCTATTTCTTTCAACATCACCTCCACTGAGTTGAAGACTATACCCTACCGTGAAATACACCATTTTGTCATCGTGCTATTGACCACGGTGAAAAAGAAAAGGAAAATCATGGATGGGATTATTGAACCCAAGGCGAGCGTGGATTCAAAGAAAAGAAGACGAATCCGGAGTTCAGTCTTCCAGATCCACAAAAGCAGCTCGAACGTGGTCTCAAAAGCCGGCACATCTAATTTCTACAGTAGCCCTTGATATAGGACAAATTCTCACCTCCAACTATCCAGCACTGACGGGAAACAGGCGGTGCAATTGGTACAGGATCATTTGTTGATTCTGGGAGCATCCTCTCTGAAACGGGTCCTGCACCACTGTTCATAGACTACCTCTCCATAATGTCCGTCGTCTGGTGCGTCGTGAAGAACTTGGCTAGGGTGGTCGTGTTACTTCCCACGAAAGGAATCTCGATCCCGTACTTGGTCAATTGTTTCATCAAAACGTCGTTAGCATTCGCAGCGGGATGTGATCCCCCCCGGTTCATCAATGCGGGCGATTGATAAATCGGGCTCCCGATTGACCAATCGTAGCGCCTGATTGGTTAATAGGGGGTGGATTACGATTCGGGCTCTACACTAGGTCCCGATTAGTTAATCGGGCAATATTGAAGTCTCAGGCATAGCAAAACCAGTGTATATTAAGATACTTTACTCAAATCAAGCTTTACTATACATGCATCCTACTACGTTTAGGCGCTTTGATAGTTACCCTAGCCCTTTTTGCTACCCTCGTGTCTCTTGATCAGCTAATTCTTTATCCCCACGTGCTTGCTCAATAGCTAAGCTCTTCTTCGCTCTCTCAAATTCCCTGCCAGTCTTCTGAACTAACGTAATTAATTTACGATTATTCTCCTTTGCTATACTTGAAGGGCAGTAGCCTTGTCTTTCTTAATTTATAGAGTATAGAAAGGAAGTAAATTTCTAGTAATATTAGAGTTTATCCTATAAGTAGAGCTAATAATAAGGCCAACTTCCATAGTTCTGTAATTAGTATCCTTACATAAGCCGGATTGTTCTAAGTCCTTTGAGTCGCAAAAAATTGCCAATAGCAATATTTGCACACCAGATATTGCACCGGTTGTAATTTTAAATGATTAATAATCTATTAGATTCCCACTAGCTGCACTTGTAAATATAAAAGACGTAAAGCAGTATTATATTATTGCAAAAGCTCAAACATAACACCTCTTCGAATGCGGAATGAACCATAATAAGATGTACTCAAGAACGCGGCAGAAGTGGGGTGGAACTTAAGAAAGGGGCCTAGAAACGGTTCCTCCTGAACTAGAAGTATAGCACTAGTGCACATCCGTCTTAGAGGATTAATTAACTGTTCGATGCCGTTGTGGGACTGTTGGTATTGTGAGAGCGGGTGCTTATTAGTGTGGAGGGATGCGTATTCAGCATATGGGGAAGATAGGGAAGGTGACAATTAAGAAATTAGTCGGTCACAGGGGAATATGAAGATTGCACTACGCTCGCGTAGGGGTCTTAGCGGACTCAAGGGTATGGTTTAAGGTACCTCGCCCGCTACAAGCTATGTAACTCTAGGCCTGAAGCCCTAAAACGAGGGCTGTGACATATTTACAAGGTCGTGGAAGATGTTCAATCGTTATGGTATTGCTGGCGGGGTAACTTTAGCGCTCGGACGCTATAAGAGAGCTATTATAGGGCCATTTAGCGACTCTTCCCCTATAAGTACAGGGGATATGCCTTCTAATGAGCCTAGTATCGTAAGTCTGTGTTTTTAGCGAAGTTTTCAGGCCACACAAAACCAAAGTCGTCCACTTCACTTTATAGTTTCTCAACAACTACAAATTAAAACCTTAAATAATTCAAGCGCACACGATAAAAGAAGCTAGAATGAGTTTAGCAGGCGTTTATAACTAATTCAAACTATAAAAGTAAAGCGTCCAAAATTGTTATGGGGTTCGTTTCTTAGCGAAACGCCCTAAAAACACAGACTTGTGATACTAGGCTCGTAAAGGTGTGGTACCCCTTGTTTATAGTTTACAGCGTGCTTATGGGAGAGTAGCCTGGAAATATAGGGGGCTTTAGTGGGTGAGTGTAGTAGAAAGTAGCCTGAAAGTGAACTTGCTGTGCAAATGCCCTGTAATCCCGTCACTTTATACCGCCATCTTCGTAGTAAGGTGTCGTATACTAGTAGCGAGTAAAGGAATTAGCATTGCAGAGGAGGAAATGAAGAATGAAAGTAGGAAATGCATCAAGGGGGATTGAGAATCGAAGATGGCCTTGCGCCAATGGTTCACAAAAATCATCCAAGCATGGCAATGCCCCTGAATTGCAGGGTATGAAGGGTTGTATGCACGTACTGACTGGCGCTTGTTTCTAATGTCTATTCGCTCGCCAGTATATCGCTATTTTGCCTCACGGTAATATGTACCACTCGTATGCTCCCACTTTTCACCATTCATCTGCTTATACACGATCGACGTCCTTCTCTTGCCGCCACTGAGTATCAGCGAATGTTGACGCTTCTCCTGTTCCTGTAGCCATCCTCACTTTCTCGACTGGTCTCGAGTATCCTCGTGGTAGAGACAAGAACGTATCCTGAACTCTGCATTTCGATCGGGCTCGCAGGGGCGTTGGTAATTCCAATATTGCTATCTCCGAGAGTATAGTCGCCTGCCTGATCATCCGTTTTCGATAGTGTCAGCAATGCTATGCCGAAGTTGAGAAGGAACCCGCAGACGAGAGAGCGTGGTGATGACTTCTGTTGTGTTGAAGCCGCCGTAGAGAATGAAAGATGCGGAGAGAGTACAGGTTGTGAACACAACATAGTACATAGCATTGATACTGGGTCGATTAGTATAGAAATACGGTATGTTAAAATTGGATGGGAGACACGAACAGTGATGCTGGAAACTCATCCACTGTCTTATTGAGATAATTCATTTGCGTCAAGGTAGACACAACAAGAGTGATCAAGAAGGCGTAAGTGGAAGGACGCGAGAATTGATTCTCTCCTCCAACTGTGAGCTTGGCAGCAATCGAAAAGGCTTTTACCGCCATGACTGATATAGACCCAACTGAGGAACAGATCGAGATATAGACAAGTGGGTTCGTCCTGCCCGACTTTGGAGCAACCACATAGATCATGTACGTGGAAAAGCCAGTGACGAGAGAGCAGTAAAGTAGGAACACTGCGAACAGATGTTTGACTCGAGTCTGAGAGGATTGCAGAAGTGATACATACATGGCTGGATAGCCAAGTTGAGGATCTCATCAATCGTCTGGATGTCCTCGTCTGGGGGAGCATGCAATACGAGCATAATGGAGCCCAAGAGGCATGTTGCGCAGCCAAGCCTTCCCAAAGTCCGAACTTCTTCATGCAAGAAATATGCACCCATCACAGTCCTGCCAGCTTGTCAGTGATCCATTATCCCTTATAGCCAAGTCAATCGTACCATATCAGAACACTCAGAGCCCCAAGGGGAGTGACCAGCACAGCCGGAGCGAAAGCATAAGCTATGCTGTTCATGAGCTCCCCAGAAATAACTGATTCATAGTATCAGCCACTGTCGACCCTAATGCTTCACCATCCTGTATGCTTGCTTACGTGTAAGCATTCCACACCACCAAATGGGACTTCGCAGGTATTCGTGACCATCGCCATTAAAGCCAGGTGCTCGGCTGCTTGTGTGAGGCCCTACTTCAATAGTACATCAGAAATCAATCCTGCATGATATGCTGCAGTCTATGGCTTGTTCGGTATTCGAAAAGGAATTGATCGCGGCCCTTGAGGAGCTCGCAGATGTAGAGGAGAGGCAGCGAGTGCGTACCGTTTTCGTAATGACATAACTCGAGCCTGGCAAGGACACCGATGTCAGTATAAGACATTGAGATTGCTTGGAGATTGGGGGCAGAAAGGGACATCTCGCTCTCAAGGAGCCATACCAATTGCACAAGAAGCCAATATGGCCAATGTCATGCCAATGAATCTGCGATTGTTGTTAGTCGCGGGTGATTAGATCATTGGGATGTCCTCCAGGCATCAGTAGAGAGGAAAAGAGAACGCACTTGTCGTCGATCATACTTGCTAAAAGGTCGCAGTCGTTATTTTTGCCTTGCTATGGAGGGTCGGGAATGTCTGACCACTCTGGTCGAGCTTCTGCGGCTATGAAGCGACCAGGGTTTCGCCATACTGGCCGTGGGCGACGAGTGGGCTGAAGCAGGTAAATTTACAGCAAAAGGGCTAACATCCAGGGTATGGATAAATAGCACCTTGCCTGCGATTGCCTAGCCCCAAAGGCATCGGCTAAGGCGTCAACGGCGGGGGGTGGCTTCTCGTCTTAATGGTAATCGTTCGGCGTTTCCCACCTACAATTCGCCTAGCACGCCTTGTAGGTGAGGGATAGCGATACGCACAGAACAGCGATACGCAAATCGCACCAAAATTTGTATGGGCAAATCGGACAGATTTGCACTACAATAACGCCTTAATTTTTTTAGTTTTAAAATTTACTAAGCTAAAGGGCCTACACCTTGGGATCAATTCCCAAAACTTAGACACTATTTTATTACGCTGCATTGTGAGAATTCAAAGGGAGAAAAGGAGAGATTCCCACCAAATCTCAGATTTGCGTATCGCTGTTCTGTGCGTATCGCTATCCCTCACCTACAAGGCGTGCTAGGCGAATTGTAGGTGGGAAACGCCGAACGATTAGGGCTTGTTAGCAACTCTCCCCCCAGCCCCCCTAATTACCCGTCGGCAATTCCTCGCTTTGCTGGGGCCGACTTACACTAGCAAATCGGACCCAGCAACTCCGACAAACTACCAACTCCGACATTGCCATATAATATTAATTATTAAAACAACCACATAAAATATTGCAACAGCGAAAGAGCAAATTAATCCTTAGTCTATGGGAATCCTGACACCCCGAAATGCAATGCAAAGCTGAGCAGGACATTTCCTCTCACGCTGCATCCTGTATGATGACATCTGCAGCCTTCTCACTGATCATATAGATAGGCAATGCAATGTAAAATCCAGGAATCTTCGGAAACACGCTGGCATCAACAACCCTCAGACTCTGCACTCCTCTGACCCTGAACCTTGAGTCCAAAACGGCCATTGGGTCACCATCTGCCCCAATTGGACATGTGCAACTCGCATGGTGACCCCAAGCTTCATCTTTGATGAACGTCTTCATTTCAGCCTCAGTCGTCACATTTGGTCCCGGCCAAACTTCAGTAAACGATCCGTCTAGTGGAATAAGGTCCCTGAAAGCTTGACGCGAGTACTCCATAGCTTCATATACTGCTTGCAAATCCTTCTCGTCAGCGCCACCTGTGGTCACTCCTGTGTCGAACGAGTTGAAGTGGATGATTGGTGTGTCCCGTGGGTCGGCAGATCGTAGTTGTACTGTGCCGGCACTGTTGCGACTGTGGGCTTTGAGCGTGATCCATGCCCAGTGCCGAGCATCTTTCAGCGCAATATTTGAGTATCCTGGGTAATAGCCGGAGAAGTATGCTGGTGCGCCTGAGATGAGAAGATCAGGGTCACCATCTGCGACTGACGACTTTTTGACAACGGCAATGGCAACTCCGTTGGTAGCGTACGTTCCCTTGGTAATTTGATCGATTCCATGTATCCATTGTGTGAGACAAGGGTCGGGCATCGTGCGTAAGAAGGTACATTTTGAAGTGATGACAAAATCTGTTTGGGTTTTGCCGACAACTGTCGTTTCGTATCTGTCCTCTGAGTGAAGGGTGAGTTAGCAATTTCTCTATCGGGATTGTTTCGGGAAGACACATTGTCTCAGTGGAATATCATGAGACAGTCAAAATTATGAAATGGATTTCTTCCCCAAAACCTACGCAAATTCGTGCCTACTCCCGGGAGGTCGACCACTACGGGAATGTTGAATTTCCTCAGCTCTTGTGCCGGACCAATCCCGCTCAACTTCAGAAGTTGAGGCGTGTTGAAAGCGCCCGCTGAAATAATGACCTCTCGTGTCGCGTTGACGCTCCCAGAACCGGTAGGTGATGCTGACCCAGATCGAAGGTCTGCCCGATACAGACTTACGCCCTCCAAAAAGTCGACACCAGCAACTTTCGGAGTTGTGCCGTTTTGAACGAACCTTAAGTTTGTCACTAGCGTGTTGAGGCGAACATCAAGCTTGTATTTCCTTAACCCATCGGTATTGACAGCATTTGCGGTATCCAGGACGAAATTTCGAGGGCCATTGCGAGTCGAGTTCCACATTGCTAGTGGAACTTGGTATAGGCCTTCTTTCTCTGGCTGCCCTGGAGCATTGATGTCGCGGAGTAACACTTGCCCCAACCCAACAACAGTTTCTACCAGAAGTCCAAGAAGTCCCTTTCCCATAGCTGTTGCAGCCGAGACAACGAGTGACAGGAGTTTCTGGTCTTCAATTACCAAGGCAAGGGATGTCAATGATGTCCCAAGCCAGCCGCTGTAACCGTGCCCAACAATACTGCTGGGGAGGTATCCATTGCGCTCCAATCTTTGGAAATACTTTCTCATGTTCGCAGGTGCCCAGGAAGTGTCCCCTGTCACGGTCATTATGTTTTCCCAGTCGCTCTCGTGAGGATATATAGTAATCAAGGCGTTGTGAGCCGAGCAACCACCAAGGGTTCCAGATCGAGGGTAAAGAATTCCAAGTGGGGTTGAACCAGGCGGTGCTGATGTTCCGACAAAGAGACTTCCTGAAGGTGTCTTCCATGTCATCTTAGAATCCTTTTCTTGTCGAGCTTGATCTGTATAGTGGCTGACGAAGTAGTCCCATTTCATCGGTCCGTACTCTGTAGACTGCAACTGCAACGCTGGAACTTGTTCTTGGTAACTTGAGCCCTGATCATCTCCCGCATCAATCAAAAGCACCTTGAAACCGGCGATGGCAAGTCTTGCAGCCAGAGGTCCACCCCCAGGTCCTGAGCCAATAATCACATACTCATAGTCTTCAAGCCAAGTTGGCTTTGACTGTCCTTTCTGTTGCCCGAAGGAATTTTTATAGGAGTCTTGTTCGGAATATCTCGGGACAGCACTAGTAGCAATCAGAACAAACCAATTCATAGATGCAGTTCTCTGGGTTTACTTGCGATGCTAAAACAAGACACGCCAGATTGGTCAAAATGCCCAGCGTACATGCGATGAGCATCGTGACCCAACCCAGTGTTGTATTTGAATTAAAGATTAACAATCGAGCAGAAGTGAAGACGTTTAACAAAGAGTGAATGACTTGGTCGGCAGAGCACGCTCTCTCAGTACGCTCGACAAAGAGGGTGAAGGAACAACTTGACGACGAAGAACACACTTTCTCAGCGTGCCTGACCCACATAGAGCAAATTCGTCACCTGCAGCTCCCTGAACATTGGCGCCCCAGATCTCCGAAAATGCACTTGTGGTACCGAAAATTCTGAGGGTGGACTAGCGTAGATGCAGGTACCATTTCCCAGTAGGGTTGCACAGCAGAAACTGCCTCCGGGATCTTGAAGCCGTCCCCGCGGTTGCAGATCAAGAAGTGATCGTCCCGAAGAGTTTATCAATCCAGGGGATTCAAATCCTGGCAGCGAGGGCAACACGAATCACGGCACTGTTTGAAATCTCCCAGTTCGGAAAGGCTGAGAGATATGGGGAAATCAAACGTTAATATGGTCTTCAATTCAATTATTGAAGCACCAGAAGGGTCGATCCCAATCTATACTTCGCCAGGCACGGGGGAGCCCGCGCGGGGGTGACCCGCTATCGATCGCTTACTATCGGGCTGATGCCCCTGTACCCTGCAGGCACTTGTAGCTGTAGCTTTACAACGTATCAGGCCTATTAAATGTCGCAAGATAGGGGTTCTAGGGTTGCACAGCGCCAGAAAATCACCAGGATTAGTTTAAACCCCCCTTCCAGCCCCCGGTCTCGCTGCATCTAATCGGGCAGAGATGTTATCACCGCTATGGGAAATGCACTGCACCACTTTTTGGTACTCGACTGTAAAGATGGGCCTTGACATCGAACTGTGAAGCAAAATTAATTGTGAATCTTCAGGCACGAATTTTCATCTCTTCATAATTACTGCTTTATTTTTCTCTAACGTCAATTTTCTACATCAAAAAAACGCGATCTACTCCAGCTAGCCCTGAACATTAGACTCCAAGCACAATTCGTTGCCAGAGAGCCAATTTTCTATTAGCTTCTAATTAAATCATCCTTTCAAACTTTTGTTTAACTCCAAGACTGTGGTTCCACCAATTCCACAAATGAGCATCCTCAAGATTGCCAAGCTTGCTAGAATGTCGTCGAGGTCTCGGAGTGATTGACAGATTTGGTCGTTTGGGCATCGAAGAGTTACCAGAAGTCTCTCCTTTCGTTGTCAAAGTGAAGAGCGTTGGAACTAATCGTGCAACGAGAGATATGATCGATGGCGTACACGCGCAAATGACGCTCACAGGGACCTCGACGTTACTCCAGACACTCAAATCCACATAGTCTTCTGTGATTTCGTCAGTAAATATCTCTCTCTAGGATTGATAGGACTTAATTACGGGTAGGATTTGTTGTATTGGCAAACTGAATGAGTGTCTTTATTCGCAGAATGCTGACAATCGTGACGCTGGTAATAATAATTAATGAATAATCCATGAAGTGAAAAGGATTACCAACGTACAAGAATCCAACACTGAGCATTAACATGATATGAAATTTCTTCTTGGGTGTCATCAACAACTTGTAAAGCTCTGGCATAGGTAGGATCAATATACACAGGTCGAGGATAATGTTAAAGGTTGCACTGAGCCAGCCTTGCAAGTCGATGTTATTGCATTTCGAAGGATATTCCCCATCTCACCATCTCCACGCTGCATTGACTGGGCTGCATTGGAAGACTGATATAGGCTTAAAGAATATGAGATGACCAAGATTTGCTGCCATTAAAACCCAGACGCAGTATTTGAAGTTTTGGCATGAAAAAATTCGGAGGTAAAAGAAGAGAATAGAAATCTTGGTAAGTGGCAACGCGCAAAGATATGTCAACTTGCCTCAAAAGAAGACCCATACTTTAGTGAGCCTGCAAAAAGTATTGGCTCAATAAATGGACTAATGCCGAGGATAGACTGAACGTCTTTGAAGGAGTTGTTCCAAATATCACGGCCAAGCTCATGTTTGAGACTGCTTTTGTGTCAATTATCAAACAACCAAGATATCTTGAAAAGTTACGTACTGAAAATGGGGAATATTCCAAACGGACTAGAAGACACTATTTGCGTTGATTTTATTTACTGTTAAAGGAAGTTAGGTCTTACAACTACAAAAGCTATGACATAATCATCGATACCAAAAGCCCCAGCAGGTCCGGTGAGTTTTGCTGTCAATAGAAGGCAAAATATAAGAACAGCCAAAAAGTTAAACAAAACTCCCATTACCAAAACATGCTTTGTCCTGTCGCTTGGGATGATACCGCAGGCATTCTTGGTAAATCTCTCTGTCGCTATATGGTTAGAAAGAGTATGTGATATGCAGAAGTAGGGTGGACTACTCAAGTCTTACTGAATTGTGCAGTTTTGACTGATACGTTCTGTGGTTCTTGTTCCTAATTCTGTATTTCTACAAATGCAGGCAGTGTCGCTTAGTGAGCATGTTGAATTCAAGGTCTGTTCCTCAATGCAAAGAAGCTGCTCCAATTAGAATTATTCACCGAACAGAAAGAATAACACTTACCCCACACGCAGCTGGCAGCCCAGGATTTGCAATGGCAGAAGCAATCTGCGGCTTACAACCGCGAGCGCAACAAACAAGCAGAAGTTCTCCTGGTTTGAATAGTATTAAGTATAAAGTGAGGGAGTACAAAGTTTAGAACAGTGAATAACTGCAAGACTCGGTAGTTATGGGGATTGTAGAATCTTGGAGCGCAACCCCAACTTGGTCCACACCCTGACGATACGATAAGAAAGAAGATTCTTAAGAGGGATTATTATTATCTACTAGATGTTACCACCATACAATTCGATGTCAAGCAGAATAGGATTTGGAAGGAGGAAGAAAGAAACTCGCATTCTTTTCCCATGACCTTGTCCTCTGCTTGAGACGAAAACGTAAAGACTGCATCCGGTCACCAGACTTCCAATCCACCAGTGACCCTCGTACTTGAGCAACTTTTTGGTCTGGAAAGAGAAATAAGTTTGTCGAAAGTAGCCAGGGTAAGTTTCAGGTAGACAACTTCAGCCATGCCCTCCGATCAATCATACCCAGAATCCCAGACTTACCTGTGTCTACTTCTTGGGTGGTGTTTGTGGCGCCTCTGGAGGGTGTCCTGATTCCTGGGAATAGCATCCGTGATTTGGCCTCCATGAAACGGTTTCGATTTTAGGAAAGTTTAGCGTCGAACATGAGGAGTTTGCTAGAAACACCCTGTAAGAAACCCTGTATGCATTTCCCGTTTTCCCCACATATAACCCGGGAAATTTGAAGATCGGTCGGAGTCAGGGTAGATAGTGATTGAAGCGATGTCGCTCCCAGCGTCGAGAAGACTAGCAGAGGCTCACAATCTTAGTGGCAGGCCTCAATTCTTCAGGGCTGTTTGAACAAGTAGTCAAAGCTATGACAATTCGAATCAAATTTGAAGAAATCAAGTAGCAGCACTCAGGTTATCTTCTCACAAGAACGTTTTCGATCGAACGACCAATCCTGTTGTGAGGAGCATCATTCTCCAACATGAGGGCTGAAATTCTCTCCTTTTGGCTCTCGTCTCTCTCTCTTGTGATTGAACATTCATACAGTAGTAGGGATTCAAGAATCAGTGCTTCTCAGAGACTTTCACATGAATTTCGGGGTACTCATGGCCGGAGTACTAGCAAGCGACTTCCATTCGACCCAAAAACCACGCCAATTAAAGGTCTGCTATCCATAACATTCACCATTAATACAAATACTGATTTTAGGTTGCTCACAGTCACTGGTGAGCACTCTTTCATCCCACCCAACTTCGACGCGGGTGACCAGCGCGGGCCTTGCCCAGGTCTTAATGCACTTGCCAATCATGGATATATTGGGCGAAATGGGGTCACAAGTGTGAGTGGGAAAGTAACTTCGTTGGAGAAACCCTAGCTGATCAATTGTAAATAGCTTGGGGAGGTAACAGCAGCGAATAACGAACGTGAGCATACAATTAACCCCTGACGCAAAGATATTGACGAGTAGCAGTCTATGGAATAGGATTAGACCTCGGTGGAGTGCTTGCAATCATGGGCACAGTCTTTGTTGGAAATCCTTTGTCCCTTAATCCTGATTCCTGGGTTCTCAATTGGGGGACCAACGGGCTCAGTGGAAAATCTGCTAGGGAATGTGTTTGGACTTGTGGGTAAGAACGGCCAGCTAAGTCGAGTGAAGTCTTGACTGAGATTCCGTCAGGGACACCCCAGGCCCCGTTGAATCACACAACTTTATTGAATCCGATTCTTCCAACACCCGCAACAACTTGTACGTTACTAGAGATTGTGCTACGCTTGACTTGGAACTTTTTGCAGACTGGTACAATATGGCTTCGGATCCTATCGGGGATTTCAACATGGACCTGATGGCGGAACGAGCAAACTTTCGTTTTCAGCAGACGAAAGCAACAAATCCGAACTTCTATCATGGACCGTATACAGGTTTGGTCGCAAAAAATGCGGGATACATCTTTGCGGGACGGTTGTTCGCAAACCATTCTAAAGTGCATCCATCTAGCATTCTCAGCATGAACAGTCTCACCATGACAGACCAAATCTAACTGACGCATTGCTAACTAAGAATATTATCAAAAGCTTTTTTGACATATCTGGCAAGGAAAGTTCACTTATAATCGAGGTTGGGAATCAATCCCACAGAAATGGTATCGAACACCTGTTGATTACGGCCTCGTCCAGTTGGATTTGGACATAGTGTCCTGGATTTTGGAATATCCAGATCTTGGAAGGGGTGTAGTTCCATGAATGTTTATTGAATGGTTACTGACCCACATGAGCATCGGTGGAAATACCGGAACAGTCAACAGTTTTACGGGTGTTAACTTTGAGGACTTGACAGGTGGAATCTTGAATGCAGAGACTCTTCTCGAAGGTAACAACTTTCTCTGCTTTGTTTTCGAAGCCGTCAGGACCCTCGCACCCAACTTATTATCGTCACTATTTTCCGGTGCTCGAGGCTCCATTAAAGTTCATTACGGACACTTTGGTTTCTGCTCTCACGAGCCTCGCTTGTCCAGCTTTGACCGACTCGAAAATTGGTGGGCAAGGGTTTGAGGATGCCATTAAAACAATGATTCCTGGTGCAAGAAAAAGTGGTGGCGCTTTTTAATGCACACAAAGATTTTAATACATCAATCCCCTTTAGTAATTATACAACACATCGATTCATTGACTCATGGCCCAGTCCAATTGATTCCATCCCCTACCCAATGCATTGGCATTCCGACCGAGCGAACCCGAAATGTCATTGATCTTCAACTTTTGGAATGAGATGATAGTGCCAAGTCAAATTTTTCATCACCTTGGTTCAACTTTTCAGCCTCTTTCAAGGTGCTGCACTGGTGTTTGACCCGAATGTTGGGGCCCTTGGGGGCACACCAACCGGCATTAAATCATTGATGTGTGGCTTCCCAAAGCGTCTGCAGAATCCCGGACATTTTGTGGGGAAATCTGGATCAACACAAGGCATTTCGGCCCTTTAAAGTTGACAGGAGTCAGTGCGGAAGCAGGGGTTTTGGCCAAACACCGATGATCAGCATGCAGATCTTACAAGCTCGAGCCGTGACGTTTTGACCGCCCTCAGAAGAAAAAAATCAGGCAAATCACGATTGAAGGTCAAGAGTTGGTCACGCTTATCTCATGGTCCAATCCTAGAAGTCAATTTCAGAGTAGGGAACTCATAAGGCAGCGGAAACTCCCGTGTGCAGCTGCCCCCATTCCGCCCATTTGAGACCAGCGTCTTAGGGCCTTTTGCATAGTGACTATTGCAGATGATCCCAATTAATTCTTTGAAATTCTTCTCCATCTGTGTAAAGATCAACATATCTCACAAGAACCGCCGATGCTTTCTGATTGAGCATGGTAATCGCCATCTCCTTCCGAAACCTGTGGAAATGCATCTCCCCACGTCACTTTCTGATATGCGGTCTAGTGGCTGTCACTATTGCATATATATCATAAACGCCCAGCGAGAAGATGTCTTTCTGAAATCCGAAATAGATCTTCACAGACACTCCTTTGCCCATTCAGCCAGTCACTCATTTATCATTTTTCACCCTTTTCGCTTTCGTTCTGCCCAATCGTCTCCCAATATCCAGAATCTACCATCATGAAGTTTTCCAACGTCATCGTCATTGCCCTGAGTCTTGGGTGCCGGGTTCTTGCTGCTCCCGCTGCTCCCACACACGCACCTGTTGCAGGCTTTAATGCCCTGCCTGCAAACGTTCCCTTAGAAGATGTTGCAGACGTTGAGGCTCAGGCTGCAGACGTTCACTTAGAAGATGTTCCAGCAGTTCTACCAGCCAGATCGTTACCCGTCAGCTCCCCGAACACCGCAATGATCGAAGGTGCCGTTTCTGGTCTCAAGAACTCCGTCTCTGGAGAGCTTTCCACCATCAGTAAGTTCCGTCACGTCTCCGATCAAGAGTGCCGCTGATGAAGAGCAGTGTCAATGTCTGCCAAAAACGCCGCCTCTTACGACATCCCCGTCATCAAGAATAGCCTTGCAAACATCGCCACACACATGAAAGCAGCAACTACAGGCATGGCTCCTGCACTAGTTGCTGCAGCCACATATCTCACTGCCGAAGAAACACAATCTCTTCTCTGTGCTCTCAATGAAATCGAGGGCATTGTCTTCAACCTCAAATCAGCCCTCTCAACTATCCTGTCCAACATCGAAGCTGGTAAGTTATTCTCGCCTTCCTCGTACCGTTGTGAAATCTGTAAGGTATCTCTGCTAACTACGCTTTCAGGCGCCAAGGGGTTGATCGCCCCTGAAATCGCAACGGTTCTTGGACTGACCATGCCCTTGGTGGCCCCTCTCATAGGATCCGTATACATCACCGTAGGTTCGCTTCCCGGCGGTGATGCAGTCACGACTGAGCTCACCACCGTTGCTGGCTCTGTTATGGGAGATGCGGTCGCATTGAAGACCTTGGGTGGTCATTGAGCATGCTGCAACCACGGAGTGTGCTAGCTATTTTTGGCGTAGGTGCTAGGGCGTTGATCTTCTATAACTTGTAATATTAGATTTCAATTGTGCGATGATGAGAATGCGCGAGAAGTGTCATTCAGTGGTGTCCTTTCCGGGTGCAGAGGGAACAATGCTAGAGAATATGACACCTTGAAACTGTATTAATCTAATATCTTTGATTGTATGATCGTCAAGTGAGTGAGGTGAAACGTGACGTTCAAGTGTTCATTGGGATAATCTGTTGAGAAACGAGCTACATTGTCATGTGCGTTGTGTTCTCCGCTCACTCACAACACTCCAAAAGTTCAATACCTTCTTGAAACTCCAAGTCATTGTATTTTATGGAGGTAAATCTTCTACGGTATTTAAACTCATGTAAGTAATTGTTGCTGCAGTTAAATCAATGTCATGTTTGAAATTCTTGAAGTGTGGTAAACTACTGTAATCAAGCTAGGCAGAATACATGAACCTTCACGAAATGGGGGCACAACCAACGGCAGTGCAAAATCATTAACGAATTTAAATCAGGAGGGATTTTCCATAGTCCACTTCCAAGCATACCAGTTTATAAAACTAAGCGCATGCAGAAGCACAAAGCAACCACTCCCGAAGGCCAGTCACCCGACAAGAAGCTGAAGCAGCACTGGCAATGGAGGTTGCGGTGAAACTTGCCATGCTTGTACCAGTAGGGCTCTGTTTCAAACACCCTTTGCCCTGCGTAGTCGTCCCACTTGCGGTTGAACCCTGCTTTGGCGTTGTTGACCCTGTTGGAAAAGACCCAATCGCCTTCGCTGCAGCAGACGCGGTTGATGAAGTTCCAGTCGTCATTGCTGTTGATGATGTTCCTGATTTAGTTCCCAAGCTCCTGGGAGAGTTACCGCCTAGGTATTTGGGTGGCCTATGAGCAAATGTGTTAGCTCGGGCTTCTCATCATGGACTTCGATTAAGTCGACTCTATAAGTTGGCTCCTGCGAATACTCACTCACAACATCCACGCCCGACTTAATACTTGGAAAAGAGAGGAGAATTTTGGTTAGCCAGCGCAGCGGACTAGAGAGCGCAAGTGGCCATGGTTTCCTCCCGAAGACATGAGCCCCCCTCGAGCAACGTAGTGGCAGGATGGCCTCCGGAGTAAACGCTCGCTCCCAATTTTGATGTTCTGTAAAGGCAGAGAGTTTTGGTGGGGCAATGCCTCAATCCCTAGCACCTGAGTGGTGGGCTGCCCGATTGGGTTAGCAGGAGTCGACTTATAGAGTCGACTTAGTCGAAGTCCAGAAATGAGGTCCCAAAAATGCGGGTGGTACATAGGGCAAGATAGAGATTTTACACGAAATAGGTGCAAGCGACGCTGCAGGGTAGGTGCTATTGTTCGGATCACAGAGATTTGGCAGGAGGGCAATTTGAGCTGGCTCGCAGCACAAGTAAGGGCTGACGGTGCTTGCGGGCCGCTCATACATGATCCAGGTATTTATTGTTTGCACACGACGTTGCCGAGTCTACCAGAGCGCTGCAATCGTAATCTTAATGATCCATGGTAAGCCTTTGTAAAACTCTCATTTGGGCTTCTTATTTGAGCTCGTGGGTTATGTTTACATACCGGTAGGACAGCAATAATCACCATTGACAAGACAGTAAGTTCCAATGGGGGCAGCAACCACCAGGACAACAAGGGTCCGGGCGGGTTTGGGTGTAGGAGGGGCAAATACCGTCTTCACCGGTTTCAGGCGTTGTGGCATACAATTTAATACCACCGAAGAATCCATCGCGATGCTGTAGTAGCTGTGGGATGCGTTCCGCAAGCTGCAGAGCGCCAAACCCAGTCTCGCTATTAATAGGAGTGGCCACACGAGCGTAAAGAGTTTTGTTGTATCTTGAAAATGCGTTGGCGTCCGCTAAAACTCTTCAAAATTGACACGAGGGCACGAGAGTTGTAATGATGTCGACACGAAGATGAAAGGAGGCCTGGGAACCTCGCTCATTATCAGTCAATAAATCATCCTGTTAGCTCCCCAAAGTTCCCTAAGCAAAAACGACAGACAGGCTGAGCTGAACTCGAAACTACCAGCCGTATCGGAGGTACAACCGCCCTGTCACAGACACTCAACAGAGTCAAGATATTTTAAAATGGTACCCCAGCTTTCTTGAAACTTCAACTTCATGTCCGAAAAGAACGGCTGACCTCAGGGGCTGAGAGATGCGGTTGAATTGCGACCGAAGTTGTGGTATGCCAAGGTTGCGAAGGAGACATGATGAAAATCAGATTACATTCCGAAGACTTACAGGCAATATTTCCTTTTTGAGTACGCTAACAGACACCCTTTCTGAAACCACATCGAAGTCAGTCTAACTCTCGAGCTGCCAAGAATTCTATTCAGCTGCCGGAGGTTTCTAGTGACCACGCTGGATAGTCCCCAAGCAAGTACGAACTGACAACGTTCCGAGAAATCGGCATAATCAATGAAGAGAAGGTTTGTTCTACAGTATAGCGTAAAGAGCTAAAAAGAAATATAAAAAAATATATCGGGCCATAGAAATAGAATTCGTCTAACTTAAGAGGGTCTTTCTCCTGAACGAAAAATGCCCTGAGTTCTCGTTCCAGAACATAAATTAATGCTTTTGAACGGTCTTTATGCTTCAAGAGTAAGTGCTTTTATTAATTTAATAACACTTCTCCGTGAGCAGAGGAGCTCGGAGAGCTCGTCAAACCGGGCAAATATAAACTTCTTTCCCTTTTGTATTTCTGCTATCAATGCGACGTTGAGCGGTTGAACTGTCATGTTGGGAGGAAGCATCTTTGGTCATGTCTCGGTTTGATTATTGGGTATTATGAATCAACCCTTTCGCCCTTTCGCCTTGCATTGGTCGGTAAGCTTACTGCTCTTGTTCAGGCGCTAATCACCTTCGACTCAGTCAACTAGCCTGAGTACCCTAAGCAACTCACCTGAGTAAGCTTGACCATCCTAAGCAAGATTTAGCGCATCACGTGTTTGAATTCAGCGACTAATGGATACAAAAGGAGTGTGCCCCTGCCAATCCCTGTAACATCCCTGTTTTGCTCGCGTAGCATTCCTAAAACATGGGTGTACGCCCAAAACGGCAATGACAGGAGGCCAACTCTGATTGAGGATACATAAGCACCCTCTCTGGGTCTACCTGGAAGGGTACTTATGCTTTGAGAATTGGATCCCTATCTAGCCCCCTTCCCCCGCGTATAGTAAGCTAATTTATATGATTTTAGCATAAAGTAAGATTTTCTTTTTCGGCTATTTTTTAGCCCGTAGCGTGTGTACAAAAGGTGGGCAAGACGCATGTCCCTCTGTCCCTTACTTGTAATCGCTTAGGAAGTATATTCTCAAGGATATACGTACGCTTCCTGCACTTAAGATATACGTGTATATACGCTCCTGTGAGGCGCCGAAGGCGCCGAACGGGGTGCCCCTAGCCTATTAAGGTCCTAATATTAGTAGAGAAATAAGCATTAGAACTCCCAGAACTAGCGCTCTGTCTAGTTCGGAGACTAAAACGGAACCAACGAAAGAAAAAATCAATCCTGAGTCTAGGAGGAGTTGGAAGCTGAGCCCTACTATTGCTTAAACCATCCCCTACTATTAATTAGCGAAAATACCAGATGACTCAGGGTTAATTTTCCCTTCGCTGGTTCCGTTTTAGTCTGAGGACGTAAGTAATTACTGCTTTAACCTGGGCTGAGAGTGAACATACCTGAGCAGAGCCTGAGCAGAGCCTGAGTAGAGCCTAAGTATCCTTAAGTACGCCCTGAGTCAGCTTGCGCACCATAAGATGAAACCCATTTTGGCCTCATATATGCCCCGGCTATAGTTTTCTTACCGAATTTTGCCCGGGAATCCGTTTCTGCTCTCTTGCAGGGTTTCTACCAGAGCAGATTTAGATCCCTTTCATTAAATAGCACGTGACTTGTAGTCTAGCCTCATAATTTACCCGGAGTAATCTTACTGCCTGCTCAAAAGAGTCTAGCGTAGCCGCGGTCACTCAACCCTAGGAATGGCTGACGGTTACTCCGTAGGGTTCACTGCACTGATCTTCGGAGGGACGTGCAGATGAGGAAAGGCGTTGTGCCAAAGCCGTGATCAGGCTTGGCGATCATCCTGGAACGGTTGGAACGATCCAGGGCAAAGTACCTTACATAGTAAATTTGTATAGGAGGTACTTCCTAATTAAACGAGCCTTACGAAAACTCAAAACACTTCTTTTTGCCGCATTTAGACAAGTTTAAATCTAAATTTCCTACATATAATATAAATAGAAAGCTAGGATTAAATAGAGTAATTACGTAACTAAAAGTTTTTTTATGCGATTAGTAGTTATAAAGTTATTTATAAGTCTAAGTGGAAGTATGCTATAAGCTCCCTATAATTATAGGGCAGTTTAAGGCCTAAGGTACAATCTCGCTTAGGAATGATACGGATCGTTCCAGGATCATCGCCAAGCCTGGCCGTGATTGTGGCTGTATTAATATAAAACTGCGCCTAGAAAGGAGTCTTGATGTTACAGTAGCTTTTTAAACCTGCATCAAAGTCGCCCGTGCTTAAATATATCCTGCTGTCCCGAACTGTCTCCGGACAGTCGAATCGACAGTCGGTTTTAACCCGATTAGTAAAGCGGTGAAGTGTGTTTCAGCCACCCCCGCAGTACTCATCGTTCATACTCCGTATGATATCTTGACTGAAGATACAGTGACTTTAGTAGTATTCGAGGCCGAATTTGCATCGGGCCAATGTACTATTCACTTGCTTTCCACTGCAATTTTGTATAGGCCCTATTAATATAGAAAGGACATTTACGGGGGGGAGGGGGGTTTAATAGGCATATCTCGCTTAGTACTATACGTACAAATCTAATATTTTTTCTCGGCCACCTATAGTAGCTAGTCTTTAATATAATTAAGTAGAAGCTATATATTGAAATTACTATTGGCTTCTGCTTTTTCAGAATCTAAAGTCCTTTTATTTCTATAAATTACTCCTGCTAAAGTTATAGCTATATAATAATGGGGTAAGTTAGGGGATATAGCGCCTGCTATAGGGCTCGCTTAGTACTCTAAATCCCTTGCCCTTAGGGCGCTATCCACTAGCGTAATCTGTACACGCGAAAGTATTACTTTTTAGCCGCCCCCACAGGCCGTTTTAACTAATTTTTTATTCTAGAATCGCGAAACCGTATATGCGCTTTCAGAATCTCAAATTATTAGGTCCGTATAATAATTTTTGGGCTAGGTATAGGGCGCGGGAGGGGGGGCCGATTATACGAGCGGCCATTTTAGTAGGGGGCAAGGGGTAGGGGGCTAGGGGGGGGAAGGACCGTATTTTTTGGGGGGTTGAGGCTTAATTCCCAGGAATTATTAAATATGGAATTATATATATATATTTAGTTCAGATTTCGAGTTCTTCAGAAGGAATTTCGAAGCTTATCACGCGACCATACAAACCCCCACCAAGTGGCGATAGCGCTAGAAAACGCGGCAGAATCGAACCTAATCGGGTTAAAACCGACTGTCGATTCGACTGTCCGGCGACGTTTCGCTGCTGTCCCACATTACGTTCTTCACTTCTTTACCAGCACGTTTACTTCCAATCCTGCAACAACAGTGTTCAAGCATGGCCCCCTCTGTCCTCGGCATCGGCATCCCTGCTACCTCTGATATGGTCCCGTTGCTCGCACGAGGTTCTCTGCAAAAATCGCTCAACGTTATGGAAGCTGACATGAACGCCTCTCCTTACGATTGGGAAATGCTGTATATCACGCCAGATATGGCATTTGACCTCTGCACTACTAAGCTTCGTGAGAAGATGTGGGATGTTGTCATGATTGGAAGTAAGTGTTTCCTTTGCGACCCAGGGATAAAATAGCCAAGGACGCTTTGGTTGATGTCGACGGTGGTAGTGGGCATACGGAAGACCGATGCGGTTGTACCGTTCTTCGAATGCATCGTCAATGCCGTTCATAAGGAGCTGCCAGAGGCAAAATTTGCTTTCAGCAACAGCATCGAAAAGACGCGGGAAGCTGTTGATCGTGTGTTGGCTAGTGAAGAAGATAGGTAAACGCAATGGTGAGCGAGCTTTTAAAGAGGTCCGAAGATTTCCACATCAGTGCATTAAAAGGGCCAATGCGCAATGAGAAGCAGGAGGGAAAATCTCGGAAGGCATTCTTTTTTTGTTACAAATCGAGGTGCAAAAGGACTTGCACTTGATACCGACCTTAGGAACCAATGCTATCAGATTCAAGATCTTCACAAGGCACAGTTTTCACACGAGTAAAATCCTTGTGCCCAAACTCTTCGTTGCTCTCTTCCAATCACAACCAACCTCCAACTCAGGCTGAGACTGCCTCAACCGCCAACATTCTTCCATGACTATCAACCCTTTCCAAGTCATGCCCAAAGGCTGTTTTTGCGCTGCTATTCTCGTTATCAGGCCCCGAAATCTATCGTACAGAGTCTTGCCCGCCATGCATCCTAGAATCGTAAACGCCCAGTTGACACGAATCACAAGTCCATTTGGAAGCGCTTCCAACATCTGCAAGCTCCGGCTGACACGGAGGACAAGTTCAGGATCAGCCGTATCGGCGCCGAAGACGACGACGTGCAGATATACCTGCGCAGCGCAAGCGAATTGTAACGTTACCAAACGGCTTTCCGCTTCGCGTGTTGTCATGTTGAGCACGGATTGTTGTTCCAGCTCCTGCACCTGGTCCACCAGACGAGCAGCCATTGGGATGGCACGTCCAGAAAGCTCTTTTGTGTCTAGCGATTGGGTCCGAAGCTGAGAGGTCTTCCAATCAACAAGGCATGTGATCTCTGCGATGTTCGCCATCACCGATGAGTGACATCCCATTATTCCGTGAGTTTTGAGACCATTGGCGTGAAGATAAGGGATGTAATCAAAGCGTCGAGGAATATGTGAGGGAGATCCGAATGTTGCGTTGGCAATGATGTCGACCCAAATAACGCACGTAACATGAAATTCAAGAGTCCTTTGAGTGTCTGGAGACGAGAAGTCCTTCAGTGCCATCTTGAGCGGTGATGAGTGCAATGCAACTTCCTCCTCATCGCATGACTCTGGAGTGTTGTAGGTGTGAAGTGTGTTCAATAGAGTCATTGTCGCTTGGTGGTGTAACTCCCAGGCCCCCTCCAGCATGCTGAAGATCTCCAGACTGAGTAGTTGATGCATGACTTCCAATATTTGCATGCCCATCCTGACCCCATCTCCGGGCGCATGTCTCTGCTGATTGAAATGTGCAATGATCGTCTGTAGACCACACGCAGCGATAGCCTGCCGCTCCGTCACCTCTAAACTCAACCCAATGCTATTTATCTTCTCTGGTTCGCGAAGTGAGGCATCGAAACAGGCACTAACACTTAAAGCAGCGTGATAACGTGCCTTGTTACTGCACAAGCCACTCATGAGCCAGCTATGATCCATTGCAGTAGACATGGGATAGAAGCCGAACTGTATTGGAAAGATGAAGTCCAAGAAAAGCATGAGCAGGCGTGTATCCTCATGTGGAGGCTTGTGAATGGGCAGCGAGGTGCAGAAGCCACCATCCCACCATATAGATTCTGGTGTAGGAGGCCGTTTGCCTCTGATCGTAAGCTCATCGGACTGTTGGCAATTCGAGGCACCTCCCGCCTCCTCCTCTAGCCTGTTTTGGCCGCTACGTCTGCGAGTTTTGTACTGCACTTCTGCAATGGTTCGAAGCTGTCGAGCTTCTTCAGTAACCATGATCTCTTTCCAGCTCCGCTTTCCCTGCATCCAGTCCGGTGGAGGAGCATCGTACCCATAACATTGCAGTTTTCGAATTTGGCAGTTCTCACAGCAGGGATGCTGCTCGTCACATTTCTTCTTGCGGATACGGCAGGTGTAACAGCCAGTCCTGCTTCGTGAGCCTGATGACATTTGATACCTGTCTCTGGGAGATCCGATAGTACAATTATCGACGCAGTAGCGCAGGATTTGGAAGTGACCGGTCTACCCTGCAGTGATAAATGCTTACGTGCAAGTGGGCCCCTTTAGTCGCGACGTTAAGTCCGACTATTATCTGCAATAGCATTATTCAGCTGCGGTAGTGGCCAAAACTGGTCCTATTCCCATAAAGGTTAGCTGAGCCGCGGTCAATATTCGGTACCGAACAGAGGCTAAGGATTCCCTGCCCCAGGGGGGCTTCTACTGCACCCCACTCCGCTCACCTCAACCCGCCAACGGCAACGCCGGCAGCCAACTCACGGCGATTCTGAACCGTGGGCAGACTTGTGCATACTGATTTTCAATTATAGCCTGTCCACTAATTACCCGCTGAGCATGTACCTCCAATCAAAACGGCTACGGAGCCGCCGTCGAATCTCCCGTGGCCACTGATTCTTTTACCTGAATGTATTGTGCCCATGGAACCATGTATTTCATGCATATTCCAGTCACTTAGCCAATGGGCCATCGCGAGATTTTTGAGTTGCTACAAAAAAGTCCCAGTTTAGTCGCAGAATCCTCATGTAAGCCTGCCTAGCCTTCTGTAAGTTGGTTAAAAATAGTGCTGCAAAGCCTAATAAGAATGGTACTTAAGGTCTCGAACTTCTCACTTGAACTAATTGCTATTCCCTTTTGCACGAACGTATCCCTGCCTCATTATTCTTATCATCAGAGAGCTCTTCAAAATCGTTACCATGGCGGAAATCAGTGCCCTCGACCCCCTCCTCCCCTCTCGTGTGGTTCACCAGTTCCCCATGCCTTCGTGGGTTGAAAATCTCGCTATATGATCTAACGGGCAGATTGTCGTCACTTTTTCTTCAGCACCTGAAGTTTTCCTTGTCGGTCCCACCGATCCCTCCAAAACCGTCCTGATCCACAAATTCCCCGACGTCTCAGGTATGGCCGGGATCATTGAAGTGGAGCACGACAAGTTCTACGTTGCAGGAGGCAACTTCGATCTCAGCACTTTCGTCAACCAAACAGGATCTTATAAGTTATGGGAAGTAGACATGACCAATTTCGAAAGTGATGGTAACGCTGCTGTCAAAGAGGTCATGAAACTTGAGAAGGTCGGCCTTCCGAATGGAATGGAGGTACTTTCGAAATCCGAAAAGATTATTCTCGCTGCCGATTGTGAAGCCGGTGCCGTGTTCAAGATTGACCTTGCAAACGAGACGCATGAGATAGCGATTCAAGTTGACGAGATGAAGAATCCCGAGAAACCTTTCATACCCATCGCCGTCAACGGTATTGCGATCCACAAGGAATACCTCTACTGGACCAACACTTCCAAGGAACTTTTCTGCCGAATCAAAATCCACAAAGACGGCAAAGCCGCTGGAGACGTTGAAATCATAGACCAAGGGCTCATAGGCGATGATCTCTGCTTCGATCGTGACGATAATGCTTGGATTGCACGGAACCCGTTCAATACTATCACCGTGGCAAAGGCAAAGGGTGGCCTTGTGACTGTTGCTGGGAAAAAAGACCGATTGGAGATTGCTGGGGTAACTGCGTGCCAATTCGACAGAAAAAGCGGCAACGAGCATATGCTCTACGTTGTTACGAATGGCGGTCTAGGAGGACCTGTCAATGGAAGCGAGGTTGAGGGCGGGAAGGTCTCGGTCATTGACACCTCGTCGTTCAAAGCTTGATGATTCGGCCCAATAGTTAGCGTGTTTGGGTTAGTATTCAGCTGGAGTGGCATAGCACAGTACCATGAAATAGAGTCCATTTTCTGGATAGAGTCGTGTCCGAAATGAAATGCCACGTACTTTGATGTTTACTCCTCGTGATGATTTATTTTGGTATGTTTCTGCCGAACCCCAACTACTGAGTGCAGTGTGGGCTCCGATAGGCTCGATAACCGATCGATAGATAATCACGCTAATTGGTCGATAATAGTGGGTCCATTTTTTTTTAGCGATGGTTACAGGGCCAGTGCGCAGTAATTTTTTTAATTTTTTTTAGCGATATAATAGTCGGTTCGTCCTCCTTTGCTCGCTTTGCTCACAGTCGGGGAAACCAAGTGTCCCGCGAAAGCAAGTGTCCCGTTGAGATTTTTGTATGGGAAACCCTACCACAATTGAAAAAAATCGCTAGAAGCATCGCAAAACAGGCTTAAAATTATTAATTATAACCACGCTACCCATTTATACTTTATTCTAACGTAATGAAAATGTTTATCTATATATATTCTTTTATCTTAATGATTATAAGGTCGTATATTATAAAGGTGGTAAAGCTATTCCTGCTTTTTATTGGTTTTTGCGACAAAAAAGTGGTTGAAAAGTAGCCAATTTCATTGCAAATAGGCTTAAAATTATTAATTATAATTATACTACCCCTTTAAACTTTATTCTAACATAATGCAACTGTTTATCTATATATATTCTTTTATCTTAATAATTATAAGGCTGTATATTGTCAAGTTAGTGGAGCTATTCTTGTTTTTAATAGTGTGTTTGACCGAGAAGTGGTTATTTTGGTGGGGTTCCTATACAAAAATCTCAACGGGACACTTGCTTTCGCGGGACACTTGGTTTCCCCGACTGTGAGCAAAGCGAGCAAAGGAGGACGAACCGACTATTAGGCCTCATACCGCCTTTACCGCAGAATCGCTAAAAATCGCTTCCCTATAATTTACCGTCTCCTTACTGTTCGTCGCTGCTCCGACAATCCCTTCTAGGTGTTCTCCGACGCAAGCTTCCTCAGGAGAAAATCTCCTACCGTCACGGCACCCTCACTCTTGTCCAATTCTTTGTGCAGGCCTGACCTAGTCTTCGCTCTACGAAGAACCGAATTTCAAGCTTTGCCTTCCGGTCTCTCCTTTCTAGTACGGATCCTCTCTTCAGTCTTCTTCGTCATGAAGGTGGTTCGACGAGACCCCTCAAATCCTAGCACGAGGTCCTACCACGCTGTACCACCTCCTGAAGGCCCTGTTTGGAATCGTCAGGATGGGATACATTGGAAAGTGGGTAGTCACCCGTGGCTGCTCAATTTCGCAGCGATGTGGGAAATCAATCTTGGGGAATCCGTACGCGAATCCTTAAAAACACTCCATGATGCCGCACAACTCCTCAGTTGCTCTATTTTTAGCGGAAATTCGCTGGAAACGCTCTGGAGTACCGAGTATTCTGGTGTGGATAAATCACAAGAAATTGACTACGTTCGCAACTTTAGAGCCCACCAAGCCTTCCTGGAGATCGAACGTTGCGACTGCAAAGTTTTCGCAGACAGGTTGACAATTTTGTCAAATGTGACAGGGTTTTAATGTGGATTCTCTCAGATACACTTTGAGAGCTATAGCTTCACCTTGGTCTCACTTCTCGTCACCAACGAAAGTTTCCCTTCAGCCCTTGTCCGAACGAACGACGAACGTCCACGGGACCTGTTTTCTCGCCCTGTCTCTGCAATGGACTTGATTGTACATGCATGTAATATAAAAGCATTGATCGCAAAGGGCAAGGCATTGCGGCTTGAATTGCATAATCTCTCGGGAGCTTTGGAAGATGTCTTTGGAAAAGACATAACCCAGCCTGAATCAATCGAAGAGGCAGTCCAAGATTTAATGAAGGGTCTCTATTCAGACGGTCACGAGGATCCACCGGAATATCTATCGGCTCTGGAAATGAAAAACATCAGAAGCACGAGCACCGTCCCTTTGTCTTCGACTATCGGCGAAATTCTGGGGGCAATTGTCCTGTGAATCACGTGGACAACGTTGGCCTGGATCATAACCCCGGCAAGACTATCGCAGGTAACGGCATACGGACGAACCAGCTTAAGGAAGACGATACTTTTACTGCATTTGGTGGAGCTTGCCGTTGGCGTTCTGGGTCTATTGACAAGTTTTTTAATGGAATAGGTAGCAATCGATTTTATGAACCAGTTCATGTCACTGCCGTTGAACCTTCCACCACCCTGCAACTTCCCGTCCACTTCCTTGCCTGTTTAACGTTTCTTCCCTAGGCCAACACTTTTATTCTGCAGAAGATTTAGCAATGGGTTAAAGTGTACGATGCGATTAACGTAAGATGCATAAACTGCAGAATTTTCCGCCACAGCAGCCCCCTAGTAAGAATTATGCTGGCTTGTGTCAGGCTGCCATAGCCCTTAAGTCAACAACGAACTAGTTTCCACCATCATCATCATCAAAAGTATTTTCCTTCTTCCCCACTTAATATTACACTACTCGTTTTCTCTCAAAACTCGACATTAATTATCTGACATCAAACAACCCAAGCTATAACCTCAAGTCTCCTGTCCACACACAACATGAGCTCAAACGACTCTTCAACAACCAGAACCCCTCCATCCGAGTCACAGCTTCACCAAGCATCTGCTCTCTCACCACATCAACAGACTTTTACCCACTTCACCCGCCTCCCCCCAGAACTCCGCAACAAAATCTGGCACCTCTCTCCCCCGGCCCCCACCTCATCCACCTCACCACCCCCTCTCCACCCTCGCATCAACAGTGGGGTTCGCTTGTCCTTCAGCAAAACAGCCTGTTTCCCCATATTTAAATCAACCCACATGCTTTCCATCCGCCACGAATCCCGCGCCATCGCTCTCCCGCTCCACACCTTCGTCACGTACCTGCATCCGCGGTATCTTGTCCCTTTCTCCCGAGACGAAGATATAGTTGTCATGGATCTCTAGACCTTAAAGCCGTTCATGCGGCTCAGGGCGTAGAAGATTAGAGATGAAGGGTATACGCTAAGGTGAGGACGGGTGGTGCGGAGATCGGGGGTGCAGTGTGGTGAGGCTAGGCGGTTGGGAGACGATGCGGAGAGCAGTCGGTTTAAGTTTTTGATCTTGCAAACGCTCGGGTATTTTGGGCATTTGGAAGAGGTGTTTTGTGTTGGGTGGGAGAGGGGAAGGCGTAGGGGAGGAAGGAAGATGGAAGGAGTTGGAGCTGGAGAGGAACTTGACTGAGGAGAGGTATCGGTTGAGGATGTTGGGATTGGGTGGTATGCCTGGAGTTAATCAGGGTGATAAGCCGGTGATGAGGATACCGAGGGTCGTTAGTTGGAGTATTGGGATAGCTGAGGGAGAGGAGGAAATGGAGGACATGATTTTGGGGATGGAGAGGTTGGGTGATAGGGGTGAGGTGAGCTGTGCGAAGTATTGGCATTGCCATGAATTGGTGGAACTGTGGCGAAGCTGTAAGAATCTCTCAGGCAGATGTGGGTGAAAAACGGTCTGTTTAGTGGGCAAGGAGAAAGGGAAGTATACCCTTAGGTGGAGTGAAAGCTGTGGTGCGTAACGGATAAAACTCTGGCGCAAAATCAGGAGACATTAACCCAAAGACGAGAGACGGTATGGATAGTTTATTTCATTACAGAGTGGAGTTTTATCGGCACTACCATGCTCATCTAACCTTACATTTCTTTCTTTCCTTCTTTTTGTAACCCGATGGAAGTTCCCACAGGAGAATGGTCCACCAGTTTGTCTATCCCACGAACGCTGCGACTGCCTCCTCGATGAACTTCGCAGTCTCCTCCGGCTTACTCAACATTGGGCTATGACTACTCTCAACCTCTCGCACGGTAATATCACCCCCGGCATCCTTGGCCACCTGAACAAGATACTTCTGGGCCTCAAACGGGAACGCTTTATCCTGGCTTGTAGCCAGATACCAGGCTGGGATATCCATCCACCCCGCGTAAGCGTGCTCTCCACCCTCCTTATGCATCAACGGCCTCGAAGCCTGCTTCGTGAGCTTCCCAACCCAGTATTCACCCTCTTCGACGGGAAGATCGTGATAGAACAATTCCCTTGGTTCAGCGACCAAGACTGCAAATCCGCTCTCTTCATCGACTTTCCAAGATGGAGGAGGCGAGCCGCCGAGTCCGTCGATGAAAGACACTCCTGAAGGGCCGAAACCAGATGCCATGGAGGCAATGCCAATGACACGTCCCGATGTCTCGCTTGATGAGGATGTCCCTTTGACTGCGCTGCAGCCAACGGCACCACCATAGGAGTGGACTACAACGACGACATTTCGTCCCTGTCTAGTCTCCGAGAGGATTGCATCGCGTACTGCTTCGATGTCATCGAAGAATGTTGTCGAGGGGTTGGAGAGGGTCGAGGGAAGGATTACGGGTATGCATTTGTAGTCCTTTGCTTCGAGAAGTGAAGTAACCTTGTTCCAGGCTTCGGGGGTGTGCCATGCTCCTGGGACTAAGACCAGTGTAGGTTTGGAAGACATGACGAAGACGTGAAAGATGTGAGGAGAAAATGAGTTGAGGCGTATTCAGTGTTGAGAGGTTGAGAGGTTGAAGAAAGAAAGGGAAGTGGGTGAACTTTGGAGGAGGAATGCTGGAACTCGAAAAGTAGTACAAATACTTGAGACCCTAATCCCCATCACGATTGGCATGTTTTGGTTGGCCGATAATTATCCATGAAATTTTGTGTAACCTCCGGGACCTTTTCGTGGGCGGCGGTGCATCGCTCAACTAGCTGAATGCGGATGGAGGTCGAGATATTTTTGCGGATCCGGGGTGCGGGACGGGACGGCTGGCTTTGGAACGTTACTCTTTGTGGCGGCCCTGTGATCACTTGAAATTGTCCCGGAAGCAACGGCTATGCCTCAAGGCCTTTATTTCTTGAGTGTTACTGTACAGCGACAAGAAAAGACGGATTCGCAGGGAAATGAATTTATTTGTTGGGAAGGAAAGGCCTCGCAAGAAACTGCTTGTGCATAACCGATCCACCTCCGATTCAAATACACGTACAGTATCTAAGCACAACGTGCGCATGTTCGCAAAAGTAGAGAGGAGAGAAATGAGCTGGCCAAAATTAGTCAGATGATTGCAAACGGGTGGTTTGGCTTTTGAGAGGCTGTGGGTATTTTGGTCTTTTGACAGTTGCTTACCTTACAACTCAAAGAGGACACCAGTGGGATAATTCTCTGAGAATCTTCGAATACACAAACAATACCCAAGAATAACGTGTCGATATCAGCAAAAGCTAATTGGAGACAAGTAAACCGGTAAAAGTTAGCTGCATGGCTACGATGAGAGGTGGGTCTGGGAAGGCCTTGATTCAAACTTACCTCGCAATTCAAAGGGGGAATTGTCGTCTAAGATCAAAGTCCTCAAAGTCTCTAGAGCATTCCCAAGCTCTAGTCCCAAGTTCCATGCACTCTGTTGGCCACGTATGCCATTGGTCCCTCTTGCTAAGTCCGGCAACACGTCTAAGCAAGACCTTGCCTGTTGGGCACTGCAACATCACAATGCTTGGATTCTTGCCTGCCGACTCAGCGATACTTTTATTTCCATTTTCCTTCACAAGTTGCAGTCGCTCCTCCATTTGTTGTTCCAGTCTCTTCGCAAAACGAACCATATGTTTCCTGGAGTCTGGCGCAATAGACCTAAAAAGGTAGCAGAAGGCGAAATGCTCAAGTGTAGGAAGGCGCTCAAGCAGTGTGCGTAGCTTCATCCTATATCTCACGCCTCCTACAGGGTCCAGGGCTAGATTTTCAGGCTCCTCCTCGACTGTTCCGTTCACAGTCATGTTGTTGCTTCTGTTGTTCACTGTCCACCGAATCGCAGCCTTTCGCACCGGAGCAACGCTCTCCCTAGCCTCTGCCGAAGGAAGATGGTTCACAGCATCTGAGAAGAGCTCCAACGCGTGCTCGTTTGAGAAGAGGGCAACATCAACTTTCGGGCAGAAGTAGACAGGTCGCGCAAGCATACCATCGAAGCAGAGGCTGTAGCAGCTGAGGAAGCAGGCACGAGAGTCGGGGCAGGCGTATGGCAAGACTCCTAAGGGCTTTTGTTGGAATTTCGAGACTAAGGTTGGGTTTAAGGAGTAACAGAGGAGGGTGAATGCGCGTTCCTTTTCGTAGGGCTTGAACTCGATGGCGCGGGCCTTTGGAAGGTGGTATCCCCAGATTTGGAAGCGCAGCCTATAATGAGGTTAGTCAGTATTTCCCTATCTCAGAATGTCGTGAAAGGAATCTGAATAATACAAAGTCTTTGAAAACGTATTTAAAGCACTTGAGATGAACCACGAGCGCCTCAAAGTCATGGAACAAAAGAATCTAGGAGCTGGGTTATCCTTACTCGATTGGGAGTCTCTCAAAGGGGTGAAACATCTTCTCAGGGCCGTTTGAGGTGGTTGGTATGACGTCGTGATGGGTGATCTCCAATGAACCTAACTTATTTGGATGATTTTGATAGTCTGTCCTTGCCGGCGGGGAGAGGAAATAGAGGCAGGAGCAAGAAGCCAAGAGAGAGTGCGGACAATAGCCTGTGATGGAAGCAGCCAGCTATGATGCCAGGCTCAACAAAACACTGCTGAGATGAGGGATGATCCGTTGCGAGCTCTCCGATGTAAGAGAAGGAAGATGGGGAAAGAATTTTCGCGTCGAGGCTTGATCTAAATATTGAAGTGGACATGCTCTCGCTTACAAAGTAAATAGAGAGCTCGTGACCTCCGGCTTCGGACGTCTTGCCCAAAGAACAGCCGACTATGGTGTCGAGAATTCATATAAGATGTTGCAGCGAATCAGTATGGATGAATATCTAGTCCAGTCTACCGCATTTGGGGTCTGGAAATCAGAGGTGAATTTCGACTCACTTGGGAGTAGCTCGACAAATTGGAACTGCTTAGGGAAAGCAAAACTTAATGGAACATCTATTGTTCACTTTCTCTCAGCGTGTTTCAAAGATTGGAACTTACTTCACTAAATTTAGAGACGCTGAATATTCCACATCACCATTATATCTTCTATGCAAAGCGTTACCCCGATGTCAGCAAACTTCTAGAAGAGAGAAGGGTTCAACTCAAGAGAGGGCAAAGATCGAAAATTTGGAATAGTGTTAGTATACAGAATCCGAAGTCTCCTGTTTCCCAACCTCTAATGGAACCCAATCATCATGCGGTCCTCAAGGGTCAAAGTCCCAACCCATCATCCTCAACCTTTCCACTGAAAAATCCCAGGTCCTTCAGGTCATCCATGAACTTCTTTTCCGGGAACATCTTACGCATTACTGCAAGATGATCGTTCTAGGTCACACGCTTAGCAATTGAATAGATGCGGTTGCTCTTGGCCTCGAAGTCAAGTGCACCAGCAACATGTATCCTCTCCACTTCACTTACGTTCAAATAGCTATCTAAATCTCGAAATTAGCAAGATACCCTGTCAAGGAAACAAAAAGAAAGAAGAACTTACAAACACCAAGACCTCTGAGCCACCTGTCCATTACACAATTCTCGGACCAAAATAGCAGACGAGGGATTCTGGATCTTGTGGAAAGTTTGCCCACAGATCCAAGATGGAAAAACCAAATTCACAACGAAGGGCGGTTTCTCCTCCTCCACGAACTTCCACAAAGCTTCCTTTTTGTTCTCATTTGCTAGCCTCAGATACAGCTACAACCCTACTGGCATCATACAGTGTTGGAGCCAACGCCATTTTGACAGCCATCTCATTCCAAGCAGTTGCATTAGGAACCGCACTCGGATCAGGAACGGTGTTGAACGCAGCACCGTAAGATAAATTCAAAATGAATCGTACAACTGGTGGCTGTTTTACGGCGTGCCTGAGACAATTGAGGCTCCCTTTGATGTCCTGAGGGGTCGCATCGTAGGGGTCTGGCTTCTTGACTACGGCTGCGACGGAAATGCCAGGCGGCATCTTTCAGGACTTCAACGAAGGCGTTCTCGGCCAGAGTATCGGGGATGCACACGAAGTCGAAATTGCCGATTGCCATGCATGATTTAAACTAACTGTCCTCTGCTAGCCAAGTTATTTTTGAGATGTTGTAGTCGGTGGCTCGGACCTTGTAACCTTTATTGAAAATTCGTTGGCCACGTGAGAGCCGACGAAGCTTGCGGCTCCGATGACGAGGACCCAGCATCCGTCAGCGATGGCGTTTTTAAAAGCCATAGCGAACTGAGAGTTGACTTGAAAGTTAATCTTGAAGGCGTGCTGGACCGAATTCGAAGAAGAAAGAGGAGGAGGTAAACAGAAGTTTAGATTTATGGAATGTAAACAATCCCCGGAAGGGAATCTCTATCGTCTTATCGGACTCAGATCACACTTTTATCACGTTTACGAAAGAAGCAACACAATGTTTCAGCTGGCTAAAGACATGTAGTGGCATCCCCTTCGGAGTGGAGTCGCAAAGAATTTTTCGGGGTCCTAGCCCCTATTCCGATGAGACATTCTAAGCGAGCCGAGTGCCGAAAGTCAACAACGGGAGAAGGTGGCATGATTGCAACGTCCTGAAAGGGGCTGAAGATTGAAATTGTAACCTCGGAGGGGGAGAATCGTAGCTCCTAACACTCCTACTGTAAAACTTTATTCTGAAACCTTGCGCTCCTTCCGCAAATCCAAACCCTATAGCACCTCCTCCACAACAGTTTGCGGATCAAACTCATGCACATTATGTGAATACATCAAGTACCTCCTCTTCCTGCATCTAGGCAAGCTCTTTATCTCCACCTGAAGCAGTTCATGCGTCTCCTTCCGCCTCGCCACCACCTCACCAAGCGTGGCTTGCTCCTCAGCAGTGCTGTTGTAAGCTTTTAATCCAGCATCGTAAATTTCTTGAAACCCCTTAGACTGTTCCCACTACCTGCAGCTTTGTCAGTAACTGTGTCGTACTGTTATTACTGAGTGGTATAATCGCATACAAGACTTTTCCCGAAAAACGGCTCCCCCCTCTCCACCCTCTTCAAATGCCCCTTCTCCCCAGGAGTCTCAAAAGCGGCAGCATAATTCTGCCTCTCCGGCTCTGCTTGTGTGATATCTCACAAGAAATACCAGCTTGGTAAGCATCCCATTCCGAATCCGTGAGAGCATGGGGATCAGCAAATGATGGGAGAGAAGCGAAGTCGAAGCTTGCGCCCATGGAGCATATCGCGGGGTGGCGCCAATCGATGAGATTTGTCCTGCGTTTGTTGTCAATGCCTAACTAGAGGATAGAGGCGATGATAGAGGGGGAGGGCTGGAGTTGTAGGAATTCACGGATCAGATCCTGTCTGAGAGGTGTCAGCTCATTTGTTTGAGGTAATGAATGAGAAAACGAGAGAGCAATAGTAGAATGAAACAAATTGGGTGAAAGTAAACTCTTAATTGCCGTATGAGTATGCAACGAAAATGTATGGCAGTGCAATTGGGGCATTTTTCAGTAGCGGATCGAGTTCGGGACGATATTGGTTGACGTTGAGTCAACGGCGAAAGTTTACCTCCTCTAAAGTCTCAGACGATAATTAAGCCTACCAAAGTCCACTTCCATCTTTGGATCTGAGCAGTCGCCGCTCTAACCTGAACCGAGCTGAGTCCTGAGCACGCTACTAAGTCCGTTGGATCACGCTCAGGGAGGCCCTTCTGGCTCCCTCGAGAATTGGTTACAGTTTCTATATTTTCTATATCTAGAATTTTGTAGGTCCTATTGCCTGTACTGAAATATAGCTATCGCTTTGAGCCTATCAAGATATCGTAACAGTGGCCGTTCTCGCTCCCCTGTCACATTAATCAAGGGTCATTATCGGAGCCGATTTGGGTCCCCTTTTCAACGCCAGCGCCTTGGGACCTAATTCGGCGTTGCTTATGACGCCGCGTCACGTAGCACTTTACGTGAGTAATCCGGCGGCGCTAAGCTCTAACTACTTGCCAGTAAACATATTGAAGTCTTAGAGAAGACTCTGGCCACTACTTTACAGAGATCCCAATTTTCTCACATGCTGTAATAATGCAAGTAGTTGAGCTTAGTAGCACCATTTTTGGCCCACTCCTACATCGAATGACGGGATGTATAGCTGCAACTAGCCATCGTGCTAATTCTGGGAGCTCTAAGGCTTATATCTACTAATACCAGGACCTTAATGGGCTAGGGGCATGGCGTCATGCGTTGAGGATATACTTTTTTAAGTGATTACAAGGGGCAAGAGAGGGACGTGCTTCTTGCCTGCCTTTTGCGCGCGTACCGGGGGCTAAAGAATAGCCGAAAAAGAAAGCCTTACTTTACGATAAATCTGCAAAAATCAGCCTGCTAAGCGCGGGGGAAGGGGGCTAGAAGGGAATCAATTTTCAATTGCATAAGCACTCTCTGGGCAGACCCTAGAACGGGTGATTATGCATCTAAAAGAGAGTCGAGATCAAAAATTACTCCTTTGGGCGTATACCCATGTTTTAGGAATGCTATGCGAGCAAAACAGGGGTGTTGCAGGGGCTGGCAGGGGCACACTGATTTTCTTTCCAAGATGGCTGTACTGGCAGCGAAATCCCGAAAACCGCGCCTATAATATTTGCACGGGACCACCGCAGGTCGCAGATCTTTCTCGCGCAGCCTCAAGTACTGAGCTTTTTTGAGAGCCTTTCTCAACGGATAACTTCCCCGAAAAAGGCAAGGGATCTTTCATTCTTTTCGCATCAGGCTGAGTACCTCAAACAGGAAAAGTTCCGGATGGGCTAAGCCCCCTCAGCCGCACCACACACCTCCATCACACCTTCGGGCTTCAGCTAGCCTCTCCCAAATATGACCCAGGTCAAATCCGTCTCAAACCCTTTTTTCTTCCTCAATTCCTCTTTAAGCTGCATGTTAATGTAAATGCGTGCCTCATCCCGTTAATTGTAAAGCGAGATTAGCCTTCCTGATTCGCCTCCCCCTCAGGGCGCTCGCCCCAGAGGCGACACGTTTGCGCGCCACTCTGCCGCCCTCGCTCGCAAGCGCGCAGTAGTGATGCTCCTTGGTTGCGTGTGCAAACGTCAACGATGTGGAACAGGATCAACGCCAACACAGTGCATCTTCTGTACCTATCGATCAGCAGCTTTCTCTGCTTGTTCATGCTATTCTCTGCCGTCATTAAAGATAAGCTCTACTTTGGAGAAGCAAATGTTGCTCTTCTCGTCGGTGCGATGCTTGGTCCCTTTGCAGCCAACGCCGTGGACCCCAATATCTGGTCGCATTTTGACACTGTTGTGCTGGAGTTCTCGCGGGTTGTCATCATAATACAATGGTTTGCTGTTGCCCTCGAGCTGCCGAAGAGGTATATCCACTTCCACTGGAAGTCTCTGTTGTGGCTCGTTGGTCCAGTTGTGGTATGGGGATGGATGGTCTGTACGTTGCTTGTGTGGTTCATGGTACCGCGCTTGTCATTCACGCAGAGCATGACAATAGCATCTTGTTTTAATGCTATTGATCCTGTGATGGCAGCAACGATTGTCGGGAACGGATGATTTGCTCGAATGGTTCCTGCTCATCTTCGTAATCTGTTATTAGCAGAGTCTGCGTCGAACGATGTAACAACATCCGTCTGCCTTGGATTGTCGATTCTTCTTACCCGCTTTCCGGGAACTGCAAGTGAACTAGCTAGGTCACTTTTTGTTTATACGATATTGTACCAGATCTTTCTGGCTGCAGGAATTGGGCTCACGATAGGGTGGGCAGCCGGAAAAGCCCTGGAATATCAAGAGAAGAATGATTCGACAGATCGAGAGAGCTTTCTGGTTTTCTATCTTATGGTTGCGCTAGTCTGTATTGGGTTAGGAAGCCTTCTCGGTATCGATGATGTTCTGATGGCTTTCTGCGCTGGTTACAACTTCGACAAGACAAAATGGTGGCGTAGAAAAACGGAAGAGTCTCATGTATCTGACGCGATCAACCTCCTCCTCAACCTCACCTACTTCGTCTTTCTAGGATCAATGATTCCTTGATCATCATTTAATAAACCTGATCTACACATCTCAGCTTGGAGACTAGTTGCTGGCACGGTTCTGATTTTTATACTCCGGAGACTTCCAGTCATCATGCTCCTGAAGGGGGTAATACCAGACATCAAAACATGGAGGGAGGCTTTCTTCTTTGGGCACTTTGGACCAGTTGGCGTCGGGGCAATATTTTCTGCAGCCCTAATTAGTTCAGAGCCTGGAAAGACTGGAATCGCGGGGAATTTGCTGAAGCCCACACCCGGAGATCCCATGCAGATCTCACTCTGGCCAGTAGTAACGTTTGTGGTGCTCTGTTCTAGCATCGTCCATGGATCTTCCATTCCCCTTTTTAAATTTGCAAAACATATTAACACGTTGACTATCACGATGTCGTACACCGCAGGCAATGAGGATGGCCCAGGTTGGATTAATCGGCTCCCTAGAATAACCACGCCATCATCTTCCCAAGGTAGAACACTCCCGGACACGGGCGAGTATCCTCCGGGATCTCTACCGACGGTAGGCATTCCAGGTGCGCTACTCCGAAGGCAAAGAGGAGAGGATTCAGACTCGAACACTAGTCACACGAGCAGTGTTATCCCACGTCGTCGGAGAAGACGTAAATGGGATTCTGGCATTGGGACAGGCGGGTCCGTTTCAGAGTATGTGTGAAATTTCACCTAATATTTGGCCTTAAGACTTCCCAATTGGAGTCAGTACATCAGAAACTGAGAGAATAGAACAAACACCCGTTGAACCTACTGCTAATCGAAAACACATTCAGGTCCGCAATTTATCTCTCCCGTGCGTTTCGTAACCAGGAGCCTGAGAAACGGGGACCAGTCATAGCATACCAATTCGGAAACACTATAATAGTTGAGGATGAAGACGGAGAAGTGATCAAAACGTATGGCCTTCCGGGATCAGCCTCCGCAGCTACATCAAACAGTGCTCGGCAAACTCACAAGGAACTATCATGGAAAGGCTTTGGAGCAACCAACGGTAGTGAAAAGGATGATAACAACGATAAACACATTCGATTTACCATTGGTGGTACAGGTCGCCGAATGACTAAAGATGATTTCCTGCGAGAGATACAGGCGCTTGACCCCAAGGCGCGAGCAGAGCCATTGGATCCGCAAGCGGAAAGCTCCAAACAAGCAGAAAGAAGACCCGAGATCCAAACTAGCGGGCTTCCTGAGATGACTGGGCCTCAAGAAGAGAATGACCCCCTTGCGTCTGCTAGATATTACCCGGAAACTGCGATTGAGAAACGGCGCCGCCTGGCAGTGTTGGGAGTATCTGCGCATTCGGACACTTCCGATAATGACTCTCAAGCTCCCGATAGAACGGGTCCATGGGCAAGTGGAGGGCTGATAAGCCCATCGGAAACCAAAGAGGAGGGCGGCCTGGATATTTCGACTAACGATGCGAGTGCTGATGCGATTTCTGGACGAAGCGACACAGGGCAAATCGACGCCAGCAACAGTTCGGAATTGAGTTCGAAGCAGTCAGTTCCGATGGTGATTATTACAGGGACGGAAGATCAGACTCAAACCACATGGCCCAATGAAGGAGGGGAGGAAGCTGAGAGCGATGTCAGTGAACCCGGAAAGAAGCCCAAGGACAAAGGGAAAAAGAAAGTATCATTTGAACTTTAAGTTGTTAGAGTCCTTGAGATTGGTATTAATATTAGTAAAACATTGTTCGCATTATTATTTTGTTAAAAGTATGGAGTAAGGACGCAGTTCGAGGAGCAATAAGGAGGCCGCTGATGGCCAGGAAACACGGCCAGGGTGCAGTTCTGCAGCCGTAAAATACTCTGGGACGAGATATGTGCGCGTATTGCACGGGTCAGAGCGAGGACGAGGCCGTCGCCGAGCTTAAGCAGCGGCGGGCTGAAAGTGGGGACATGCACACTTACTTGCAACTACTTGCTAGTCCCGTAAGACATATATATGACAACAAGCTCCCGGGGCTTGTGGTCTGGGCCGCGAGAGGAGAGACATAACTTGTGAGTGCCAATATCGATAAGCCCACTCTGTTCTCCTTTGGGCCAGTCAATCTGGAGTGTATTAACCATTATCGAGAACTTGTTCAATTTCGAAGTGGAAGTCACTAAGAAGAATAGAACAACACGTGGATAGACAAAGAATGTACAGGCCTATTGGGTTTTTAGGTCAGGTTATTGTTCACCTATCGGGTAGCAAATCCAACCCGACATACGTGAATGATTCTGCTCCAACCGGCAACGGATGCAGTTGAACAAGAGCCATGAAGACAAATAAGACTTCTCGTTACAGCGTTGCAGTTCAGCCTTGCAAAACAGGGTGGGTGAGCACTGAAAACTATTAGAAATACCGATTCTATTCCAATCTATCTCCTCAAGCTTCAATATTACCCTTCGCTCGAGCCTCATATTTCGCCCAATTTCTTAAAGTACCAGGTTCTCCCAATAACCCCGATCGCCTTCTTCAAAGCCGCCTTCTCAACCTCCATATCCAAAATACCCTTCTTCTCCTCAACCTCGACATCTTTAACCAACCACTGATTGAACGCCTGCGTCGCAGACTTATCCCTCTTAATCCCCATCTCGCTCAAATAATCCCACGCCTGCTGTAATCTCATTTCCCCCACCGCCGCCTCAGCAAAAGTTTTCGCTCTCACACTTGCACCCGCTTTCATCTCATCTTTCTTCAGTTTATCGGTTTGAGTATGTCTGTGCTCCGGCCCTTTTGTCTTCAGCCAGAATCTGGGGTCTTGAGAGAGTGGATAGTGCGCTTTCCACACAATCCCTTCACCGATGCCAGAGATGCCGAAGCTCTTCGCGAACGGACATTGCTTTTCCACCTCCACAGTGTGACCCATTAGCTTCTCCTTGCATCTATCCAACGTTTCCGGGTCCTTGAAGTCCAAATCTTCGCGGTAGAAGCCGCCGCGAGAGATGTTGTATATTCCGGCTGTCTCGTTGTGGATCTTTGCGTACTCTTCGCCGTCTTGCCACTCGCCGTTTACAGATACGGCGAGAATGACGAAGCATCTTTTGAGTAAGTTGGCGATCGCGACTTTCTTCTGGACGCCGGGGCCGATCCACTCTCCAGCGAGAATGACCGGCTCGTCCTCTTCAAGCTTTTCAGGACAATTCAATTGGTGCCATTTATCCACAGCCCTATCCTTGAGTTCAAGAATAACTTTTCGAAGTGGTAGCAGAGAAGCAGCGACGTTGTAGTTGTCGTGTTCGATGTCGAGACTGAGTCTGTTTCGAGACTGGATTCGCACGGTGTTGTCGGGTTCGACGACGATGTCGGCGTGCGTTCCGTGAAGCTTCACGGTTCCCGTGAGCTTGATGGTGGGGTGGCTAGTGCCGAATTTGTAGGTGTAGTTTTCGATCAGCTCGTCGACTCTTCCAGTGATTTTGGGGAAAAGAGTGCTTTGTTGAGTGGGCTCTGGTGTTGCTTCTCTTGCGTCGTTAAGTTGTATTCGGGAGACGTCGATCTGATCTACCAAATCGTTCTCTGTCCTTTGAGTCGGGATGCCGCCTTCAGTGGTTGTGATTAGCATGTTGGAACGTATTTATGAGTCTGGTGGAAGACCAGGTAATGAGTTAGACTTGGTTGAGTTGAATGATGAGTAAAGTTTGAATGTGGAGGGGAAGAGGATTCTGTGAAATGAATCCAGAGAGTTAATTATATCCCTAGAGCCAGAGTTTGGACAGCCAAATCGACGTGTGAGTCAGGGCCAATGGAGATCACGTTGAAGGTGGCTCGGTGAGGCGGTGCGGACCACGATTGGCTGGTTAGGTACCAGACCGAGGGCGGTGTCCTACAGCTATTTGTTGAAATTGGCACGCTACCATAGCTAGCTTACCAGTCCTTCCAGCACCAGGTTCAACCACTAATTTAGGGTTCTCCACTCTCATTTGTCATGCGTCACTCGTCGAGCTTACTAAGCTTACTAGTATATCGTCATTTTAATTACTTTTGATTTATTAGCTAATTTATAATATATCGGAGAAAGCGGGCTCAGCATTATCGATATCGCCAATAAGTAATGGGGATAAAGACCCTTATCTTGAACACTTTATCCTCTGTTTTTAGACTTCACTCTCTGGTATCTAGTCATTCTGCAGACTGTCAACCTCCAATATATCGATTTTCCATCAATATATCGATCATTTTCCAATACTATTCCCCCAGTATAATTATACCTTGAGAGTAACCGTGTGGTTGATGAGACAGCTGCTGCTTTAATACTCTGCTAGGCTTGCACATATCAATCAATCACGTTTTGTAGCATATTCTAGAGAGTTTTCCAGGATCGAAAAGTCATACGGTGTGAAACGCATGAAATACGCTAGGCCGAGAATCCCCTTTTCCAGGGTGATAGCTGTACTTCTTCAGTGACCAGGCGCGATTTCATGGATGAAGTAACAAACATCGTCTAGGACTGATGGTTGGGATCAAGTATCACTGGTGTATATGTGTCTTGTCGGATTTAAGAATCGTATCATTACGGTGGTCCTCGAGTCCCCTGAAAATTTGGGTTGACTTCTAAAGTCCAGCATCACTCATAAGATTTTGTATTTGCTAGAACCATCCGAATTAAATTTGGTACTTAATTTGTTCTTATTCATAGCCAGGTATGAAGCCATGATGGCTGTCCTGGAAAGGCTTCGAATTGGAGAGATTAAAGCTTTTGAAGAGGGTCATTAACAGTGGTCGCCTCAAACAAGGGAAGGAGAGTTACTGCTACAATCCAAATTCTGAGACTTCACCGTCTGGATTCTCTAGACACCTCACTGGGTTCATTTGTATAAACTTTAGCAGTAACATGACGAGGGCTGTGTCGGGTTCATAGGAATTGATAAACTCCTCCCCAGTGCTTGCCCGTTGTCTGTTCCTCAAATGATCAAATCAATCGCAGTCGATTAGGGACAGTGTGTCAAAAAAATAATTAAGGTAATGAATTATATTTAATTAAATCAAGTAAATAATTAATTATAATTTGATTATCAACTTTCAAAAAAAAATTAATTATTAGAAAAATTATAATTAAATATAGTTAATTATTTCTAATTATTACGTGAAATCCATATAAAAGTTATATAAGTAATAAATTCTCTTCTTTTTCTTTAAATAATATACGACTAAAGCATAAAGAGAGTAAAGGTTAATTGATTTCCAAAGAAGAGAGAAGGAGAGCAAGGTAACATATATGTGAATTATTTGCTCTGGATATCACATGACCGCACTCCCGTGACTAGAGAAGTCAAAGCCCCTACTATAGTACTTATTTATAAAGATAAGTAAAGCGAGTAAAGGCGGGATACTAGCTATTAAGCCTATAATAATAAGGCGATATCTAAATTAGAGTAAAATACGCTTTACTTTTGCGCTATAATGCTTATATTATTGTTATAGTCACGTGTAATAACACGTGACCCAGTAATTAATTATATTTAATTAAATTAAGCAAATAATTAATTATAATTTGATTACTACGATTCTGATTTAATTTAATTTGATTACCGGCCAATAATTATAATTAATTAAATTATTTGACACACTGATTAGGGAAAGAACACCAATCGGTTTCTCCCGTCCCCTTTTGCACTTGCAGCCCGCAGGGCATTTTCCACGATGAAACATACCCAAGAAGGATTCGGATCTATCCGCTGTGGGCGCTCCACATGCCCAATAATTGGAGACCATATCTTTGTGTATCTCATACCAACCACAGTTGCAAAATTTCACCTTGGATGCCAGCACAGCTTGCATCAGGAGGTCATCTACGCCTTTCCATTAGTAAAAGATAAGAGTTTTGTCAGAATGGCAGGAGATAGAGTCTGTCTCCCGCCACCAGCGCATCTATAAATCGACATTCCCTCGATGCATTCCTCCGAGTTGAAGTTCATCAGCACCACCTCAGCCAAGTGCACGAACCAAAGCTTTGACTTAAGACCAGTCTTCACTAACGTAATTCTGCAGCTCCAGCGTATCGTATGTATGCTTCCCCTCAACAAACATCCAGAGTTCACAAACCTCACTCTGCAGCTCCAGCGAACCGTATGTCCCCTCTCGTTCGTGTACCTCAAATTTCCCATCAACGCACTTTCCAGGTCTTTTCAAGGCTGGGTAGCTGACAATGCATCAAGGACGACGAGCGACGGCGGCGATGGGGGGTGTGGTGGAGTTGGAGATGGAGATTGAGACCATCTATGGAGGTCCCAACTCCTAGATTCCCCATCTGTGTGGATCTCTTGGGAGGCGGGAACTGTTATGAGATAGGAGGCTTGCGGGCAATGGGTACCCTTACTCAAGTATTGAAGTTGAATGACTTCAAACCAACTCAATCTCAACCTGCTCAAGTCTCTCCACAGCCTGCCGTTCCATAAAGCCATACACGTACATATCCCCAATGATCTCAAATCTATCAGCCACGCGTCTCAAAAAAAGCGAACTCTTGCATCCCCTGACAACGGTAGCGATATCACCGATCCTCGCATTGCGAGAGCAGAGACCTATCGTGGGGTCGGAAGTCACCAATTCCAAACATTATGATTCTTGATTTCTTGGGGATGTAAGTTCAATCGCACAGAGGGGCCGCTGATGTCTCATAGAATAAACCCAATGCAGGATATTATTCCTCGTAAGATCGCCTCCTGCTACATACTCCGACTCGACAAGGGAAAGAGTGTCGCAAAGGCGAGAGAATTTTTCGAAAGGGAAGTTATCTGTACTCTCGCACGATAGAACTGTAGCTCGAAGGCTATCCTGATATGAGTTTTTCATATAGAGGGAGTGAGGCTCTGGCCCATGTGAAGGTTTGATGTGATGAATTGGAGCCATTGCGAAAGTTTAGCTCCGCCGGCCGGAAGGGCGAGATCAAATGAGTCGCAACCACGTCTCTGGGGGTAAAAATTGCCGGTCTCGAGGAGGGCTGTTATGGGTCTTAGGATGAAAGCTTGTGTGATCAAGATGTTGTCATCGGGCAAGTGTTGAATGACACTTGACAAGTTCCCAGATGCATACCATGGTACGCGGACCATGCGGCGAAGACTATCATATTGTTGCCAATTTGGTACCCACGATGGTACATTTTGGGATACACATTGATCGTGGCCCGCGTATGTTAAAATATCAAGTCTTGCTGAACCTGCAATGACATATTTCGCTAAGTTTTTGTAGACATCGAGGACTGAAATCGTGTACAGTACGTAATAGGAAGTTCCACACCAGGATAAAGGTGCGACACTTCAAGTAAAACTTACAATTTATCTCGAGGTTCCGCGCAGAATAAGTCACGACAACGACGGACGAGACGAAGGATTCCTACATCGCGCTCCCCATGATTCGGGCTTCCCCATGCTCTCATATGGACGGTAATGTCACTAACTCTCTGACCGAGCTCTCTCAACTCAACAATGGTCGCATCTACCGTTTGAGAGTCGTAAAAGGTCGGAATTTTGCCATCAAAAAGGTCTATCTGTCGACTAACCATCCGGAGGTAGGTGAACCGAGTTTTTCTAGAACCGCAAAGTAACCAGACTTCATCAGGGCGATCCGTAACAACAAGCTCTTGAATAACCCAGAGTCTACTCGAATAGGAGCGCTTGAGTATCTGCCGCAATCCATCCCAGTGTGGGTCGTATGCCTTGTTTGAGAGCGTTTTGTAGAGCCAGTCGGAAAAGTCGGCGTCTGAATTGCTCGCATTTTCCATTCGTTGACGAAAGCGCCGATTTCATTTGGGAAGTCCATTGCTTTCCTACTATTGCCTTCATCTAGACCAAGCCAGACCACAACACTTGAAGCATGCTGATAGACATCTGACATCGGCCGCCACTGATGGCCCCTCTCCTTGTCATCGCTTTGGTCAATACAGGGCACCAATCCAGTATGGAAGTCCTGGCTGAAGGTGCTTGAGACCAAGGCGAAGATTAGGAGAGTGGTGGGCAACTCGTGGGAGTCGAGAAGAACACGACTGGGAGGTTTCCCGACATCAGGAGTACCCTATTCGTACGAGCGTGCTTGGTAAACGGGTGTCGAATTCAAGGAGACGGCTTCAAGGAGACGGCTTCAAGGGAACAGCGAATATCGGCTGCATCGGGCTGCGAGGAATCAATCCGAATGACTGGAATTTCGCGGTTGCCAGGGTTTAGTGAGTGATAGAGAGCGTCGGGATGAAAGGTTCGACCGAGGGCAGTATTGGCATCCATGATCTGCATGAAATGTGAAGTAGCAGACAATGAGAATATGAGATGAAGGAAGGAACAGTTGATAGAGGTCTGGAGCCTTGCTTTTGCGCTGTCACAAGCTCAGCCACAGCTTTGGCGCTAGAAAGATCTTGCGTTCTAGAAACGAAAAAGAAACCAATTACAGCATTACATTTTCTGTGTAACTCAAGCTCTCCTGCAGGACTGCTGTCAGTGTAGTTTAACGTCTTCGGACCTGACTTCTCAAATTAAGCAAGAGAAGGTTCGGTGTGCTTTTGAGCCAGGGCTATTGCGCCAGATTTTATGGTATCTTCACGACTGACTCCATGCCCGTGCTGTTGCATTTATTGTACATTCGAGCAGCTCCCCTCTTGCCCGATGCTCCGTACGGGACCGGAATCTGCCTTCGCCTTCCTTCTTCGTTCCGTACATCCTCCAATGCTCAAACACCCGCATGTGTCCCTGCGTGCCTATCCTTCGATCCAACTATCAGTCCGTTTTCCATTGCCCTGATACTTCCAATATTACCATCTTCAAACCAGATCCCTTCATCTTCCCTCCACAGAACTTAACTGAAACCCTTCCAACTGCCGGTCCAACCACCGGCCCACCTCCTCCGCTTGCCTCTTAACCCCCATAATACTCGCCGTCCTAGTACTCCTAACACTGCCCGCCTCACTCGGCGCCCCACTACCACTGCCCAGTCCCATTCCTAGACTATTACCACCATCATGTGCTCCCTCCCCATTGTACTCATTCTCTCCATGCCCTTGTCCCGGCGGCGAAGAAGGCGGGCTCGTATGTGTATGTGAGCTTATCGACTGCGCCCTTGAAGTCTGCGACGGACTCGAAACTGCTACTGAAGAGGGTCCAATCGCCACGAACAGCAAACCGCAGCCTAATGTCCGGATAACCATTACGCCGTGTGTGAGCTGTACGGTGATGGATGCAAGATCGTGATCGTTATCTGCTGCCGTCGTGGTAGATGAGAGTGTAGCATCTGAGCCTCGCGGATGAGTATTTGATTGGGAATGGGACTGGAGAGGGATGGCGGAGGTAATGAGGGGCGAGGCGGCGGGTTGGTAGAGCGTCCATAGGGAAGACGCGAGTGTTGCTTGCGTGCGGAGGGTAGAGGCGGGGAGGGCGCTGGAGCTGGAGAGTAGCTTGCCGGTTGGAGAGAGGAGGAGAAGGGTTGGGAGCGCCGGAGTGGTGTTTTGGGAGAGGAAGGTGGTGAGACGTTTGGTGAGGAGCATGGTGTCCGACATGGGGAGAGGAGATGGATGGGAATGGATGCTGGTGTGAGGTCAGTTGACGGGACAGGAAACGATAGGACTCGGATAGGACGTACAATGGCATCTAGCACTTGTGTCAAAGTCAATCGACTCTGCTGTTAAGGGCGTATCTGGCGAACGCTGATTTTGGATTGTACAGCAGCAGGTTGGGGCGATTGCGGGGAAGCTTGAGGTCAAAGTTCTTCAAGATCTGGGATCAATCAAGCGACGCGAAAACGTTTCGATCACGAGCGCGTCACACACACAACCAACAACTACCAATCTCATGGACTCGGCCAGCTCCCTGGCCATAGGATTTTTCGTATTGTCCCACTTCCTGCGGGCACAATTGCATTTGGTCTTCATCGAGGGGCTTCTTGCAGCTCTTGAAGACTACCGCTGGCGTTGGGTCCGGATCGCCTTGACCAGCACTTGGAAGAGCGCGAAGACTATGTGGAGGTTTTGAATGCGCAGTAGGAAGGGTTTGAAGTCGTCTGGGGGAACGAAGAAGACCTCGACTTCGATTTCCTTGACTAATCTCGTACAATTAACGCGCCACCAGCAGCAGATTGTTCTCTCGAGCGTTGAACATTCGGCCTCTATTACCCAACTCTGCTTGGTACTGTACAACCAAACTCACCCGTCATTCATCAATCACCCAACTCCCCTGGTACAACCACACATGGAATTCGACGCCGGGGCACGACGCTTGCTCCTCGTTCACTTCGTCAGCTTCTTCAACTTAGGCCAGTTGCACCTTCGTGTCGACGCCCTTCTTGTCACCTTTGTGCATACCCTGGAAGGTATCCTCCTCCTCTGGGAGCTCTTCACGACTCGGTGGGTTCAGTTCTACGAACGACAGCAGTGGCAGGACCAAGCGCGCCGCGAAGTTCGTATCCCTTCTGTCAAGAAGCTCGTTTTCATACTCTTTCTTCACTTTTGTCTGTTCCTGCTCCTGCTGCTGGAAATATTTTAAAGCCGACGCGGGGTGTCAGTGTGCAAAGGTAATTGGTCACTCACGTCATATGCAGGGCGGGGCATACAGTATTTCATTGTCCCATCTTCGCCTCGTCCTTTCTTCTCCTTCACCCCGCACTGTGTTCCAGCACTTTTATGCACTTACCCTGCGCACCGAACGCTTCTAGATCAGCCATTGTTCGAGTCTGCTTCGTACAATCAGGTAAGGAGCTTCGATTACCCATTGTTCCGCGATGCGGTGGAACAATCATTGACTTGAGCAGCTCACAGACCACTATCCTCGATCTTCCTTCCTCCCCGAACCCAAACTCCCAGCTTCCTCGGTACAATCAAAACATACGCAACCATGTCTACCGATTTGAAGACCTACAAATTCAATCACTCGATGTACGAACCCAGGCTGGAACAATGGGAGCCGCGCTGATAGCTTGCTTGCAGGATTCGGGTGAAAGATCCAAAGGAATCAGGCACATTCGCCCCATTCCACCTTGAGGCTCAAGGCTAATGCCCTTAGTCAAATTCTATGAACACCTCGGCATGAAAATGATCAAAAAGATTGAGCAACCAGAAGCTAAATTCGACCTGTACTTCATGGGCTACGACTCTCCGAAAGCTCTCTCTCATGGGAACGGCTTCAGCGATCGCGAAGGTCTCATCGAGCTGACACATAACTACGGAACCGAGAACGACCCCGATTACAAAGTGACAACTGGCAATGCTGAGCCGTACAAGGGATTTGGACATACCTGCATCTCGGTTGATAATATCCAAGCCGCATGTCAACGAATCGAGGATGCAGGATATAAGTTCCAGAAGAAGCTTACAGATGGCCGTATGCGGAGCATAGCCTTTGTTCTTGATCCCGATGGATACTGGGTTGAGGTAATTGGCCAGAATCCAGTTGACAAGACAGAGGGCATCACAACCACCGATGTGGGCACGTACAGAATGGTTCGTCCCAACTTCTCCAAGTCTGAATTTCGCTAACAATACTCTAGAACCATACCATGATCCGGGTCAAGGACCACGAGAAGTCCCTCAAGTTCTACCAAGACGTCTTCGGCATGACTCTATTTCGAACAAGTGAGAATGCTGATGCAAAATTCAACCTCTACTTCCTTGGCTATCCTGGCGAGAAGGGCATTTCTACAACATCTGCGAATGGCGTCAACCCGACAGCTGAGCGCGAGGGTCTTTTGGAGTTGACATGGAATTATGGTACTGAGAAGGATGCCAACTTCACGTATCATAATGGAAATGATCAACCACAAGGATTTGGTCATATCTGTATGTTTTCTACGCGGAGTTCCGGTAGGATGCTAATTGTGGAATAGGTGTTTCTGTTGATGACCTTGATGCAGCATGCAAGCGCTTCGAAGACTTGGGAGTCAACTGGAAGAAGCGCCTCACAGATGGCCGTATGAAGAACGTAGCATTTGTCCTTGACCCAGACAACTACTGTAGGTTTTTGGGAGAGTCCCTTATTCTCTTGATTCTGTCCCAAGGCAATGTCCCGGTTCTCACAGAACATTCTATATCGAGCAAGAGACAATGTCCCGGTCTTCCCGACAAGCTGTATCAAGCACTTGCTAACCTCTTACCTAGGGATTGAGGTCATTCAGAACGAGAAACTGAAGAACCGAGCAAACTGGTAGAGGGTCGGAGGGACAGCACACATATCATGACGAGGTTGGCAATTGACCTGCAACTTGTCAAGTACAATAAAATAATAGTCTGACACTCACACTTCATATTTCTTTTTCTACTCATGTGATGGCCTGCTTACGCCCGATTCCGTAACCCGGACGAATCTAGGTTCCCGGACGGTGTGGGGTAGCACAAAGCTTGCGGCTGGGTGCATTAGTGTGCCCCGGAGAACGCGGGGGTGTTGATCTGACTCGATCTGGGCGAATAAAAATGCTGTTATCCCACCACCAAGAGCGACATCGCTGTTGTGAGACGCAAGGCTTCGAACACGTGAGTTTTTTCTCTTTTTTACCCTTTCCCACTCAATCTTTCCCATTTCTTTGTCTACTCTCATTGACCGAGTCTTTCAGCTCCTCGCGCCTCGTCTCCCCACCAAGAGCATCCCTTGCTTCCCAGCTACATCCACCGCGTCCCTTCTCCCATACCTCACAATGGCTCCCTCAACCCTCCCAGAGACCTCCCTTGACCCCACCGAGACCTCCAATCGCCCCAAAATCCTCATCCCCGAAAAAGTCTCTCCCGATGGCCTTGCCCTCCTCTCCCCCTACTTCGAAATCCACCAGCCCAAGAACCTGTCAGCCGAGGACCTGCTGGCCCAAATCCCCACCTACCAAGCCCTCATAATCCGCTCCGAAACAAAAGTCACAGCCTCCGTGCTTGCCGCAGCCACGAAACTGAAAGTCGTCGCCCGAGCTGGCGTCGGGGTTGACAATGTCGATGTGGACGCGGCTACGAAGAATGGAATCATCGTCGTCAACAGCCCGAGCGGGAATATCGTTGCAGCAGCCGAACATACAATTGCGCTCCTCATGGCTGTAGCACGTAATGTGCCAGCTGGAGACCGCTCACTTCGCAATGGAGGATGGGAACGCTCGAAGCTCGTAGGCACAGAAGTAGGCGGGAAGACACTCGGCATCATCGGGCTAGGAAAGGTCGGGTTGAAAGTGGCGCGTATGGGCGTTGGCCTAGGGATGAAAGTCGTAGCCCTCGATCCCTACGCCTCTCCTGACATAGCTGCTGCTGCGAATGTCACCTTGGTCGGAAATCTCGAAGACCTTCTTCCTAGGGCGGACTTTCTCACTATCCATACGCCGCTTATTGCGAGTACACTTGATCTGATTAGCACCAAAGAACTAGCAACGATGAAGACAACTGCAAAGGTGCTGAATGTAGCAAGGGGAGGAGTGTATAACGAGCAAGCACTCTTCGACGCCTTAGAAGCCGGAATAATCGCAGGCGCAGGCCTCGACGTCTTCACGAGCGAGCCTCCGTCGCCAGGCTCCGCAGCCGAAGCACTCTGCCGGCACCCAAAGGTCGTCGCTACACCCCATCTAGGAGCCTCTACCGTCGAAGCACAAGAAAACGTCTCCCTCGACGTCTGCGCCCAAGTCCTATCCATCCTGAACGGCGGCCTCCCATCCTCTGCCGTCAACGCCCCTCTCATCCTCCCCGAAGAGTACAGAAAACTCCAACCTTTCGTCCGCCTGATCGAGAAGATGGGCAGTCTCTACACACAACATTACTCCTCCAAGCCCTCTTCTACCATTGGCAAAGGTGTAGGCGGCAAGAAATTCGAGCTCATCTACGAAGGTGAACTCGCCTCTATCTCAAACACGCGCCCTCTCTTCGCCGCTTTGGTGAAAGGTCTCACGTCCGCCATCAGTGATAGTGGAGGCCGGGACGTGAATATCGTCAACGCCTCGCTGATCGCTAAGGAAAAGGGATTGATCATCAACGAAACGCACACGCGGGAGTCTGCGAACCTAGTATATGCTTCTTTGGTCACGCTTCGCGCTACTTCAAGGCCTGGGGAACCGGGGCAGGTGATAAGCGGGTACGTGAGTGGGAGAGGGATCTACATTTCCAGACTAGACCGCTTTAATACTTCGTTTGTCCCCGAGGGGACGTTGCTTGTGCTGCACAATTATGACGAGCCGGGCAAGATTGGTGGTGTGGGTGGGATACTGGGCAGGCATGGGATCAATATTAAGTTCATGTCTGTTGCGGCACTTGATCGAGGGGGACGGGGCGCTTCGATTGGCTGGCCTGGGTCCGGGTTTGGGGCGTCGGAGGCGGTGAGTGTGGAGCAGAGTGAGAGCGAGGCGGAGAATGAGGCACTTATGATTCTAGGGGTTAATGGGGCGGTGGGGAAGGAGGTTGAGGTTGAACTCAGGGAGGAGAAGGGGATTTTGGATGTTAGTGTTGTGCGGCTTTGAATTTCCTTTGTCTTGGGAATTGGACCGGTGGGAGAGGCGCATTTTCATTTTAGCTAGATGAGTGGGAGGTTTTCCTTCTGGCTTGTCCAAGAAGGGGATGGAGCCATAGCGACTTGGTCAACGGCTCAGAATTTCGTGGCCGGAATAGGTGCATAGTCATGATAGGGATTGGAAAGCCGCATTTTGCGTGAATAAAAAGTTCAACAACAGAATCAATAAAATTAAAGTTCAAGTTAGAAATGGCTTCTCATATGATTGGTTTGAGGACGAGGTATTCATCGATCTAAATGAATCTACGATGCTGAGCTAGCCAGCTCGTCCAAGGAACACACTTAATGCTGGTTGCGACCCTTCTATCATTTTCCTAGGCCAAGCCTCCATATCCCAAGCTCCCTATTTTCCAGAGAAATCAAATTGGAAAGAGAAAGCTGCACAACTCCTGTCGGGTATCTCCAAACTATTACCCCCACCCCTCTAAACCGTCAACTCCGCCGCTTTCGCAACATCGATATACTTCTTGTACTTTGCAAGAGCTTGCTGCACCTCTCCCCCGTCCCCACAGTACCGCTCAACCTGCTCAGGCGATCGTCCAATGAAGTTCTTCGGATCCAGCATGTCGTCAATCTCAGCCCAGATCGGCTCGAAATACTTCGTCTTCTTGACACGCTCGATCAAGTCGTTTCGGCCGCCTTCCTTCTTCACGACGTCGCTAGCTTGGTGGCTCAGGACTCTGATCTCCTCGTGAGCTTCTTGTCGGGAAGCACCCTTGGAAACCATCTTCATGATCATATTCTCCGTGGCCATGAAAGGCAATTCCTCCATCAAGCGGCTGTGCACACGAGCTGGGTACACAACGAGGCCAGAGGCGACGTTGTCAAGCGTGATTAGAATAGCATCGGCGGTGAGGAAGAGGTGGGGGATATCAATGCGTCGGATTGCACTGTCGTCAAGTGTCCTCTCAAACCATTGTGCTGCGAATGTATCCGAGCAGTCTTTGTTCAGGTTCGAGAGATGGCGGCCCAGTCCACAGATTCGCTCGGAGCGCATGGGGTTCCGCTTGTATGCCATGGCTGAGCTGCCAATTTCTAGGTAACGGGGAAGTTAGCGATTGCTCGATACAGAATGTTTCGGGAGTGGGCATTGTCTAAGGAAAAAATGCTAAAACAATCTGGAATAGGAAATGGGTTCCTCCCCAACATACGGTCCTTCTCAAATGGCTCTTCCATCTCCTTCTGCGAGGCCAAATGTCTGATGTCTGAGCCGATCTTCTGGACTGTTGCACCGAAAGCAGCAAGTGCGTTGGCTACTCGGAGGTCGACTTTGCGGGTGTATGTCTGGGTAGATATCTATTATCGAATTAATATGGTTATTTTTTGATTATATGGGGAGCAAAGTAGCTAAGGAGCCAGTCTCCAAAGATAAATGCACTTATAAGTTCCAGCAAAGCTCCCGCGCTCTGAGGTCTCATACGAGAACTCAGCAAAGTACTAGGAGAATAAGGCTTACTGAATAACATCTGTCGAAGCCGGCCTTCTTGCACAAAATCTCATTTAGCTCGTCAATCTTGGCGCCGTCGTTGTGGAAGATTTCCATAAAGGAGGCTTGTGTTCCTGTTGTGCCCTGTGCGCCGCGGAATCGAAGAGCAGCTCGGACTGCCTCGATGTCCTCAAGATCCATCATCAAATCCTGAACCCATTGGGAGGCTCGACGGCCGACGGTGATGCATTGAGCGGGTTGGTAATGTCTGCCCAGCAAATTAGCACGGTAAAACTCAATGTGGCGTGAAGAGGCTGAGAGTATCGGGGTCGCTTTGGGACCAGAACACAAGCCAAAGGAATCATGCCGGCCCCCGAAACAGCTCCTGGGCTCGTGGCTCTCATAGAAGAAGAAAAGTAAATGAGTATGATAATAGGCCTTACGTATATCCAAGCGTGGGCATGTCCTTGTACTGCAGTGCGAATCGAGAAAGTCGGTGGATGACAGTTGCAAGCTTGGGGAGAAGAAGGTCGAGTCCATCCCTCAGGAAAATCAAGTCCGCATTGTCGGTCACATAGCAGCTGGTGGCACCCCAATGGATGATTCCTGCGGCAGCCGGAGCGACTTGACCAAAAGCGTGCACATGACCCATTACATCGTGACGTCTCTTTGACTCCTCTTTGCGAGCAATTTCCAAGTCATCGTCCGTTATCAAAACGTGCGCCTTCATCTGTTTAATGGCTTCATCGGAAATTGAAAGGCCGAGTCTAGAGACATGTGAAGTTAGCATAATATTCAAATGACAAATAGGAATAGAGCCAAGAGTATTTCTCCTCAAGTCAGATCCAAATTGAGACCCAATGGCGACTGCAAGAAGAATGAAGTAGAACGAGAAGGTGAACTCGGTACTTACTCTTTCTCAGCTTCCGCGAGCCTAGAATATCAGAACCCCGCATTAGCACTGCCTTCAAAGAATATAATTGAGAATTGAAACATTCTCTTAGCAGTACTTAGCTCCCGAGACTAGCTAGGGAGTAAACAGCTCGGAAGATATGCCAGGTAGGAAATAATGCCCTAGGGGTGTAAGGACTCGAGGACTGACCATAACCAGAGCTGACGCCATGTGGAGCCTCTCTTTCTGGCGCTGAACAGCTCTCTCATCTCTGTACACGTCACCGAGGTTAGTACTCCGCCCTTAACAAGAGCCAAGAGCAAGCGATCGAGAATCAGGGGACGCGGGGCAGGAATGGCGGGGTACTCACCAGACGAAGCATATCTCGATGCCAAAGGCGTTTGATAATTATCATGGGCCGACATCTTGACGAACTCCAAAGGTACTCACAGATTGGACGTGATTGTGCAAATTGGTGCAAAGGCAGATGTTGAACGTGAGAGAAAGATGGGGAAGAAGTGCGGGCGAGACGATCGTTCCACTCAATTAATTTTTCTGCCGCTAGAATTCCTCGGCTACGACGTTTTCGAGGGCGGTGAACCCCCGCCCTCCTCTCGGATGACAATGAGTCTATCCTAATCGGACAATATCCTCATTGTTGAAAGGTGGCAAATTTATAAGCTATATCCCTAGCTATATTCTTTAAGAATTTTCAGGACAGTTTCCTCATTTTGAAGTATGGATACCACCTATTCTTTTATAATATAAAGCTTCTAATAGTGTTATTCACATTCAGTCACTGAAGGCTACCTAGTTTGTCACTGCGCAAATTAGTTAACTTGTGCAATCGTATGCTATGGTTTGTCAAACTTCTCTCAGTATGGCTGAGCAACTTTCATCGTCGAATTAAAGAAACAAGGTTGGCGCTTTGTCGGGGGCCGAGGCCAATCCGCTTCCCCCCTCTGCTGATTCCTGTGGCCTGTCGGTAATTACACCGGCGGTCATTGGTCACGTCGTCCGAAGTTGCCAGGGAGACCTTCATGTTACATTCCCTGCCTTCTTCCAAGTCAAGCTTAGCCGCAAGACATAGGCGGCTTTTCACACAAGCTGTTGGAAAGGCTGTGTTCCCACGAGTAAAGTCCGATTGCCTGCAGTGTTTGTGGACCCGTCGCTTAACTGAATTGGCTTACCCTTGAAGCCCCTTTTGCTGCTGCCACTGAGGGCTCCGCCTATGTTCTGTTCGCCTGCAGAATCCGGGAGCTCAAGGCTCAGAGCAAGATAATACAAGAACGCAAGGCATAAGCCAACAAAAAATTTCGGGAAAATTTCTACAAAAAGAAAACCACATCCCGAATTCGCATCCCTCTTCTACGCATCATGCTGAACTTAATTAAGCCATGTCGCCAAGTTTCCATCCGCTAGCAATGAAATATCTGATTTCTTCACTGGCTCGCAGTGGACAGAAACGCGGACTGATTTTCAATGTCCCAAGTCAAAGTTGGACATTCATTGAACTCTAGAGGGGCAGGAACTAATATTCTAGATTTCCGATATATCATATATCCGAAGTGTGCAAACTTTGAATATATAATATCGCATGTGTTTATTTAGAGAATAACTATTTGCGATGACCAACTTGACTTTGGGACATCGAAAATGGGTGCCGCTTTTTTGTCTACCGCGTGACTGGGCATCTAAAGGCTAACCAAGAGCCAGATCAAGGGTCTCGTGAGCTCATCTTACGCCCGCTACACTGATCTGAAGGTGAAAGGAAGAGGTCAAGCGAGGTTTGTGGTTGACCTTGGCAGAAACAGATTAGTTCTCCAAAGGCTACTCGCTATCGCCCGTGCACATGTGTCTTTCGTGACGCGTCCTCTTTGTTCGGTTCATGCCTGTTCATGCCCTTTCCCCTTGAAACTTCAAGTTTCAAAAGAAGCGGATGAGTTCTTTGATAATTGCCCAGTATCGAGACACCACATCAAGATGCCTCCGTGTGGGTACACTTGGAAACTTCTGATCGAATCCATGCATGCTACAAAACCCCAAGAGCCAATCCCTCGATCAAAGGAATCTGGTCTATATCTTCTAGTTCCAGGCACCCAGCCCCGAGTATGCCAGAGTCCATCAACCATACATGCCCGTAACCCGCGATCAAGAGCCAAATCTGCCACTTTCCCTCATCCTCAATATTCAACCATCCCATTACAAACAATACCTTCAAGACATAACGCAGTCAACATGTCCGATCCGAATCAAGATTTTGACTACTCAAACCTAAACCGAAAAGGTGGAAACGGAGGAAAAAACGACAAACCCCCTTATCCATGCACATGTGAGGAATGGCATTGGTACAAAAATTGTCCTCTCAGGTATTGCATCCAAAACCCGTGGGCGGAATCGAAGAAGGGGAAGAAGGGGAAGAAAGGAAAGAAATGAATTCCAGGAATTATAATTGGATCAACTGAGAGATATTGTTAGATTGGATGGAGACTCGTACTGCAGAGGAACGGTTGACACAGATGCTTCCCCTGGAGAAAGTTTTGCTGGGAAAGTTGAGGCTAGGTTTTGGAGAAAGGCAGGGATAAACTTTTGTTCGAAGTTGGACACAGATTGTACGATCTTCTGTTAGACGCTTCTGTTTTTGCTTGGTCTTTGCATTATTCAGAATTTAGCTTGTGGGGGCAATGGTGTGCCATCATGAAATCAGGAACCTTCCTTGCATGTCTGAATGAACATGTTTGCTACTTCAACCTTAGTATCCGTAAATGACTTGATTCTAAATGACCAACTTTTTGCTCCCAGAGCGAGTACATGTTTGCCCTGCCACGAGTTTGCTGGACTGTTCGTTGGCTCCATGTGAGAATACATACATTGGTGCGCAGTTGAGGTTGGTATCGACACCACAGTGGATTCGTAAAACATGGAGGCTCGCTTCAGACTTCTATTCCTCCTTCTTCTTAGCAAGCCTCAGCATCGGAGCCACCGCCTTCGGATCCTTCTTGTCAGCCTGCTCCATAAATCCAAACTTCTCATACAAACTCTGAGCACCTTTTCCAGCATCTAAATACAGTTCCAACCCCTCACTATCCGCCTTCTCACAGATCCAAGCCAGAAGCCTAGAGCCTAAGCCTTTCTTCTGATACTCCGTATCAGTTGCTAGAACTTCAAGAACTGCTTCCATTAGCCCCACCTATCCACCTATCTTGGACGGTTTTGCAACGAGAGGGTGGAAGGGGAGAGACAAACAATAATGTGGTCTTTGACCCATAACAGCACTACGCTGCCTCGCCATCGGATCGAAAAACACATCCCCCACAATCTCAACCTTCATATCCTCCGGCAACTCCGGCTCCCACCTCGTGCTCCAATCCATCTCAAACTCTCCCTCGCCATACCTAAACCACCTCCCAAACGCGACAATCTTCTCTTTCCCCTCCGCAGAATCTTCTGTCACGATCATGTGCGTGCAGTGTTGAGACGGAGTCTTCATGCTTCGTTCAAATGATTTCCGCCGCCATTCTCGTCCCGTAGGAGTATCAGGGAAGACGGCCTGCACGGCCGGTTGCCAGAAAGCTGAGTTCCAGACCGCGATTAAGCCGGGGATATTAGCTTCTGTTGCGAGCGAGAGTGAGAAGGTCATATTCAATAAATTTTCTTCACGATGAAAACGGCGATACTTGCTATATGCTCAGTTCAAGAAGAACGATGGAAGTCCGAGGAAATCTCACTCTGGCGTTTGAGCGCTCGAAGAAGATATAACGCAGTGCAAAATGCGCTCTCTGAGGAGCATAAATTGGGTTCTCCGGAGGTGCTTTAGGAGTGAAACATGCCCAGGAGCTAAGCCCCTGAACACGTGATATGGGCATGCAGAGGGCAAGAGGGGGGGGCCAGTGCCATGCAACAAAATATATATACGGAGGCAACAAAGGCGTGAGCTGAACATCCATGGCTGATGCTTCACTTCGATTCCAACAGGAAGGCGATAAAATTACAGTTGCCAAGCCCCACCTTCAGCCTTACTGTATGGGGTTTTTAACACCTGAAGCTTACCGATGGAAGGATTTGGCAAAATACAAGTTCCGACGACCAAAGTGAGCCGTTAATTGGTCAACAAATGTATGCAAGATGTCGATACAACGGTAGCGATGGTATCCGGTCCAAAAGTATGCGCGACTGTTTCTCCGTTAAAGATCACGCAGGATTCCACTTTAGTCGGACTCTCGTAGACTAATCACTTAAGAAATGGATGAACTTGCAAGTCAAGCAGATCTGTCAAGGTGCGCAAGGAAACAAGGGGTCGTGTATTATCAGTGCATTTCTCTAGAGTACCAGGTATCTATCTTACACACGTTCCCTGAATACGCCCATTTGCGCCAAATATTTTCCTCCATGCTGACCCAGGCTAGAGAAGCAGATAAAAGTCTCAATGTGTCAAATTACTCATCTACGGATCCTTGCCGGCGGTACCGAGTAGATCAGTCACGTATGGCAACTATTAGATCGTTAGCGGGATCAGAAAGCTGAGGGCGAAGGGAGAACTCACCAAGCTACGGTTGTGCGCCATGATCTCAAATAATCGTCGCTCGACCGGCTTGAATAACTTATCAACCCAGGAAATGCCTCCCTCAAGCTTCATCGCAATCTCCTCGGCCTCAGTCTTCGCCAGATTTCGTGCTAGATTCCGAAGAACCAGCACAGCACTGAGAGGAATACCAGCTGCTTCTTTGCGTTCGTCCATAGCGGTCTGGATTTCTTCGAGAGAATGACTCGGAGGAGGTATGAGGTACGACGGCTTCAGTTTCTTCGCTGGTGGGGGGCCAAAGTAATTGGGTGAAATCTTGGTGGAAGAAGATTTCGGCGGAAGATGGACTTTGATGTGTCTTGCAAATTGCAACAAGGTGGTTGCATGTTCAGTGTCGAATCTGTGGCATCGATCCCAACGACATGTGTAATCCCCTGCTGTATTCTCAAATTTACCGCCTTCCAGTTGATTGGCACCTTGGTGGTCTTTGACGATGTGTTGATACATGGTCTCTGGACTCATGAAGAATTCGCCACAAGACTCGCCGCTAGGGCTTCGCCATAAACACTTGCTGAATTCCTCGCCTTTCATGTCGATTGGGGTGATTCGATATCTGATGCCTTTGATTATGAATTTTTGAATCAGTCCTTGCTGGACTTGCGCAGCGGCTTTATCTTGAAAGGTAGTGCTAACGTTCTTGATGAAATCGGCAGCGGCCAAAAGCGGTACATTCGTTTGGGCAGCATGCGAGGCGAAGCATGCTTGATAGGCTTGCCATAGAGCGATCTGAGTGATCTTCTCATCAGGGTCTTCCTCAAACAGAGAACGAAGCCATTGAGAACTGCGCTCAGGCTCTTGAAGTGCGAGAAGTTGAGTAAGCAATTCTCTGGGGAGGCGCGCAATCTGTGGAGGCATCTGTATCCGAGTCGGGTAGCCAGAGTAGTGTGTCTTTTCCTTCTTCTCCGCATTGTGCATCAAAAGGCGAACGAGCTGATTAACCAATGGCTCGACCTGCACCTCCGAGATGAGAAAGTCGACATTGTCTACCACAGCGGTATACTGGTAGAGGAAGTCCAAGCAGGCATGAACAAGGTCTTCATCGTTGAGCAGGGTCCAATCGATAATATTCTGAACGACCTTGATGGGAACGCCCTTCAGGAGGTTGTTCTCCTCCAGGTTCATAGATATTCTGCTAATCGCCCTCAGCGCGGTCAAGATAGCACCTCGGTCGTTGTCACATAGTTGTGCGAGGAGCGAGATGTACAGAGGGTCCGTTTCGTCGAAGTGGAGGTATTTGGTGAGTTGCTCGGCAATATCAAGAGCGTAGTGCTTTAATTCAACGACGCAATCGAGGTTTGGAAGGTTGAGGGCAATGCTGAGAAAGTCCCGCAATGGGAGCATTTCTGAAACGTAGTATGCATTCTCCTCCAGCATGACCATATTTCGAATGGTTAGAGCAGCTTCATTGATTTGCAATAGAGCGTCACTAAACTCCGCGGTTTGGATGTTATCGTCCACATCGATTTTGGGGAGGTTTGCGATTTTTCGGAGAATGTCTGGAGTACCATCTAAACCATTGATGATATCTGCACCGGGCGTTGCAACATCGTCCATATAGAGAACTTGCCAATCGACTTTGTAGAACAAGGAGCTGACCTCAAGGACTTTCTCAATCAAAGCCTCCGCTAAGCCGGGAAATCCTTCGAATCGGTATTTGTCCCCACGTTCCATCGAAATTTTGACCAAATGGTGCAGGGCATAATCTTGCTCGGCTGGAATACCAGATCTCAAGGCGCACAAGCAGCGAACGTAGATATTTGGTCCGTCAAAGCCAGCTGTCCCGGAGTCAGTATAGTGCAAGGTATGGTCATGGATAGACTTACAGCCAGGGAGCATGATGCCTCCTCTACCTGCGGCCGGAGTTCTTCCACTGGCAGCGAGGGCAGCATCTTTCATAAGCTTTTGGCGCTTGGCGAATTCGACTGCATTGTTACCGGGGGTTATGACTGGGCGGAGGGTGAGGGGCATCTGGGGTCGAGGCTCGTAATTTGTGACGGCAAGGGACTGGTGCTCCATGTTCGGATTGTAGGATGTCGAGGCGCCTCGGGGCTGATGCTGTTGGTGGTGATTAGGATGGTGTTGAGGGGAAGGAGCATGAGATGTCGCCGAGACGTTCCTGGTCTGACGGGACGAGGTTTCCGGTTGGAACAATATCCTCTGCGGAGGAGCGTGTCGAAGACCTCGTGTCACCCTACCTCCAGAGCCTGGTGTCTCTTCACTTGCATTTCTTTGCCTGTCAGGTGTTCCGTCGTCGCCAGATGCTTCGGAGTGGTCGTTTCCTAGAGTAGCTCGAGCCGATGGTCGGTAGTTTTCAAGAGTTCGAGTAAGCAATCCTCCACCTTTCGCCGTGGTATCCTCAAGAATCTCTTTCGGGGGCGGCTCCTTGCCGTGTATGCTAGAGATCTCGTACGCCGCAAGATTTTTGTAGTATGCTGTCTTGAGACTGAAGGCGAGAGCAGGGAGATTGTTCGTGCCCAAGTTGAAGTCCTGACCCAGCTTTCTCCAAGCTAGCTTCTCTTCACTGACTTTGTCATATCCACCGCGCTCAACAACGGTCTTGAAGAGATGGAGAAGGTCGACGTGCTTGGCTCCGACTCGGGGTTCGGGCTCGAAGTGGGTTCCTCGCCTCTCATGGTATTCAGTCAACTTCTGAATGAATTCGGTGTATTCGGTGGTATTTGGAATCGAGGCTTCGCGGGTATTTCGAGGAGGAGCCATCTTCACAGTCGCAGTATTAATACTGCCATGCGCTGAGTGTGCAATGGGAGGAAGATGCAACTCTTCTTGCTGAATGCGATACGACGCGGTCGCGATCTCAGCCCTGTCTGGTGAATTTTGGAACCCTTGCTACGCTAGCTCCATAAATAGTTTAGCAGGTTTCTCACGTGACGTGCCTCCATTTCATCTTTGAAGCTCCACTTCAACCTCGACCTTCAAACCTCACAATCCAGCCATCAATGGCCTCCAAATACCATCAATGAGTTGAAACCGTTGACGGCCGAAGTATTGCTATACTCAGCATTGATCACATACTAACCCTTCACCTTCTACCTACTCCGATCCAGCAACCCACTTGACATCCTTTCTTCACTTCACTAATCCATCATGTCCCAGCTCTCCTCTCAAGTACAAGATCCCAATTGGGTTTCCGTCCCCATCGCAAAATTTTCTCACAATACCACACCCTATGGAACCAAGTCTTTTGTCTGGACTCATGTCAACAACAGGAATGATCTGGACCTCGTCATTCGAAATGCCCGTGTCGTCGATGATTATGGCAACTACCAAGAGCGTATTCTCATGAAAGTTACTGGTGGTGCTGAGGTACTGGTATGGGAACTCGTCCATCCTGCTGCCGAAGCTACATTAACCCATGGTCAGGAAACCCAGGATCTCGGCCAGCTGGTCACCTTTTGCCGGGAATTTGATCCTGCTTCAGGATCAGAGTACCCAGTTGACATCGTTGTGAAGAGTCCATTCATGGCCATGAGATATCCCAAAACTATTAACACCGTACGCCTCTCTTCTTCCGTCTCAAGCTTTGCTGACTCTATGAAAGGTTCGTCGAATTCAGGTGAAATTGCGCTCTGACTCCGACTTCAAGAGAACGCTGGGCGTCATGAATGACCTTGGATTACGCATCACTTACAAGGATGGATCCGCCCCTACTGTCGCTCCAAGCCCATCTCCTACTCCCTCTCTGGCCTTGTCAGCAAGTGCATTTGGAGGAACTGCACATCTGCTCGCAGATTCACTGCCTCGACCAACATCATCATTTACAATGTCATCGTCAACTTTGAGGAGTAGCTCACCGATGAAACCAGAATTAACCAGCTCGCCAGTTAAATCCGACTTCAAGATTCCTCTGCGATCGGACACTGCGTTTTCTGATCAAGGGCAAGCCAACCGCATACCTTATTCTACCCCTCATACGACAAACACATTTTCTACTTCATCTGTTGGTTCGAAGATTCCGCCATTCTCACCACAGCCGAGGATTGAATCTCTCAATCAACTCCCTGCTCATCAAACTCACTCTCTGTTCGTCTCTCAGATGGAGAGAGAGGTAAGCGCACAATTTACTCTGAATTCGAAAGAATTGAACGAAGCTTACAACATATAGTCTCAACACCGGCGAATGTCTCAGCCCATTTTACCCCCTTCAAGTTCAGACAACACAAACACTCGTTTAGCTCCTTCGCTTTATATCTCCCAATTGCAGTCGCAGCAGGACGAGGCTCTGGAGCGCGCGACGGCAACTTCAAGACTGTTGCCCGCTTCTCCATTTTTCTCGTCAGCTGGAGACAAGAAGGTTTCTGGTGCGGAAAAATCACAAGCCATTGATTCTCAAAGACCGTCCTCGACTCCAATCGAGCATAGCGATCTGATGAAATTGTGGATTCCACCGAAGCGCGAATTGCCATTCCCCAAACCTCGCAAATCCAGCAATTCCAAGTCTTCTTCGACTCCTGATCTCCCATCAGTGTTGCCAAAGCCAACTTCTCAAACAACCGACTCTCTCCCCAAGGCTCAGGAAGTCCAGGCGGATGCAGCTTCGACTCCTGTCAAGAAGCCAGCACCCAAGAAGAGGGTTGCACAACGAAAAGCCACGAATACAAAGCCGACCGGTCAGCAGGTGCTCAACGAAGAAGCTCCGGCGAACGAGATCATAAAAGAATCCATCCCTAAATTGGCAAGCATACAAGAAGAGCCAGATCAGTTCTCTCCATTGGCTGCTAAGAGTGCTTCTGCTTCATTCCGCCCAGCGTCTGCTCCCGGGCTCATCTCCAAAGCAATTCTTCCTCCGAAGAAACGCACTGCACCTCCACCTCGCCCAGCTTCAATTGCTAAACGACCCAAGATGGTAGACGCAGCCACACAAACCCAAGCACTTTCAGGTCGTGACCATTTCGCTGCTCGGAGCACTGCTCCAAATAGTACTCCTGATTTCGTAGCCGACACCCCCTCACCTGCATCCCCACCAGAAAGCTACTTGAATGACCTCGACGCTTTCATCACTAAACACAATCCTCAGCCGAAACCTAAGGAGCTCTGGAAAACACCACGATATACCGGGGCAGATGAAGCACATCGCCAGATGATGCTGAATGACTTCATTTGTGAAAACCTCGAGAATCCCGACTTCCTTCAATTGTGCCAGGACGCGGAGTTTGCCTGGCGACGAATCGGACTTGGAATGTAAGTCAAGAGATCCAATACTTGCTAGTATCGGAGGTTCCCGTCAGATTTTTACAGGCCTTCACGTGGAACTTGAGGGCTGAGTGTTGCAAACTGTGCAGACTTTGAGCTGAGCTATGTACCAACATCTGGCATATGAGGATCAAGAGCTTGGCGAACATGAGCAGAGGACAGCTTCGAGTATCATTGTAGTACTTGCATAATTCTAGTCATTGAAGTCAAAAAATTGCCCCTTCTGCATTTAAACCCCTTTTTGCGTCAATGGTTCCAGCCGGATTTAGTTGCGTGCATGTGGCAAGAGCTATTGGGAACGCTCGTTGTCTGCTACCTCTGTTGAATTCATTCTCACATCGAATAATTTAACCATCCAAGCAGTCAGTGCCTCATGGCCAGATACTTAAGCTATGCATTGAAGTTCGCGGTACTCAACCAAACAAATGCCCTGCATCCAACCAGCAATCGTCGCGCTCGCAGTGATTTGCTGCGTCCCTTCGCAATGATATAGGACTCGGATGCCATCCCCTGCCCCGTCCTCTCCCAATTCTCCCAAACATCCTTGCATCTGGGAACTTGTCTTCCACTGACCCATTGCCTCGTCCAAGACACTCCACGGCTTTTTCATTAGTTTTCCTCCTTTGCTAGAACTTTACAAGGACGTGATGTGCTAATTGTGGGACCAAACAAGTTTAATCCCCGCCGCCGTCACCTGTCAGTCACATTTAAAGTTCAACGCTACCCCGGATTTCCAACCTCAATTTACAGCGGTACAGCAAATCCCAGTCCAAACCACAATACAAGTGCCGCCAACGACTTCTAAGGCATTCTAATCATTGTTAGATCAATTTGGTCTGTCTGAATGCGTTTATGGGGCCCTTATTCTAGCATAGGTCCCTAGCTAATAGAAAATGTCTCCTTCTTCGCCCTTCCATTTCTACGTTTCTAGTCAGATACAGAGCACGTCCTTGAGATCGGTATATCCCAAGCTATTCCATTTCCACTCCCTGGTCATCCCAATCGAGTTAACCACTTTCCCCTACCCAACCCCAACCCCATTGAATAGTCCGAATCTCAATTCCAGTACGCCATCAACAACTACGAGAAGCTTCAGATCCCTAGCTCAACCTCCTTTCAAAACAGACTGACAGTTCTCTGGATGAGTTTTCTTAGCCTCATATATCCCTGTATGAGATTCTCCCCCCGCACCATGAGATTCTTCTTCCCTTTATCACATTCACAGGCCCTTGACACACGTCTTCAGAGACCTCATCTGAAGATACCAACAAACCGCATCTCAATCATAGAGCTCACAAACACCCAGTCACTTAGCAGCAGCTACTAGAATAATCAAAAGTAAGTATTTCCCCATCTCGAGCACTCCCTCCTCACGAGCACTCCCCACTGGCCAGCATATTCTTTCGAGTAGTACCTCACCGGGAGCATTTCTTCGTCTCGAGCACAGTCCTTTCGTCTCAAACCCTCCCATTCTTCGTGCACAGAAGCTCCAAAACTTTTCTTTATGGCTGACTTGCGCCAGAACACACCACTACCAGTCACTCTTCACGGTTCACTCGAACTCAATATCAGCCCTCGGCATTCGACTCCGGGACACAGAACCCCAAATCTTCAAGTTCTGCAAAGACCTTGACAGTACCCAAACAGGATCCAAAACCGTCATCGACTCATCGATGACATATTCCCACGATTCCCCAAAACTCTGTTTCGAGCCCTTGCATTCGAAACCGGCACACAAAGGGTATTTCTAACTAGGTTGGTAGAGATTCGAACCTCAGATCCGTGGAACCGCTAAAGTTTACTTGGTACTAACCCTTTCCGGACAGCAACCAACTTCAACAACACCACGGTTCACTTGAACTTTATTCAACCCATCATACAGTGAGTATACGCGTTATTTCTATTCGACTATTCCAAGTTCAGACTTGCTCTAATTCAATTTTGACCAAGATAAGGACCACGCGGCCACGCTGTCGTCGACGTCTCCAGATTCACTTGGACTCTGCTAACCGAAAACAATAGGGAGCAACACAAGGGATTTAACCCGAACATCAAGTAGCCAGAACTTCTGACTTCCTACCGTATCGCCGACACCAAGTCGACGGAACGTCAAACTTGATCCCTTCGTAAAGGAAAAAGATCACGACAATCGACTTACGAGCCCCGACTTACGACTGACCGAACGACAGACTCAACATGTCTTCCACGAGCATGTCAGCCGGCGCCTCGTACTTCCTTGAAAAGTACAAGCTCGCCCGCGACCAACTTGCCAACTCAGAAGGATGCTCCTGCACAGTCAAAGACCAGGAGAAGTATATGACTGCTCCTTACAAGAGTAAAGCCGCAACCAAGACCGCCAAATTGGACTTGACGGGCCTCAGAGATGTCATCGAGCACGAGACTGCCCGCTTTGAAGAGTTTCTGAGGACAAGAAGAGAGGAGCTCAAGAAAAAGGAACAACAAGAACACGCTGCTCAAAACGCTGCAAAGAACCAGAACAGCGGCAATAGCCAACCAGCAACAAAAATCAACAGCATTCTTCGAAACGCGACTTCGTCGCGCCCACCACAACCCAGTGGAGCTGGATTGGCCAGCCCTCCTCCGACTCCACCAGCCAACAATTCATCCCCACTATCCGGACAGTCCCAGACTGGCAGCAAATATCCTCCTGGTCCCAGTTCGAGGATCCGCCTCATGACCACTCCTCCCCGTTCACCGTCCACGTCAACAGTCGGCAACTCATCCAGAGCAACAACCGGACAGTCAAAGACTAGCAAGTATCCTCCCAGCCTCGGCGCAAGAATTCATCTCAAGCTCAAAGAGTCCGAGCGAGTATTGACTCCAATATGGCGTCAAAATGTCCCAACTCCCGTAACCCAACCCAATCAAGACTCCCCAGCACCAGTCGAAACACAAAACATCCAGAAGCGGAAGAACGAGGGCCTATTCGACTTGGAGTCCGCGGCAAAACGACCGCACTTAGGATATTGCGCACTATGTGTGTACGAGATCAAGAAGCCGTTCATCGCCGACAAGTATAGCTACAAAGAAGGAGAGCCCGCCGCCATTCCGAAGCAAGCAGATATCTACACCAAACATCGAGCAGAATCCACTGAATCAGAAGCGGAACCCACTGGACAAGCAGAAGCTCCAGCCGAAGGAGCAACCACCCGCAGGAAGAGAGCCGCGGGTGCCAAACTCGTTGAGCCTCAAGGAGATACCGGTAACTTCAGCCGAGAGGGAGGACTTGCCAAAGAACCTACTACCGATCCTACACAAAATCCTCCTCGGAACGGACTCAAAAAGCTTCCTCGGAACGGAGGCACTAAAGCATTCAAGCTCACCAAAGCAGAGGTCAACAACGATTACAAGGCGATGGCTAAAATGAGAAAAGACGAGGCTTTGAAGGAAGCTATCTTCAAACCCCTTCGAGAAGAGCTCTTCGCCTTTGCTCGACGCCACGAGTCCGAGGAGTACACGCCAAGCAGAATCTACAACAGCATGATTGCCAAACGGGCCGAGAGAAAAGCCAGACTGGAGAAGTATTCGAAGAACAGGAATCTTATCATGGATGGCTATCAGCAGGCAAAGCAAGCTTTCGAGGAGGCAAAACTGGAGTTCACCGAGAGGAAGCTGGCTTTGAGAAAGCAGCAGGACGCCAACGAAGACATTAAGCCAATCGCCTGGCACGTCAAAGCCAGGTTCAGAAAGAGCCGGGCTTCTTGGAACCGCGTTCTGAGCCAACACCTAGAGTCCATTAAACGAGGGAAGACCCCCGAACAAGCCCGGAACGACCTTCAGAGATTTCAGCGAGAAGAGGAAGTCCGGCAACAACGGCTCGAAGAATTGACCACGGACTACCAGCAGAAGTGGGCGGCCTTGACTCAAGCTCGAGTTCTCCGGCCGGATCAAAAGCGAAAGGATTGCCAAGAAGCTATTAGAAAAGCAATTCCTCCATTGGAAGATTCTGGAAAGATTCTCCGCGACTACCAGCAAGAACACGACGCTTGGCTTCTTGCTCAGCACAAGGAACTCAACGCTGGGCACAAAATTGTACAACCCAAAGCACGAACCATCACCCAAACCAAAGAGTCCTATTGCCGAACCGGCGCACCGCCCGATACCCAAGCCGAAAACCGCATGATACAAATCCCCGCAGAGCTCCAATTAATAGTTCTCAAGGAAGGGGAGAAAGAACCCAATAGCTCGAAGAGCAGTTACAAGAAGGGCAGAAAATGTGCTTTCCTGGCCAAAGATACTGTGGAAGCCAAAGAGAAACTCGTCACTATCACCAGAGAACTCGACACCATCAACAAAAAAATCGGTACGGACCCCAGCACCATTCCTCGATTGAGTGCCATCCCGGCACACATCCGCATGCTTCCAGGTCTCAATCTCCGGCAAGGAAAGCCGACCAGCGAGTTCGTGATCAAGACGAACGCTCACGTTCAACGTACTCCTCAACTCAGAAAACCGAGTAATCTTCGCTACGAACTTGGTGCATGCCTTGTTGAGAAGGCTGCTGCTGAAGCTGCTGCCGAAATAGCCCGGGTTGCTGCTGAAGCGGCCGCTGAAGCAGCACGAATTGCTAAGGAACAGGAAGACAGGGAGGAAGAACGACGACAACAAGCAGCGATTGAGGCGATGAATCAGAGGAAACAGAGAAAAAGAGCCGAGATCGTAGAGAACAGACGGAAGTACGCAATGAATCAAGCTAAAGAGACAGTGGAGACCGGTTTCCTTCCTCGATTCCAGGACGAAAAGGACAGACAGGAATTCAATTGGGCTCTCCGCGCCTATCTCCAATCCGAAGAGGGGATGAGAGCACAGGCCAGGCGGGTGGAGAAGAGACGAAATCATACGGTGGAGCAGGGCTTGGAAGAACGAGGAAAATTGGCTCCTTGCTTCTGCGACTCGATCGAGAAGCGGCACCGCTGTCAATTTGTCAAGAAGTGTAAGCCACCCGGGCAGGAGAGCGATAGCGAAGGGACGGTCCAGGAAGACCGGGATAAGATGGAGGGGGTAGAAAGTGGGATCGGAGGAAAGGTACAGGGAGAAGGGGAGGAAATGGAAGGTGTCGAATGTCAGGTCTCTTGAATGGCATCAATGGCTAACGTATTCGGTGTCGGGAAAAGAGTCGGCTCGATGGCGGTTGTGAGGAGGATACTGTAGGACGGGAATCAGATTTATGGATTATGTGGCGACGAATGGACGATGGGAGGAATAAGGATGTAGAGAAATGAGGAGCTGTCTTCATGGATAGAAGAATAGATACGTGTACACCTAGGATGTGGGAGGAAAAGAACTGTCTTCATGCGTACATACGAGTACAAAGCGGATAGGATAAGAGAATAGACATGCCAAAAAATCCTTGTGCCTCCCCGTGTTAGTTTTATCTTCTCGAAGTGATTCGAAAAAGGACGAATGCATGTTACTCTTGACAGAGGAGCTTTCCCCGTCCGGTGATGCCGTACTTGGAGTCAAGGTGCTAATTCTGCCCGAAAATAGAAAATACACGCTTTAGCTTCAACTGTTCAATTAAACTAGTGCAGGAAACTTGGATCACTGCTTCTGCTAAGATTGGAACTTTGTAATCATCTCGCTTCCGTCTTCTCTAAACGGTGCACATCTTGTAAAATTGCTCCGAAATTGTGACATCCCCCTCATGAGCTTTGACAGCCAGGTAAATGTGAACGCATCTGCCTGTCAATTCGGAATAACTGTATCAACCAGTTTCCAAGTAAATGTTACAATATTCGAAAGGAAATAATGGTTGTGCACTGAGATTATATTGCAGACAATTCTGAGATGCTGAAATGAATAAATCCCGTAAATAGAACAATTTCTGAAAACACAGAAGACTTGTTTAAAACGAACAAAGAGATACTTCTCCTGTGAAAGGCGATCAAAGCATACCAGTCACACAGGCCCTTGAACACGGGCTCTAGAGAACAATACGTCAAGATTCTTCTGCGCTAAATATTCATCAATACAGTCTCCTTGCCGTTCACTTCATACACAGATCACCACAATCTACCGCCAACTGCATGCAAAAACTCCTCTCTCACTCCTAAGCCTTACTCTCTTTCCCTTCCATCGCCTTATCAACTACCTTATCCTCCGGATCAAACTTCATACTAACACTATTAACACAATGCCTCTCATCAGTAGGCGTAGCATATCCCTCCCCTTTAAACACATGTCCCAGGTGGCCTCCACAGTTACTGCACACAATCTCCGTGCGCGTCATGCCCAATGTCGAATCCGTATGTCTTGTCACCGCACCGGGGATGTTGTCAAAGTATGCAGGCCATCCGCATCCGGACTTGAATTTGTGGGAGGCTTTGTAGAGTGGGGCGTCGCAGGCAGCGCAGGCGTAGACTCCGGTTGAGGGCATGTGCTTGTCGTATTTGCCGGTGAAGGGGGCTTCGGTTCCTTGTTGGCGGAGGACGCGGAATTGTTCTTCGATGTATTAGCCTGGGGTTCTGCTGCATTGAGGGGCGAAGACATATACCTTTTGAGAGAACAGCTTGCCATTCATCGTCGGACTTCTGGAGGGGGTAAGACATCTTGCTTGGGCTGCTGGTACTAAAGAAACTTGATAGAAAGGGGATTGTTGGCATTGACTTCAGTATTGTTCCTCTTGTGAAGGGTTGTAGGACTTTGTATGGTGTGGAGTGGCGGGCAGAGTAGTTGCTGAGAGTGTAGAATGTTCTGATGATGGTTGGGAAATCGGGGAAGCGCATTGAGATCTTATAAGAAATTTTGTGGGAGGAAGAACAAGTAAATGTTCCAAATCAAAAGGAAGAAGAAGGTTTGGAATACTTTGACTGGTGGTGGCACGGGTGGCACAGGCAGGTACAGCCTCAGAAGTATTTCAAATGCTCCCTTGACGTTTCCCCGCCCAATGATGACGTTGGAGGGTCGGACCCTTGCAAACAGACTAGGTTCACGCCCTAAGATTCACTTCCGCCACGATTCTGGAATTGGGATGTGGAATCAAGGCCGACCATTTCGGAAACAATCGACCGCAGTTCTCAAAACACCCACGTCGCATTGTTCGAGATCCTCGCCAAACTGATTACACATCCCGAGGAGCAATATGTCGCGACGGCCTCCCAACCCAGCAGCTGAGCGCGCTGCGCAGAACACACAGACGATCAAGAGTCTTTTGAAACTGGAAGGCAATAAGACGTGTGCGGACTGCAAAAGAAATAAGCGTAAGCCTCACTTTGGCCATATTCCCAACTTCAATGCTCTTGTACTGATTGAAGTGTCTGCCAGATCCGAGATGGGCAAGCTGGAACCTGGGCATCTTCATTTGCATAAGATGTTCGGGCATCCATCGAGGGATGGGAACACATATCAGCAGAGTCAAATCCGTGGACCTCGACGCCTGGACAGATGAGCAGTTACAAAGCGTCTTAAAATGGGGCAATTCGAGAGCGAATAAATACTGGGAGGCAAAGCTGGCGCCGGGACACGTGCCCTCTGAAGCAAAGATTGAGAACTTTATTAGGACGAAGTACGAATCGAAGAGGTGGGTGATGGAGGGGCCGATGCCGGATCCTTCGACTTTGGATGCGGATGGTGATGATGATGTGCCGCTGAGTTTGGTGAAGGAAAAGCATGCTATTGAGCGTTCAACTTCACAACGGGCTGAAGCGGGGCAAGCTGCAGGTGCAGGTCCTTCGCAGGTTAGGAGATCTCAACAGCCTGATTTGTTTGGAGATGACGCTGGTTCTCCTCCTCCGAGAGCCAGTACTGCTGCCCCTGTTACCTCAAGACCTCCGCCGAAGTCAGAGCCTGCTCCCCCGAAACAGACAAAGCCTGCGGATTCATTATTAGGATTGGATTTCTTTGGGACTGAGGCTCCTCCACCGAATCGACCATCGAGTGCCACTGCTACACCAGGAGCCCAATCACGGCCCGATTTGAAGCAGTCTATATTGTCTCTGTACGCCTCTGCTCCTAAACCGCAACAGCAACCGCAACGCCTGCCATCCCATGTTTCGAGTGGATCTTTTGGTGGTATGCAATCTGCTATGCAGCAATCGCCTCCAGCCCAACAAACACAGTTTGGAGGAATGAATGATGCGTTCAGCAACCTAGGCTTCTCTGGCCAAAAATCACCTACTATGCAGGCCCAACCAAAGCAATCAGCTTTCTCAGCTTTAGGCAACCTATCATCCCAACGAGCCCCTACGCAAACCTCACCACCTGCCCTCGGCGGAGGTAGTTTCTTCGAGGCAAAGCCCGTCCAGCAATCCCCACCCCCACAACCCACACGAGGCTTTAGCTCCTCCAGCGGATTTGGAGCTTTCGACTCAGCACCAGGAATGTCTCCTGCTCCTCTATCAAACACAGCCAGCTCCGGACTCAACGACCTCTTCGACTTCTCCTCCCCCGCGCCCCAAGCATCCCCAAAACAAACAGTCGCCTCCCCTTCTGCCCAACACTCCTCGGTATTCAACCTCTCTCAACCCACCCCAGCACCAAAGCCTCAACCACCTGCAGCTACAATTAGCGGATGGGGCTCTAACAATGATGCCTGGGGTTCAAACGACGCTTGGAGCTCTGCCAGCGCCCCAAAGAGTCCTCCGATTAGTAAACCTGCGCCTCCACAAGCCAGCACTGGGGATTTCGGATGGGGAAATCTAGCAAGTCAAAGCATAGTCCCTGGAGGTGGAGGAGGTTTTACCCCAGCAAGTCACGCCCCACCGAAAGTTACAGCAGATGAAGATTTCGGAGGATGGAGTGCAGCACCTTCTGCTCCTACTGTTGGCCATGGACATGGAGCTGCACCTGCGAAGCCTGCTACAGGCTTTGCAGCTAGTGAGGATTTGTTTTCGAATGTTTGGGAGTGAGTGAACTTGTTTAGGAGAGGATGAGATATCCGTGAGCCAGTAAAGATCTGCCTCCAGCCGGAATATACCTGTTTGTCATCGTAGGTGATTATATCAAGATATAAGGCGATCAAAACTCTGCATTTAGGACCGCTAAACGATTGATTGATTCGCTCCCCTGACGCCGTGCTATGCTGCAGTGTGTCCTGTCCGGATCTACTAAATTACAATGCAATACTCCCTACAATAAACTCCATCTCTTTCTCAATTCTCTCCCCGTTTCTCAAGATCCTTCTACTCCTTCCATTGCCGTCCTCTCATCTACTCATTGTAATCTTTTAAGAGGATGCAGATCAAAAGATAAAACCCCAGATAAACCATAGGATCAAAACACCTCCCACAATCATCCCCGAAAGCTTCAATATCGCAACCTTATTCCCACTCGCAGCCATTCTTCCCAATCGCCCCGCAGACCCCTTCAAGCTCGTGCTCATCGAGGAGAATGTATCTGACTATTCAAACCATTAGCCTCTTGCCCCTATTCAGCTTGCTCCAATTGTCCACCTCACATTATCGTGAAAAGGAGGCGAGGAAAAAGTGAAGAGAGATAGAGGAAACATACAGTATTATCAATAACATCTTGCGCCCTCGCATTATCATAAATATCCACTGTCACGCCCCTCAGCGCCGAGACTTTATTAGATAGCTCAGCCAAACGCGAGTTGTTCTGGCGTTCGCGCTCGTAGGCGTCTGACATCTTGACTGCTTCCCTCTTCCCTCACTCACTCACTACCTCCTTTTGTGAATGCTCTCAATGTGAGATTGGCGTATGCGGTGTATTTAGGTTGGTAAGAGTAGTTGAGGAGATTCCGGATCCAGCGGGCGAATTGTTTCGAGTTGGTGTCACAGTCTCTTTGTTCCCAGACACAGCGAATGGTGCGCTGATGCGCCCGAGTGTTGGTGGAGGCTTCTTGCGATTGAGCGGGGTAAGGTTTTGAGAGGCAGATTGCTGTGCTGGAGCGTCGTCGTCCCTGAGCTGTCGCTTGTTCAAGGCAGGTTGTGAAGTCGGGCAAATTGTCTTCATGTGTCCGCGTGGAGGTGACGGCTCAGCCACGCCTGATTGTGAATGTGGCTTGAGAGACTTTGATGACGAAATCCGTGCTAGTCAGCGGCGCATCACTCCTCCTAATCCCGACCATAACCACGCCGACGACTCGCATTTCCTTTCCACGGACATCGACGCTTTTGCGCACTCTCGCAGGTTTGAGATTTGAGGAAAGCGCTATTGAAAAAGCTTTTGGATGCTCGGCACAGCTACGATTCCGGACACGAGATAGTTAGGAACCGGCGGCCCTAGGTACCCCACTAATACACCAGCGTGCTGAGGCACGGCACATCAACAACCTCATACCTGTTCTTTTCCAGAAAAACAGGGGGAAGTTCGCAATGGGGATCCACAACCCTCTTCCGTCGTCTATGGCGTGTAAGTGCTTTCTGCTATAGCCCTAGAAGCAAGGCAACAGCTGATATACCCCGCTACAGCGGAATGCAAGAAGTGCGGCAAGATTCTAGCATCCTTCGTTGATCCACGCCAGGCCTTTGGCCCAGACAAGATTATTCCTCCTCAAATCCTCGCAAACGCAAAGGTAGCTGCTCTTTCCCTTCCATCCTCCTCATCAAGCTGTGAAGTATAGCTCGGATATACATGAAACTAACCGGAAGCCCAGGGACTTGCGATCCTGACCGTGATCAAAGCCGGCTTCCTCGGCTCTGCACGATACGGCAATGGTGTCGTCGTCGCCCGCCTCTCGGACGGTTCCTGGAGCGCGCCTTCAGCAATCGGCACCGGGGGCGCTGGCTTCGGCGGCCAGATCGGCTTCGAGCTCACAGATTTCGTTTTCATCCTCAATGATGCCGCCGCCGTGCGGACCTTCTCTCAACAGGGGTCCATCACACTCGGTGGGAATGTTTCAATAGCAGCTGGGCCTGTAGGACGGAATGCCGAGGCCGCAGGAGCTGCGAGCATGAAGGGCGTGGCGGGAATATTCTCTTACAGTAAGACAAAGGGCTTGTTTGCGGGTGTCAGTTTGGAGGGTTCGGCGATCATTGAGAGAAGAGATGCGAACGAGAAACTCTACGGCCAACGCTATACTGCGACCCAGCTCCTGACTGGTTCTGTGCGTCCCCCGCCAGCAGCACAACCGCTCATGAACGTCCTGAACACGCGGATCTTTGCTGGTAGCTCCGCGGGCGATGATGCGATTTACAACGATATCCCTGTGTATGACGACAGACATGATGATGTGGTATGGGAGGGACGGAGAGGAAGTGCGTACGGTGAAGGCGTAAGGAGGGATCGCACAGGCAGCGTCAATTCTGGGCAGGGGAACGCATCAGATTACATATACAGCGACAAGCCTAAACGTGCGAGTACGTGGGCAGACGACATCTACGATCGACCTACAGGAAGCGTGGCCCGGGCGAACAGTGGGCGAGGTCGTGGTTTCGACGATGATTATGTGTACTCGGATTCGCCAACCAGTCCAGTTAGTCCGAGTGGGAAAATTGGACCTGGTAGACCTGCGGCGCCGAAACCACTGTTCCAGGGGAAGACAGGCAATTTGAGAGACAATGAGGCGATCGCGCTGTTTACGTTCGACGGGGAGCAGCCGGGGGATTTGGGGTTTAAGAAGGGTGATGTGATTACGGTGACGAAAAAGACTGATAGTACGAATGATTGGTGGTATGTCTTCCTTGTCACATTACTCCGCTCCCCCTCCCTTCGTTTTGAGATAGGGAACTAACGACAAACTGTAGGACGGGCATAATCGGCACCCGAACCGGCATATTCCCTGCCAACTATGTGAAAATGACCTAGAGACAACGCCTTACAGCCCAATACCACAACCACACTTCCATTACATACTTTACTCTCTCTTTCTCCTTACTTTATTCCTCTCTCACCACGAGTCTTTTTTCAGATTAGCGATTCAGGTGTCGTACAGAGCGGTGGTTGGGTATACAGAGTGGGGCCACGTTTGGAGTACAGTATGCGAATAAGTTATGTAAAAGGCATTAGGGGAGGAGTTTTGGGAATAAGCGTTGGTTAGGTTTGGTTAAATTGAATGTTTATTGGGAATTTCCGAGCGGTTTTGAGATTGTGCCCAGGTTGGGTTTAATTCGACACGTGCGAAAAGGGGGCGAGTGATTTAGTTGGGAAATGACTGGCTACTCAAGCGAGTTCTGAACGCGAATCTTCCTTCCTTATGCCTCAAAATATTTTGTGCTTGTTTCCGCAAGTTATGTTTTCATCGCTGGTCGAATGTCCGGATTCGGCAATCAGCATCAATGTACCATTTCCCATAATATTTTCCCCGCCGCGAAAATAGCCCGAGCTTTTGGTCTGGAAGAAATCTTGCTGCTGCATCGCCCTTTTTCCAGCCCTTTACGAAGGACAGATTGCTTTGTTAAACATGCCTAGAGTACCACCAAATCAACCTCCTCCTCCCCCAACTGCCGTTACACTAGGGAATACGGAGTATGTCGGCTTCGTCTTATTCCCTCTGTCTGAATGGCCCACAAGTTGTGGATCGAGAGTATTTCCAGCTGGGTTGAGACTGATGGTGAGGTTGTACAGCTCCCTGATGTCCACTTCAATCTTCCCAATTTGCGCCAAGTCCAGACTGCTCCAGAAAGCAGAAATGGCTGTTATCCAGATGAAGGGATATTTGTCCTCGAAACTGACGTCCTGCTAAGCTTTCCGGACTACGTCGCTCCCCGGAAACTGGGAAAGTTCGTCCACGAGCAGCCTCGAGTGCACGAAAAAGATCTCGAAATCCTCCGATGATAAGTGAGGCCTGCTCACCACTACTCTGCGCTCCTCTATCACTCTAGGTAATTCATATTGCGCCTTCCAAGCTGGTCCCTTGAAGAGGGGTCTCCAGCGACGCACCCCCTCCGCCCTTCATCTATCCCTCGCGGACGCCATTCAGTCGCTTGAGACGCTACTCTCAATGTGCGAGCGCTCTAGGCCGTTGCACTGGCGTCATTCAGAACGGAGTCAATTTCACAAAGGCCTTCGGAGTCTGTGACGTTGAACACCAGGTTCCTATTGATGCCAACTCAAAACTTCTCATTTGCTCCACATCTTTCGCCGCCGCAGTCGCTGGGGCCGCTGGGAAAGGCAAAATGCAGTTCGACGACCCCCTGATCAAGTTCATTCCTGAATTTTGCCCAACTACTGACGCTGATTTACTAGAGAGGCAACACTTTCAAATTGCCTTAGTCATACCAGTGGCCTCGCAAATCCCCAAATGCATGTAAATGTTGACATCCCTTGTTCTTCCAGCCACTCTACGATCTGCAGTGTATGTCTGTTTTGCATGTCCGTAATGCTAATATCTATCCAGTCTCCTGCTCGGCCCAAGGGATATCCCACTCCCATCCGAGGATGAGCTCATCAATTTTGTCAACTCGTTCCCAACCACCAAACCCCACGACCAAGAACGCTCCGAAACGACACGGAGCTGGAATTACACCTAAGTGGGCTACGTACTACAAGCACCTCTGTTGCAACGCGCATACAGGTGTAAATATTCCACCTCTCTATACCGAGGATTCTGCGGCCGTTGCGTATGTCACGAACAGCAGTGATACATGCTACTGTATCTACCATAACATGGCCATGCCTCACGTCAGATAATCAGATGCATCCTTCGTGAAGCTAGTTGTTTCGTCGGAAACTAGCATCACGGACGAGCATCACACGATCCTTGGCGAGCATGGGCATGGGAAGTTCTGTCAGTGACCTGCTCAAGTGGTGTAATGTCTTCCTGTCAAATTATTCCCATCAGCCATCAGACGGACATGCTGCCCAGACCGAGAATCACCCTCCGTCCCCAACCATCCTCGATATCCGTCTCGCCAGACCCCTCGCACCCTCCAATTCTCGGTGCCACTTCCCCCCCACGACTTGTATTTCAATCCAATGGTCATACGAATGGATCCGATTGCACCATTCTGCTATTCCCCTCTGACCGATGCGCGGTGGTTGCATGTGCGAATGGCAATACGGAAGGAGATGCCGCAGACTGGGCGGCCGAATTGCTAACTCAGGCGTTGTTTGATCTCCAATCGCAAAAAATTCTACTCCTGGCGGAAGAGAAATCTCAGGTAAGATAGGAAGATCATGGCCGGATGTTGGGTGATTGGAAACGCAAGAAGGAGGCTTGATGTGACGATGCAACGATCGTGAACTCACGATGCCCTCCTGATAGGTAGTCGTAAACGCGAACTCGACGCCACTGTCATCCCAGATCCTGGCTGCTGCTGTGGAGCGTACAAGGTAAATACAAGGCACTCAACACAATCATTTCAGTTTCGCGGGACTATCGCGGCTTTTACGCCATCTTCTGACAACATTCCATCATCACACTAGGAATTACAATATTAGCAATGAGCATCATTGAATAAAGAAAGGTCCAAAACGGGAATCGAACAGGCAAATCCTCGGGGGCAGGCACCGCCTTTGCTCCTTTCCCCGGCACGCCTGTGGTCTCTTCTGCATCCTCCACTTGACGCCGTTTTGCCACGAGACTTGATAATCTTTGGGGGCATACGAGGATTTATTGGGAGCTGCTTTTTCACCACATGTTCAAACTATATTGAAGCGACAGGCTGACCATTACTCTTTCCATGAAAGTAGCGAAATACCAGTAATGTATAGCTGCCCTTACCCTTGTATGACTTTCTCTATTCATTTCACCATGCAGTTCGGTTGCTAAGCGTGCCCTGAAATGGCTCAAGGTGAGAGGCGAGTGGTTGAGACTTTGGCGTTGAAACAAGCTTTGGAAACAAAATTTGGAGTATGAGGGAGAGTAAGAGGGAGAGTATTAGGAGGGGCGGGACGGGTTTGGGGAGTTTGCCGGGGAATAAGGGGTGATGCTTGAGTTTTGCGGCTGTTGCTTTCGTTAGTTTAAAACTGGAATTGATTCGCATGTTGACACCATCTCATGGCTTCCTTTCGTGGAGCCTTAACACCACGTCAACTCCTCGACCATTGACTCAGCACCTCTCCTTAGTTATATTAGTAAAGAGGGCAGGGGACATAAACCATAAACAGTTCTCAAGTTCGTAATGGGTTGTGTCGAGAATTCCAGAGTCGAATACTCGCTACGTAAGAGAGGACCATGGCCCAGGACTCGACCTGGGGAATCGGGGATCTTCCCCTCTGAGCACCGTGCACAATCTCGCAGACACAATTGCTGATAATTATCACGAAAGAAATCCTTGGGTGGGGGCGTGGGCGTAGGTGTGACGGAGCACGAAGGGAGCCAGTATTGTACAACATTTGGTATCAACCGCATGCATGCTCGCAGTTCTGTGGTTTCTCCAGACAGCCACAATCCAGAGCGTTTAGCTCATAAGGAAGAATAAATGTGATTCCAACTTTAGCGATAGGCGTGTGGATTAGGTCTGAGCTGGTTTGCTTAGTGCTGCTTACTGCTGCTCACTGTGGCTCATTGTGGCTCGATTCTCACAGGGGCTCAGCGAGCTGACTACAGCCCATTTAGCCTTACTGTTAGAGTTCTGAGAGCAGTCTGTCGGCTTCTTGCCGACAATTGCTGATGTCCCAGGTAGTGATCCTAGTGGAACGAGCTGCAGCTGCGCATTGCATCACCTCTGGTGCGACAGCGTGCCTGGATTTACAGCGAGTGATATCGATCGGTGCAGAGAGAATGCAAAGAACAAAGTAGCAAATACCCTCAAAATGATATCACCGTATCCCAAGGATCCGATCTCGCAATCTCCTGGCGCTCAATATCAACTGACTTGAGGAACTCCGAAAGCGGTGCCGCCCGACTTGGTACATAACACACCGGTTCTCATCCAAACACTTCCACTTCCTGAACGACTTTGAAATGGGATGGTCTGAATGAAAACACCCTCAAAACGCAACAGTTGGAGATACCTGTGTAGCCAAGCCGAGCCCTACGGCATTTGCTGTTACCAGACTTCCGCCCCCAGCGGTCCGTGGTACTTGCGAAATCGGCTCTGCACCTCTTATCTTGTCGCCCGCCACTAAGGCAGTTGAACCATACAAAGCTTGACTTGATACCAATATGGCAATCTTCTGGCGATCTTTCGACTTCTTATCATGAAGTTCTTGGAGTTGTGGTGACTCTTTGTAGAAGAGAAGAGAGAAGATGCCATCTGAAGACCGAAGCAAAGCTGGCTGCTTGAGGTGAGGTTCGATCAAAGCCCGACAAAGTTTATGATCGTCACGAGTCAGGCCATAATTAGCATGTTTCACTGCAGGGGTCCAATTTTGGATCCCCAAGCTACGAGGAGCTGACCAGGAGAATCCAGGGAGAATCCAGGGGAAGCTTACCTCCTAACCTAGTCCCTCGCGGCCTTGCCCCCAAAGGGTAGTACTCCGTACTGTGGTAAACCTGCACGTCCAAGCCTCCTCTCAATAAGGGGGAGCTGATGGATACGAAGCCTTTTAGGCTTTTTCATGCTTCTAGAAGGCGTCTTTGGCGAGCGACGGTGGCGCCGTCAATTTCGGATTTCCGCACTCCACGTTCCACGCCTGTCGCCGACCACGCTGGCTGGCGCTTGTGGCTTTGTGCTGCCCCCGAATTATCCGACTTCTTCAATCTCACAGACTCACAGGCCAGCCAAAAGGAAGCAACTCGGTATCCGGACGTTGAGCGGTAATTAAACGTTTTTTTTTTTTTTTTCAGCGCATCAGATGATGGACCTGCTGCAGCCTGCACGCTCGAGCCAGCGGGAGGGAGCGTGGAGGGCAGCGGAGATGGAATTGGAATCACATCACTTGAATGTTTCTCACCGCCATCGACATCTCCGAGTCGGACAGCGTTGGCGACCGCATTATTCTGGCTCTGTTCGAAGAATGCGGCTTGCCTATCAAAGCTCGGCCGACCTGCCAAGATTCCCATTCTAAGGAAGCCTTCTTCAAGGCCCAAGCCTGGGAGTCTGGGACGAGCATCCGCGCCAGGGGGGAGCGGACCTGGTCTCGTCTGGGCCCGCAACACCAGGTCGTGGTCGTGTCCATCCTTCTTGGCCATCACCCACATGTGTGCCATTTTGAGCTGCTCGTTGGTCAAATCCAGCCTCGGAGTGGTCCGTAGTTGTCCGTCTATCGAAGCCCATTGCCCAAGAGGCTGCTATCAAATTTCGTATATGTACATCTGCTCGAGACAGATCGGTAGTTGGTACGTACTCTACCGCCAGCCCACCTCGTCTGGCTTGTCAGCCGCATGGTTTGATCTCCCTCCCATATTGTCACAGCCCCGAATTCAATGGGAAAACTTGAGCACAGCCTGTAGTGGTACCCTCGTGTTGTCCAACTTGTCCAGCTGATCGAGTCGGCCGCTCAGGAGTCAGGGCATCCGCTGTTGGCAGCAGCCGTGTCCAGACATTCGCATTAGCAATCGGATTGCTGTTCCAGGGCGCGCTCCGACGATACAGTACCTGCTTAGGGTCTGCTGGAGAATCACAAGGTCACACACACCGCCTCGCTGTTGCGACGTCGTTCGCTCTCAGGTAACCCCCACGAGTTTCGCGGCCTCTGGTGGTCTTTGGCGTCTCTGGTGTCTCTGGACTAGGGGTGGACAATTAAATTTAATGGCTACCCGATTAAGATATAATTAAATATAATGATCTTAAGACGATTAAGCGTTAAATTAACCAGAGGGCTAGAAATTGATGCCTGTGAAATACTTCTCTCGTCTTGGAGAATGATTCTTCCTACACATCAGGTTAGATAATAGTGCTTTTATTGACTGGATGGATATTAGTATCGGAGGATATTAATATGAGCAGAAGAGAGGAATAAAAATACATCTTTAGTCCTTATTACTATTCCAAGTGCCCGTTATTTTCATTAAAAATCATAAATTTAAGCATAAAATAATGCAGATACTAATAGTAAGCACATTATTATAATAACGCTAAGCCGATTAAATAATTAATTAATTCATTAAAAGTTTGCAAACCCTACTCTGGACCTGCCCTAGGGCCCGCAACCCTGGAGGCCTAGGCGGCCAAGTGAGATTCCCGGCTCTGCCAACCCTGTCCCGGCGCTTCAATAGCGTAAATACAGAAGTGGGTGAGACTTATGCATAGCCGCACGGACATCTAGAAGCTCCCCTGTAGACCTTGCTGTGTAATCTTGGGAGGCGTAGAGTCGTTGAGGCGTTATCTGACGGCAGAAAAAAATCATAGAAAAAGGTGGTGCTGCGACCTTCTTCCTCGCTCTGAGTCCCCCCATCCTGACTATCTCAGTCCACAGTCACAGTATTCTTTCTGCCAACAGACAAATCTCCTTACTTTACCCGGTCTCTGATTCTCTCTCTGTTCACCCTTCGGAAAAGTCTTGTTCTTCGAGCGCGGAGTCCAAGTGGTTTTCTTTTTGCAGCGTCATTCCAAGCCTGCCCCTGGTGACGCATACACGGATACGGACCGGTGGCCACTCTCACGTCGGCTGACAACTTTTCTGGGTCTGATCCATATAAAGACCGCGTCCTCGCATTGAAAAGGCTTGAGTTTGCCCATAAATATTTCTGATTTCTCGTTCTGCAGCTAGACTTGGTTCCTGTTTTAGATAGACACACTTGCGACTAATAGGAAGACCAAGAGCTGGGATTCTTCTGTTTCATTCTTCGCTACTTTAATCGACTTCAATCTCAGTACCAGTACCCAAGAGTTGGATTGTTATTCCTCAGCTTCACAGCGTTACGCTTCTCAGCACAAAAGTACTTTTGGATTCTTGAGATACCCTCTGCAAAGCCTGCCTTGCGTTCTAGGTTCGTATCACTTTGTACTACTCTGTACCATCGAATGCAACTTTGCGTTGAGGAGCAAGGGCTAATTGACAAGCAGATTCGCAAATTTCTAGCTCCTATTAAATACACGAAAGCGAGCACCACTTCCAGTCATATTCAGAAAAGCGAGCCCGATATTTCTAAATTTCGTCATCGAAACTTACATCCGAGACGGAACAATTTAGGTGGATAAACAGAAGTGAATTGGAGTGAATTGGGAACTATCGAACTTAAATAAGGGTCGAGAAATCTCTTTGCCGAACCTCCTTCGTTCCTTCCCCCACACACAAGTTCTTCGAACCCTCTTCGATCTTCCGAAGAACCACCACAAACACAAACAACTCGCAACGACCTTTGCACATTCTTTCGAATACCTTTAATATGTTTGCTCGTTCTGTCATCCGCGCTACTAAGGTAGCTACGCCTTCGCAGATCGCTCGTGCTTCCTTGCCAAAGGTTGCCCGTGCCTCTTTCACAGCTTCCACCAAGCGATGCACCCCTCCGGAGGTCATTGCTGAGAAGGAGGTCCTCCAATCCTCCTATTCTGGTGGAGAGGTGCAGCGTTCTACCATCATTGTTGGTGAGGACGCTCACAGCAGCAAGGTGTCTCCTTTGACTCAGAATGTTTACAACACCATGCCAAAGACCATGCAAAGCCTCAGCTTGATGGGCAAGACTGTTATTGTCACTGGGTAAGTCATAACCTCTACTTCTAACAAAGGCGAAGGCATGTGCTAATATAATTTCGCAGCGGTGCTCGTGGTCTTGGAAACTCAATTGCTCGTGCATGCATTGAGGCTGGTGCCAAGAACATGATCCTCTTTGACGCCAACCAGGACCTTGGAGATATCTCTGCAGCCGAACTCCATGAGCAGACCGGTTCTACAATCCCAATTGAGTTCTTGAAGGTCGACGTCCGTGACGCTGGTGCAGTTGAGAGCGGCATGAAGGCCGTTTTGGAGAAATATGGTGCACCTGATGTTCTGATCAACTCTGCCGGTATTGCCGAGTAAGTTCCCATCTCATGACGTCTTGACCTCTCAATTCTTCGTTGTATATTCACTACCTTCGTTTCCTCAAAATACATCATGCTGGTTAGTGTGCAATTATCCGGCCTTCAGCTAACACTTTCGCAGCTCCAACATCCCAGCCGAGACCTACGATCTCGAGATGTGGCGCCGATTGATCGATATCAACTTGACTGGTTCATTCATGGTGTCCCAGGCAGTTGGTCGTGCCCTGATGGCCGAGAATAAGCCTGGATCGATCATCTTGGTAGCCTCCATGTCCGGCTCCATCGTCAACTATCCGCAAGAGCAATCTTGCTACAATGCCTCCAAGGCCGGTGTCATCCAACTTGGCAAGTCTTTGGCTGCTGAATGGGCCAAGTACGGCATCCGTGTGAACTGCATCTCTCCCGGTAATTCCCCTTCCTCCAACCCTAAACCCCTTTCTAACATGAAATCCAGGCTACATGGACACAGCCCTGAACAACGTCCCAGCCCTCGACGCCCAGAAGAAGATCTGGAAGTCGCTCACCCCACAAAAGCGCCTCGGTGCAGTCGACGACCTTAACGGTCTCGCTGTTCTCCTCGCTTCAGACGCCTCTGCCTTCATGACCGGCTCTAACGTCATCATCGACGGCGGCTACACCCTCTATTGATCGCTATTGAGGATCTTATTCACAGAATGGATACCACCATAACAGTGCAGCATCATCTCAACCTCTCTCTTATCCTTTCTCCGATGAGCAAGGAGCGTTCTGATGAATAATGTTTTTGATGATGGATGTTCGAACAGACACATCATCCTGTAACTTGACGACAAGCTCACCCGCACGGGAAAAGCAAACACGGTTTTCTTTCTTTCGTGATATCCTCGGTATGGTCTGATAGCGGGTTAGCGGGCGGCGTTTCTAGAAAGGGTTTACGATTTGCGTCTTTGGAGCTTGTTTGCATTTTGCTTGCTCGTTTGCATGGTTTGATTTGATTTGATTTCGCAAGAGCACACTGGCTGGTACACGGGGCAACCTAAAGTAAGTTCAAGATACAAGCTTTAATAGGCTTCGAGCTGCAGCAGAAGGCTTTTCACTAGCAATAGAGAGACGCTTCTTCTGACGTTTTGAGTCTCCATCTGTTGTGATATGCTTCATTTCATCCTTAGATGAATCTTCAAGCCTCAATGACGCAACAAACAACCTCCTCCCCTACCCCCCCCTTCTCAAGCAAAGCAGCCCCTCACAACCCGCCCCCAATCCCAAGCCCCAACTAATTCATTCCCGTAAAGCAAGCCTCCCACCCCTCCTTACCCCACCAAACGCAAGCACCAGCTGATAGCCGCCACAAGGGTTTCCAACCCCTGAACAAACAAAAAAAGTTTTTTAAGCGAACCTGCTTGGAGGAATGTGTGTGTGTGGAGGGGGGGAGTTGTCTGTCTCGGTAAGCTGCGGTCTTAAAATCGGTGGGCCCCCCACCACACCACATCCTCGTTTCGCTGCCTTCCCTGGCCTAGCCTCTCGATTCTCGGAGAATTTGTTTTGGTACCGTACTGTATTTGTTTGGTACTGGAGAGGTGGGGGGCGAGGTTTCTATGGGGGCAGGGGTGGATCAGGAATGAGTGATTGATGTTCGGAGGGGGCCGAGGATGGGATGGGGAGGGTAGGGCCTTGGAAGGCAAGGCGTGTGGTGGCAATGATTAGTAAATTGATCGTTAGGGATTGGAGATGAAGAGAGAGTCTTGATTCCTGCTGCCCTCTTGTGCAGTCTCCAGATTGCTTCTCCAGATTACTTTGGTGAAGAACATCACGAGGTCATTTGAAGCGGCCTATTCCCCTCCACAATACAAAATATGCCAATAAGCACACCCAGTTCACAATCACAGGAAGTGCACAAAGAAGATTGAATTATCCACTTCATTTCACCCATGTATGCCGCCTAAGTTCAACAAGAACAGGGTAGTTGGCAACAGGCACAAAGAAAACCACTTTCGTCACGCTGAACTGGATGTCCTCCCTATTTCGTCTCTTCTCCGCCCCCCAGGGCAAAAGTAGGGAACAAAGAAGAAGAAATTCCTCCATAATTCATCGCTTATTTCTATCTTCCCTATGCTCGCATTTCCTTGCGTGCTCCGTTTCATATTTGTTGAAGTCCATACAATCAGCGCCCTTGCCCTTCTATCTTCCCCATGCTCGCATTTGCTCGCTTGGTCCGATTCAAATATTCAAGTCCAACAGTCATTTACTCAGTCATGTCCAAACATTTCTCTTCTCTCGTGTCGTAGTGCTTGCTCCCCAGTTGTGTGATATTCAACTCAAACATGTGACTCATGTGACTCTGACAATTCAACATCGATTCCGATCATCGGTCAAATGTAAGGGAATCCAAATCCAGCCATCCAGCCGGGTGGCCAAACAACGCCAGAACCTGAACGCCTCGCCTGATCAAATCGTATTCGATAATTTGGTATTTTGTTCGTTTCGTATGTGTAATGTACTGTGCAATGCTTTTGCAGCATTCGATGGTCGCCCAGAGAGAAAATTTGGTATGTAGAGGAGTGTTTGTGTTTCGTCATGTGATTTCGTGCTTTTTCTATCTTACTCAAACAAGGTGTTGTAGTTGTGGCGGGGGAGGGGCTCAAGAGGCAGCAGCCTTTTGAGCCTTCTCTTGAGCGCGAGCATTGCGGGCCGCACGGACAAGGGGAGCGAGCTCGATGAGGGGGGCGCATTTCGTCATGAACTCATGCTGCAGCATATATTAGCGGGGTTGACGGGAGAGGAGAATAGCGGAGCGGCTTACTCGTAGCAGATCGTGAGCGCTGGCTCTCTTCTCTGGATCGACCTTCAAGGCGAAGTAAAGGAAGTCCTTAAAGACTGGGCTCAGCTGTTCCTCATCCTTAATTGCCGGTGTGCCATTGGTAGCAATCAAGTATAGAGCTCGCAGGGGTGACTCGGTCAGATAGGGTGGTTCGCCTTCAATCATTTCAATAGCCATGATACCGAGCGACCAGATGTCTACCTTGCGGCCGTACTCCTTTCTCGTGACAACCTCAGGGGCCATCCAATATGGAGTTCCGACCATAGTAGTTCGCTTATTATGAGCTTCATTGATTTGGGCACAGAAACCGAAATCAGCTGAGCGACTCGTTAGTTGTTTTCTCTAAGTATTATGGGTAACACTCACTCAGCTTAATGTTGCCATCCATGGACAACAAAATGTTATCTGACTTGATGTCGCGGTGGATTACACCCTTTGAATGCAGATGCTGCAAACCCTTCAGTGTTTCTCGGCAAACAGCAGCGATTTGTCCTTCTGACATGATGTTGAAAGTAACAACGTCTGTCAAACTACCTCCCTCCATGTACTCCATAATAACCCACAGTTCGCCAACAACCAGGAAGCTATCAATGAAATTGACAATGTTCGGATGCGAACTCTCCTTCATGACGATAATCTCATTGATGATCAGGTCCTTTTTCGGTTGCTGCTCTAGATTCATCTGTTTGATGGCGACCAGTCGGTTGGATCCTCTCTCGTAACCTGTGAATACACCACCAGACGCGCCTTGACCAATCTTAACCAAGTCCCCATAGATGTCTCTTGGATCACCCTCGGTGCAGATCTGCTTCAGACGCGCAACGATGTCAATACCAGTGCTTTGACGTGGGCGATGTCGTGGTCTAGCACCTGTAGCTCTGACTGATTGGCTGGGATGAGGGATACCGTTCAGATTTGGTTGTTGCTGATATTGGTTTTGCGGGGTTGTCGGACTTGGTCCTGAAGGTGGTGCACGCTTGCTGGGCATACGATCTAGGGAGCTTTGATGCTGCTGCATGAGTTGCTGCTGGTAAACCTTTTGCGACACAGGCTGCAGAACAGGAGTCGTAGTAGCATAGGGGGAAACGCCATTGGCACGTGAATTAGAAGGTGAACGGTGTTCCTCCGGAAGGATTGGCGAGACATCTGGTTGTGATGGGGGCACATATGCGAGAGCTGGAAGGTCTTCGCTCGGACGTGACATGCCAATACCAGAGTCCTTACCAGGCATAGGGGGAGGTGGTGCAGCTCTGGTGGGACCTTGGAACGGCACAGGTGGTCGGGGTGCTGGACGCGTCGGTACCAAGCCATTGACATCCTTTGCCTGCAGAGCTGGGCCTTGGGTTGCAGGTCGCGGAACAGGAGGGGGGGATCGGGGGTTTTCGAAGCTAGTCTCGTGGTTTGCTGGGAATCGAGGACTGGCTGGCGGGCTTGTCATAGAGCCATAGTTTGGCGTATTCAGCAGTGCAGGCGAGAGCGGTGGTGGGATCGAAGTACCAACGCGCAGCTCTGGTGTCTTTGCGTTCTCGAACTTGTCCCAGACTTCATCACCTGCCTTTTCTGCATTCTCCTTGTAGAAACCGACGATTTCCATAACAACCTGCGGGTTCTGCTCTTGCTCCTTCTTTGTAATGCCACTATCATTGATCATCCGCTGCCACTCCTTCGGCAAGCCCTGCACAGCGTTAGCAAACGAGCGCGTTTGACGTTGATCCGATCCCGTGGCGTTCGCACGGTACTTACAGTGAACTGGCCGGTCTGGTTATCATATCCTACGTGGGTTACGTGAACTGGGTTCTCAGGTGCAGATATCTTAACTCCTCTGGGCGAACCAACACCAATGCTGCTCATGAAGCCGGAGAAGCCAGACTTCTTGCGCATTACGCTCGGCTTTGTATCCTTCGTCTCATCCGAATATCTCTTTGGAGAGATCAGCTGGTTCTCACCGATGCGCGGGGGCTGCTTTTCGCCCATCTTGTCGCCTGCGGAGAAGCTGGCGGATTGTCGTAGCGGTGGGCTTTGCATGCGCGGATCTGGGGATGTGTGTGCTAAAGGAGGGGGAGGAGGTCGTCGCAGGGAGTTCTGGTATCCGGAAGCTTTCGTCGAGTCGAACTGGTTCAGGATGGAGTTGCCATCAAACGGAGCGCCGACGAATTCTTGCGAGGTCTTCTCGCTGAGGGGACGCGTTGAATTCACCTTCGCGCTTGCCCCGCCCGAGCCCGGAGGGGGCGCGTTAAACTCGGAGCCCGCCAGGACTGGAGAGGGACCAGATATCTGGCGATCGAGTGAGGAATTCGACGATGCGTACACGGCAGCGTTTGGAGAGGTGGTATTGCGGGTATGGCCGTAGTGGGCGTGCGATCTGGGGTAGGGCGCCGAGGGAGCTCTCTGGAGCGATGCGGACGATCGTTGGCTGCGCAGAGATTGGTTGTCGGTGCCACGGGCATCGGCCGAGATGTTCGCAGCAGCTACAACGCTCGGGGGCGGCTTCTTGGTGAGGCGTCGAGAAGGTGTTTTTATTTCCTCCATGTTGACGTGCCTTCCGCCGGGTCCCTCAAACCTCAAACGGAGTCTATGCAGGCTGGGTATGGGTGGTGGTGCTTGGTGCTTGGTGCTCTGGTGTGGTATGGTATGTTTCGACGTGCGCTGCTGCGGCTGCCCAATCACACGCTGGATTGGCAATTGGCGGCTGCGGGACGACCGTTCTGTGTGTCAAGAACGGATATACTTGGCCATCGAACGGGCGGCAGTCGTGACTGGGGGCGGGGGGGCACGAGGAGTTTGCAGTGCAGGAATTGGGGGAAGGGCGATATGCGTTTGCAAGAGAGGCGGTTGTTGTTGATGGAGGAGGAGGACGCGCAGATCAGGACGAGACCAACGACGACGAGGACGAGGACGACGGCGAGGGCGAGGACAGGTTGACGGGGCGTGTTCGCAGCTGGGCAGCCAGTCGAGGACGAAGCTCGAAGTCGAAATATGGCCTTGGATGGAGTGCGTGTATCCAGATTCCCGCAGGCCCATTGGGCAGGCGTTGGCACTGCGCTGCGAGCCTGTGAGTGAGGCCTGCCAGTTGCCAGTTGCACGCTACACTCCCGAACCCTGCCACGCTTGCCTGGACGGGCAAATACTGTGGAGTTGCTCAGTGGCAGAGCCGGAGAGCTCACCAGCAGAACCTTGCGGCTAAAGCAAAAGCCCTGCTATTTACACAACAAGCTTTTCTCCTTTGACTTTTTTTTGTCACTCTCCGGCGGCGGAGGGGAGAGTAAATTTACCAATACAGTCACATAGGGTGCGCCAGCAAGCCCGAGCCCAAGAGCCCATTGAAATGAGCTGGTCTGAGAGGGCCAAGATCCCGCGCAGCTTGTCAAGTGCTGGTCGTCTCAAGACTACGTCTAAGGTATCACCATCTTGGGCCCCCTCACGTCATGACGCCCATGGGAGCGGCTGCATTCGCATTCATCATTGTTGACAGCATTGCAAGTACGGCTGCAGGCGAGCCGGCTGCTCTCCAATAATAGTCCCACAAGCGCTGCTCCGGGTTGCTTCTGTGCGGATTTGCTGCATGGAGGGCTGGATATTCAAGGACTGCTGCAGAGTTCACCTCCCTCCTGCTTGCTGGCTTCCCTGCAGAAGGGTGTCCTGATCCCTGGTGCCGCCATTTGGCGTTGGCTTCTGGGACCATTCTGGAAGCTTTCGACAGTGGCTGAGATCCAACCAGCCCTCTTTCCTGCTCTTTGCATCTATATGAGGAACTTGGATTACCAGCCCGGACCATGCTGCGGTGGAAGGACTCCCTTTCGGTCCGTTCTTCGGATCCCTCGATTGTTCATTGCGAATGTTGTCTCGGCGGGTGGTGCACCACAGCATGAGGGGCAGCAGAGTGACTTGCTTTTGCTTCTGCATTTGCATTTGCATTTGCATGTTCCAACTTTATCACAACATTGGATGTTCAGCTGCACGTCGACATCGAATTCTCAGGGTCGAAAAGCCACGCCGTGCCACCACATTTCGGTCCGTGACCTCCGAGGATGATCAAGGCGACTCCCCCGAACAAGAGATCGGGTGAAGTGCCGGATCCATCATGAACACGGACAATATCCTCAGCCACTCTTGACATGTTGGCTGGCTGAACTACAGTAAGCGCCCTAAAGCACGAAAGGCCCTAGTACAGCACACCCGGGAAAGGTAAACAATTCTCCTCAAATGGGTAGATCTGTATATATACAAAGGATATCTTCAAGTTCCGAATGTTGGGATCAATGTTGGAATGGACCACTTCCTTTAGCTGCCCTTCCAGCCTCCCACCAAGATCATAAATGACCCCGCCATGCCGGGCCAGCCACAGGCTCTCTCTGGCCTGTTCTCTCGGAAGCCAGTGGACTTGTCAAACCTGCAGCGACACTTCGAGGGAGAGCTTCAGTGCTCAGAAAGAAGAGATCGTCTGTCCTAATACCTGAAGCTGAATAGCTGTGAAACATTGGCCCTCCTCGACTCCATCGCTCTCCGAGGGCATTCTTTGATTACACACAAACGCTCCTACGATGTTGAAGACTCATGCCACTGATAATGATCGGAATTTTGGTGTTGGGAGAATTACGAAACCAAATTTCAGAAACGTTTTGTGCAGCCTTCAGCCGTTCTCGTGGATGTTCCAAGCCGCTCCGATACATCAGCCTGTGTCATCTTTTTACCCTCGATCGGGGCTCAAGGTGCTGCCCCGGTCCCTCTGCCTTGTCCTGAGCCTTCTCTCGTGTGGCAGTTTAGATGGCGGTCAGAGGCTTCTTCCCCGGTTTGCAACGGAAAGTCGGATTCCAGGGCTTTTCACGTGAAGCAAATCAAAGGGTCCAGGTTTTTCTTGGAGGACTTTGATGTCATTTCTGAGGATGCGGCCACTGTTGAGTATTTTGAGCCTCAGCTGAAAGTGCTCATTCAACTTAGATTGGAAAACAATTGGCGAGCCGGTCCAGAATCGAATTCAAGACAATTCCTTTTCCCCTTCTCTTTTTATGCAGATGTGAACCAGAATTCGAAGTGCCTTTCTTGCCCTTGCTATTCGGACGCCGTTTCTCGCTTAATCACTAGTCGGCTTCGGAGTCGCTCCACCTTAGTTCTCCAAAGGTCGAGATCCAAAAGTTGTTCGCAACCACCTCCAACCATCCTACAACCCCGAAACACGTTCGACGGCCATTTGCATGCGCCTCCCTTCTCCCTCCACTCCTGCTATCTCTTGGAAATCTACACAACATTGCCCTTTATGCAATTCCATAGACAGTAGGAGTTGTCCTGTCTGATTCGTCTCCGTGGCCTTTACACCGTCACCTTTTTGTTCCGGGTTAATTGGGTGTCGCAATTCGTTCATTCAACCTCTGCCAATTGGTAAGTATATCGCCTTGCTACCGAATGAGTGGATCGCCAGCCTGCAGATTTCTAACGTTCCGGTTAGACAGTCTAAAGCGAACCCAGCCGAACCTCCTCTTAACATTTGATACTCGACATACCGGTTACCCTCCATCACTTTTGAGTAACTTTCTAAAACCACTATGGCCTCCTCTGACTCTTCCGCGCAAATTGGTGTGAATGGCAAAAGCGACAAGCAAGCAACACTGTCTGCAGCTCAAAAGCTAATGCAGAAGCACCATGACGAAGTGCATAAGGCCACCATCGAGGAAGTTCCAGACGAGGAGGACTTGAGGCACACGCCCGAACCAATATCGGCCAGCGTTCTAGAGTCCACTGAAGAAGCCGCACCGCCGTCACAATGGGGTTCCACAATGACAGCAAAGGCTGCCGGAAAGCAGAAAGAAGCTGCCCCTGCCAAAGAGAAGATCCCCGTTTTGGACACACAATCTAACGAATTGTTTCCTGGCTTAGGAGCCCCAAAGTCTGTCCAACCTGCGCAGTCCAGGCCTAGCTGGGTCGCGAAACCTTCACCAGTTGCCCCAAAGGCAACCAATGGAGGAGCAAACGGCATCTCAACCAATGGGTCTTCTACCCCTAAATCTGGCATGGACACACCCCCCTCAGCTGCAAGCTACTCAGCACCAAAAGGTGCTTCAATGTCGTTAGCTGGCAATCAAGGGCCTCCGATTATGGTGCTACAAAAGCATGAGGTTTTACCACGCAACCAGTTGAAGAAGCCCCTGGCAGAGATCGTCAAGGATGTCAACAAGAAGTACAGAACGAACATGACCGTCTCAGCCGGAGAGGGTGGAATTTTGGAGTTCCGGGAAACTATACCACCGAAAGACGCCGTTAGAAACCAAGCTCTCAGAGACTTGGGAGTACAAATCGGCGCAAAGGTCAGTACCTCAAGCCGTTATAATTATTCCTTTACTAACAGACATATAGGCTTCTAGTCAAGTCCCGATTCCCCGTTCTGCGAGAGCGCATATCATTGGCAAACAAGGTTCGACCATCAAATCATTGCAAGAGGCAACCGGAGCTCGAATTCAGCTGCCGAAGACGGATGATGGCCCAGCCCCGGTAGATGAGGACGATGACATGGTCAATGTGGTCCTTGAAGGCAACCCTGTTGCAATTGCGATGGCAAGAAGAGAGATTGACAAGATCGCCAACGAACGCACCGGACCTGTGACTGCCAAGCTTCGGGCTGTTCCTGCCGAGTTCTACCCTTTCATTGCCGGACGTCATAACGAGAGAGTCAATGCATTGGAAGAGGCCCACGGGGTCCAGGTTCGAGTTCCTCCTTACCACACGTGGAATGCTCAAGCTCCCCCACAACAGCCCCTGGCAGGTCACAGCCCTGCTTTTCTTCCAGCTGCTGAGGACAACCACATCTCTGTTGCAGGTGACCGAGCAGCCGTCCAAGCAGCTCGCGCGGAAATCGAACGCTTCGCTCAAGAATTACGGCAACAATTGGCACTTCGACAACTCTCTGTGGATAGAGCCCAACATCAATATGTTATTGGTGATCGGGGCATAACTCCCCAAGATTTCTTCGCCAATACTGGCTGCGCTATTGTTCTCCCCGGCCCTGATGAGGAGGAAACCATTACTTTCATCGGTCCCGCTGAAGCTCTTGAAGCAGCTGAGAACCGTGCACTAGAGCTTGCAACAAGCATGCAGCAAGGCACAGTCAATATTGCCCGACAAGGAAACCGCGAGCATGCTCGAAACGTTACTCAATACCTTCGTGATCGGAAGGAGCTTGAGAGACTGGAGAAGCTCCACCAGTTCCATATCGCAACAACGCAGCGAGAAGATACATGGAACATTTTCTTCCGAGATGGCAAGAACGCTATCAGGGCACGAACTGAGATCAACAGCATTATCGATGCCCACCCTCCAACTCGAGTTTCGATAGTCGAGGTTGACCCATTCTTCCATGCTCACATCCGGAAGGAGATTTCACCCAAGGTCAAGAAGGCTTATGGTGTCCATCTTGTAATACCTGAAACGACCGATTCAGAGATGCCGGTTATCCTTGTGTTCGAGGGTGAGAGTGGACTGGAACCCGAATACCAAGTTCCACGGGGTCAACCCAGCCCCTCCGAAATCGCAGCCTTCCAGCAGGGTTTGCAAGACGCTAGAGCCCATATCATTGGGATTCTCAGCAAACAGGCTCAAATCATCAGTGCCTCCATCGATGTGCCTCAAATGTAAGTTTTCTGACCTTATTTGGGTCTACCAGGGCTAATAATTGCAGTTTCCACGAAAAGCTAAGAAAGTTTATCTACAAGGAGCAACAAGCTCGCTCTGCTGATCAAATTCCGGTCCGTGTGACGAGTGCAGGTACGGTCGTTACTCTTCGTGGCCCAGCTCCTGCTGTTGAATCCTTGGCTGCAAAGGTTGTAGCCTTTGTTGAACAAGCAAAGGAGGACGAGAAGGAGCGCGGCTTTACGTTGTCATTTGACTTCCCCCAAAAGCATGCCAACCAACTTATTGGCAAGGGAGGAAGCAACGTCAGAGACCTCCGAGATAGATTTGATGTTGAGATCAACGTCAATGACGGCACCGTGGAATTAAAAGGTCCTAAGGCGAAAGCAGAGGCTGCCAAGAACCATATCACCTCTCTCGGGAAGCAATGGGCTGACGAAGCAACCTACGTTCTGAAGGTTGATCCAAAGTACCACCGTGAGCTTATTGGTGCTCAAGGTGCTCAAATCAACAAGCTCCAAACGCGATACAAGGTCCAGATCCATTTCCCTCGATCAGCGAGACAGGCCAGAGATGATCAGTCGAATACCGATGCTGCGAGCGAGGCTGGTCGTAGAGCCCCGCGTCGTGAGCAGGAGCCTGACGAGGTCATCGTTAAAGGCCCCAAGAAGGGGGCTGATGAGGCACGAGACGAGATTCTGTCTCTTCTCCAATACTACAAGGACAACTCCTACACTGCCGCCGTTGCTGTTCAAGCAGGCCAAATACCATCGTTGATTGGAAAGAGTGGAAGCGGTATGGACGAGATTCGACAGGTGACCGGCGCCAGAATCGATATTCCAAACGCCAGAGACGCCAAGGACCCTTCTGCCCGGGTTGAGATTCAGATCAAGGGCACAAAGGCTCAAGTCGCTCAGGCCAAAAAGATGATCGAGGAAAAGAGAGACGTCTTCGATCAGACAGTTACAAAGACCCTGGAGGTGGACAAGAAACACCACAGGGCATTAATTGGTGCAGGAGGTTAGTCATTTGCTCCTCCCTACATGGATACGAAGCTAACTTTTCAGGTTCTGCACTTCGCGAAATTGTCGTCCAGGCCGGCGGATCTGACGATCGACGTGAACTTGCCAGAACAATTCAATTTCCCAAGGCTGAAGCTGATGGCAATGCTATCAAGATTGAAGGCAAGGCAGATGTCGTCGATAAGATCATCGCTAGAATAAATCAAATCGTTCTCGAGAGGGAGAGTCAAACCACTGAAACCATCGATGTCCCAACTGACAAGCATCGATCACTCATTGGTCGGGGGGGAGAGACAAAGAAAGAACTTGAGTCCAGGTTCAAGGTCTCCATTGACATTCCCAGACAAGGCAACGGCCAGACTGGCGTCAAGATTGTTGGTCTGCCATCGGATGTTGAGAAGGCTAAGAATCACATTCTTGACCTTGTTAAGGACCAAGAAGGCGAGACAATTCAAGTACCCAGAAAGGTCCATCATACCGTTGCCGACAACGGCCAGTTCTTCCGCAGACTCCGCAATGATCATCAAGTCACAGTTGATCACGCCGGAAACAAAGTGCCTCCCAAGCCTGTGGCACCGACTCCTCGATCCAACGGCGGTCCCCTCCCTTTGATCACCGACGATGAAGATGATGCAGCTGATGCATTCACATTCAATATCATCGACCTATCCGAGTCCAACCTGGAAGGAGAGATCCCTTGGGTTCTTCGCGGTCCTCCTGACAACCTCGCCAAAGCCAGAGCCCAACTCGCCGCAGCCATCGAACAAGCTCTCAAGAACACCACGACCGGATATCTGGTCCTCCCCGATCCTCGCACTTACCGCTATGTCATCGGGCAAGGCGGCAGCAAGGTTAACAGCATCCGGAAGGCCACTGGCTGCAAGATCACCGTTCCTCGTGACCAAGCAGCAGGCGAAGCCATCGAGATTGTCGGCAGCACTGAGGGGGTCGAGAAAGCCAAGGACTTGATTTTAAAGGCTGTCAAGGACGGAAGTGCCAACGCGAATGGTGGTGAGCGCTCGTTCAGTGGCGGCAAGGGCGCCATTGGCAGCAATGGCAACGGAAACTGGGACTAGAGCGTGTTGAGGATAGATATCAGTGATTTACAGTGGTGATATACAGAGCGTTGGAGACGTGCCGCGTGCTGGGGGTTTTTTCTTCTTCTTTTGCTGGTGTGAGCGAGCGGGAGAGCAGTCGTCATGCATTTGCGAGGTTTCGTGGTTGTCGGTTGTATCAAAAAGAATCCAAGCGTTTTCGAGCAGACAATGGATGTCTTTCGATGGTCTGCAGACAGACAGGCAGACGGTTTCATCACGCTTTGTGCATTAGGTTCTTCGTTGCTACACACGTTTTGTAGCTTTTCTTCTAGGCAAGCAGCAAAAAATCAGAGTTTCTGGGTTACTGAATACAAACTTTAGTTTTTGCATAAGCGTGAGCGTGAGAGTGTGAGGGGTGTGGCAAATTATTCCTCTTGTTTTCGCGATTTGCATTACGTGCTGGCTAGATTACAGATGTGAGGTCCGAAAACTAACCCCTTTTCAACGTGAAAAGAAATATTGACACACTCCCTCTCACACTTTCTAGGAATTGCTCACGTGAAGACGTGAACCATTACCCCCACAAAAGAAAAGTAAAAACAGACCCTAAACCATTCTTCATCGAATATGAAGCTGAAGCAGGAGCAGCGGAAATGGGTAGGCAGTCGGGTCACATGCACGATCGGGGCTTGCGAGCTTTGACAGATTATTCTCTTGTCTTTGATTTGATTTGCTTGCGTGGTAAATTACAGATGCAGTGAGCTCGATCGAGCAACACAGCGTATCCAGAGCCCCCCCTTCAGCGCCATGGAGCCATTTCGCCAAGCTTACAAGAGAGACGGTTGATCAGAGGAAAAGGAAAGAAGCGAGAAATGTGCTTTGAAGCATCTGGAATTGTATCATGGGACGTTCTGGTGAAGCATGTGATGAGAATTGAATGCCGGAGGAGTTTTCATCGTCGTCGTAGTGTTGATGGGGGCGTCGTGTCTCTTACTCGGCGTCGCCCATGTCGTCGTTCTTTTTGAAGACCCTGGGGAGTTTGTTAGCGGGGTCGGTATGAAAAGGGAGGGGATACAAACAGGTGGGATTCATAAAACTTCAGCATCTTCTGCGGGCACCGCTTGTAGACTTGGGCAAGTGGATGCTGAGTCTTGTGTCCACCCCTCCACGTCAAATATACCACAACATTATTGTCATTCCCCTCGCAAGCATCAATGCCCGTAACGTGCTCTTCCCAGCTCCCAGTCGGTGGCTTCCACTCAGCCTTCGATGCGCTGAGTGGAGGCGACCCGTCTTTTGGGTGGCCGTTCTTCTTGCCTCTCTTTGTGCCGTTCGGTGCTTCGGCTCCCGTGCTGGCTCGGCTACGCTTCTTGCCTTTCTTTGCGGTTTCCTTCTTCTCTTGCCATGCTGCAAAAATCGCCTCTTTGCCACCGACCTTTATGAGGTATTCGTTTAGGACTTTTGACGCGGTTTCTCTGGAAGACAAAATTAGTTATGCAAATACTGGTTAGAAGCGAATGGTTACAACAAGTTCTCTTCCGGCTCCCATGTGCGGTCTGATGCTTTGTCATAGCCCTCCCATTTAACCTCAAATCTCAACTCGCCGGTCTGTGTAGATGTTAGAATCGCGTGATCAAGTGGAGTTCGTGAATACCGACATCCTCGTCAACGAGATGGCTTCTAATAGATTCAACGACGTATCTGCACAGAAGCTTATCAGCAAACATTAGCGCATAAGACAGGAGTTACGCACTCATCCGGGCCAACCTCATCATCATCATCGTCTTCATCTTCATCTTTGTCGGATTCCACCATCAGGCTCTCCTCCTCTTTCTCCACAACCTTCGGCTTCGCCTTCTCCGTCGGCTTCTCCTTCACCTCCTTCGCCTGCTTCTCCTGCTTGATTGTCGCGGGGGCTGGGACCTCAACCTCGCTCACGTCGGAGGCTTCGTCGTCGCTGATTTCTGCTTGAGATGAGCCAATGCCGAACATCGAAGCTAAGCCAGACATCATATTGACTTGGCAGAGCTTCAGCGACGTAGTGCCACTGTGTTTTGAAGGGTTTACGACAGTGTTTACTTACGTGGAGGCATTGTCTGGGTAAAGTGAGGTTTGTTTAATGTTGGAGGCTGGCGCGAGGATTCGCAGTTGAAATAGAGCGCCCAAAGTTGAAGGAGAGGGGTAGAAAATATGTAGACTTGGCGTAGGGTGATCCCGAAAGCGAGCGCAACAATTGCTCGTGGATCGGGGTGGTGAAGTAGAGATTGGAGAGGCTGGGAAGTGGTTGGTGACGGCAGAAATTCACGCGACTGGTTCGCGATGGAGAAGGGAACATCGGGCGGGTCTACAAAAGGCTTGGTGATGAAACACGTGACATCCAACCTCCTTTTCAAATCGGAGGGAAGTCTTGCCAAAGGGCATGATGAAGTCGGGATATATCAATACCGTGGCTACTATGTTTCGACACATTCTTCTCCGTCTTTCATAATTCGCCTTTGATGGTCGATAATCTTCAGCAAGATGGTTCCACAGCATTTCAGACATCCGCCACCGTCGCCTCGGCTGAATGCCATCCTCCTTTATTTCTCAGAAGCAGAAGCGCGTGGGATCAAATGCTATGAAAGAGTGTGATACATCGTGGAGCACGGCATAAGCATCAAGCTCCGTCGGGCAAGGGAAGCCCCTTCCGAACACCGGAGCAGTTCGTAACGAATCTGGCTTGGATCTCATAGGTATTTTCTAGATTGGGTTGTGAGGCGACCCTTCCTATTACCCCCCTCTTTCTTTTTGGACATTCTTACTCTATTCTCGCTCGGGGGGGTCCGACAAATGGATCAGCTGTTTTTCCTTTGCAATCTTGTATTCCTTGAAGTGACCAGAAGTCTGATGATTGGTCCTTGGTTTCAATATTCTCTATTCTTGTTCTTTCCGTCAGGCAGCTTCCCGATAGATTAGTCTATCCTATGCGTATTCGTTGTAGTCGAGACGGAACCGATCTAAATTCGGAAGTACTCCTCGCGAAGTTTGACCAGTCTATCTGTGGGGTAATACGTTTCGGCTATAGAATATCTGCCTCCGATATCACTCCCAGACAAATCACGAGCGTGACGTTAACAATGTTAGTACACAGCCAATTGGCATCCTTAAGCCATTCTTGAAAGAGTTTCACATTTAGTATATCTCTGGCCCAAGCTCTCTTTCCTCTTTCTTCCCCGAGACTTCGATCTTCAGCGTGCCACCTCATATCTTGAACGTATAAATGTAGCCCAAGGCTGAAGTTAGTCGTTGCTCTAGACGCCTGTTTATTCTCTTTCGTGTCTATCATAATGGGGCTCGGTATTTTCTCAATCTCCGGGACCCCGTTTATTCCAGCGTTGGTAACCGCTCAACCCTCCGCGCATGCAGGACCAACTACGGGAGAAGCTTAGAGGAGCAAGAAAACATGCAATGTTCTGGTGGTTTTCGACTACGGAGCAGTGGCCAGCAAGACGCCAGACATACGGCCACGGATTTCATCTGCTTTCGCGGTTTGCAAGAATGGCGGAACGGGTATTTCCATCTCCAGCGCTCACTGGGAATGATACTCATCGAAGCCAGTCTATGTCCCTCCCGGAGACCACGGAATGAGTACATGGGCCGACTTGAGCGGAGGAAATGCTTGGGCTCTTCAGCTTGACGGGATCATCTACCTGATCATCTACCTAGTGGAGTGAGATTAAGCTCACCTGTAGAAGAAAACTCAAGGCTGAATCTTCATACCAGAACCAATGGCGACAATATGATTGCCATTGACTAGGGGTTCGATTATGAGATGTGCAGCACCACATCGAAGGGTGCCGTCCAAGCTTATGGTTATGTATTTCATGCTGATAAATGGTACCGAATGCATGCAACTTCCCCAGCTCTAATGGTTCACCAGACAAGAAGTATGGAGCGCGAATTCTTCAGTTGAATTCAGTCAAAGACTTCTCTACTCACAATATTGATCTAGTTAACAGCAAGCACTTCCGACCCGCCCCATACAACCCCAACTTACATAAATTCGCAGCGCCTGCATTGCATATTGTGCTAGATAAATGCTCCAACGGTGAGCTTTACAACACGACCATCCGAGGTGGTAACGAAGGAGGGCTTGACGGGATTGATATTTGGTGTTCGAACATCCACGTCCACGACGTGGAAGTAAGCAACAGCAACGAATGTATGGTATCAAGGTAGTGTCCCATCACCCTTCGTTGACCACCAACTAGCTCGAATCCTTTAGAGTCCAGCAAGCCACACGCTCATCGAAAATATTTCAACTGCAGCGGCGGCTGCGCCATGGGCTCTCGTGACCGGAACCGGTATTTCTCCCTCCCGTCCTCTGTTCCCCCCTTCTCCTCAGCTAATAATCCAGACATGTCAAGCATAATCTACTGTAACATTTACACAGCAACCTCCAACCAAATTTACGTGATAAAGTCTAACGGCAGCTGCTGAACCATCAAAAAATGCTGTCAGTTCAGCAACTTCATCGGCCATTCCAACGCAGAAACTCTCGATCTCAACGCTTTCTGGCCCTCTGAGAAAGTTCAAGCCGGCTCGGGAGTTCGGTATTTCAACTTGACTTTTAATAAATGGAAAGGGGTCTGTCCGAATGGAACCAAGCGAGCACCAATGAATGTTATCTGTCCTGCTAATGTCCCCTGTACCGGGATTACGATCAGTGATTTTGCGGTCTGGACCAGAAGTGGGCGTTCCGTGCTGTGGAAGTGTAAGAATGCTTTTGGGAGTGGAGGGTGCTTGGATTCTGGGGCGGTGGAGACGAACTCGGCGATTTCGACGATTAATGCTGCTCCGTAAGTTCTTGTGGGGTGGGGAAGTGAGGAGGGTGAATAGTGCTAATGAGGCACAGGTTTGGATACAATATCCCGAAAATGCCAAGTGATTTGACTGATCTTCCTCTCATGGAGAGCATTCCTACTCCGCCGGTTCGTATGACTTTCTTTCCTGCTGCTTTGTAAGCGAGTGTACTGTTTGGGAAAGCTCAAAGATCGAGCCTGTCCAATGTTCGAGGAGGGTGCCGGAGGTGACTCGTGATATACCACCAGAAAAGTCAACGGCTTACGGACACAATGAGAATGGATCAAGTACCTTCAGATGAATGTTGCAGCCCTCTATCTCGCATTCTACAGCTTCTACAATAATTTTCATCGCTCGTGGCAGTCCATCTAGTTTTGACTTACCTCGTTAGTCGCCTGTCAGCACGAATCGGCAGCCCACGACAGTCGAACTTCCATAAGCACTAACGGTCCACTCGTCACACCTATTAAACCAAAACCTGCAGCAAGTTGTCCCCAGTCATCCCCTGGAAAACTTCCCTGAAACCCCAGCAATATTTGAGACCCTTTGGCAGATCGTGCCGAGGCAGACATGGATTAAACCCTGTCCCACTAACACCTTCCTCCTTCGACTTCACTCCAATTCTTTCCTCCCTTTGAAACCTTTCTTTCCCAACTCTTCAAACAACACCAAAATGGCTAATAGAGCCCCATCCGCCTCCGCCTTCACGGCCATCATAGTCGGCGGCTCGGTCGCGGGCTTGACACTAGCTCACATGTTCTCCAAAGCACATATTGACTACACTCTCCTGGAAGCCCGTGATACTATCTCACCACAGCTTGGAGCTTCAATAGTTATTATGCCGAATGGGGCGAGGATTCTGGATCAACTTGGTGTTTTCGAGGACATGAGGGACGACTTTATTACCAAGATGAGCAGGAGTTTTGTTAGGAGGAGCGATGGGAGACTAGTCTCGTGGAATGAGTGGCCTAGGATGGTGGAGGAAAAGTGAGTCTCCGCTTCATTTTCCCGAACTTTAGTTTTGGTTGGTGTGGGCTGATGGGAACAGGTTGGGATATCCGTGCAGTATTTGTGAGAGGCGCAGGTTTTTGGGGAGTCTTTATGAGCAGTTGGAGGACAAGTCTAGGATTCTGCTGGAGAAGAAAGTTGTTGATATCAAGCATGAGAAGGATGGGGTCGCGGTGAGGTGTCAAGATGGGAGTGAGTTTAGAGGGGATTTGGTGATTGGTGCGGATGGTATTCATAGTCGGACGAGGGTTGAGATGCAGAGGCTTGCGGAGGAGATGGGACCGAAAGGGTTGATGGATAGGGATAAGTCAAGTAAGTCACTGGGAGGAAGCATGTGTCGCGATCAGGAATCCTCAGGGGATCTGCATCTGAATGCTCGAGTGAGTACTGGCTGTGGATATGACGATGTAGTACAATGCCATCCAGGTCTCCTTCAGTGTTGGGAGATTTCTGTTGTTTCGCGACCTCATCCATTCAAATTTTCCAGGGGAAGTAGACTAATCACCGCCTAGGCATAACAGCAGAATATAACTGCTTCTTCGGCATCGCCGACGAAATTCCAGAGCTCATTCCGGGAGATAGCCACGTCTCCACAGACATCGACCACTCCTCCCTTCTTTTCGTCAGCCAAGGTTCCAACGCAGTAACCAACGCCCGCGCAGGCGGTCTTCCGCAATGGTTCTTCTTCTCCAAAATGGACCGCAAATACTCGGGCTCCTCCATTCCCCGCTTCACAAAAGCTCATATGGATCAACAAGTCGAAGAGTTCGGAGATTTCAAACTAACAGAAAACGTTACGTTGAAAGAGATCATTAAAAAGTCGAGAACCCTGAGCTATTTGCCGTTGGAGGAGGCGAGCCATGAAGTATGGACGTTCGGCAGGATTGTGTGTCTCGGAGATGCGATCCATAAGATGACGCCCAATGTGAGCCAATTTCCCCTTCACTTATGACAAGCCACTGAACATTTCAGCTCGGACAAGGCGGGAATCAAGCAATCGAAAGCGCGGCCGTTCTCACAAACTGCCTCATCGAGCTTCTGCAAAAGACTTCCGACAATAAACCCGAACTCTCAGTTCTGAAGGAATCCTTAAGGCAGTACCAGACTCTGAGGCAGAAGAGAGCAGAGAAATTCGTTCATTTGTCGGCGATGGTAACGAGGAATGATGCACTTGCTACGCTCAAGCATACGGTACTGTTTCTGTACGCAGAGCCGCTGTCTGGAGAGGCGCTTACTGGTAAGTCCATCTTCCGAAGGTCTTGAGTCTGGCTGATTTTGAGCTAGCCTTTCAAACGGAGATGTATCACACAGCCCCATACCTGAACTTCCTTCCGCTGCCAAGACATGTTACGGAAAATGAGACGTGGAAACAGGGCATAGAGAGAGTGAAGGCAAACGATATTATTCCGAGACCACGGTGAGAGTGTCCTTGCTTGGTGGTAGCACAACTTGACTGACAATCTCCACAGGCTGTAAACCAGTCGGGTCCCCTACCCCCAGTGAACAGAAAATAGTACCCCGAAATGAAGGATGCTTCCATCTCAAATTCAAAAGCAGCATTTGGTAGATATTAGATCGGCGGCCTTCTCCATGAATATTATTCATATAGAACTAGATTCATATCAACATTATTTTCAGAAGAGTTTCACCATTCTATTATTAGTCCCAATCCCAATTCCGGTGCGTACCTCGGTCCTGTGTGGTCTTGGTTACCAATTGCCTTTTGCGTGTACGGTAAACTCTTCCGTCTCTAGTTGAGAAAGCACTGATGGAGTAGAACTCAGATTCCCAGATCCAAGGTGACCCAAGTGACCTTGGTCATCATCTTTCACCAACATCCATTGTCTTTCTTCAACCCCGCCTGGACGGTGTTGATGTGTCTAGCCATAACTCCGCATCCCAGCTCGCGGCCTCACGCTTATTCGGCCCTAAAGGATTCAGTCCATAGCCAGGCAGAACGTAGTCATCGCCCTGGTCAACAATAAGTCCATATTCCGACTCCCAGCTATAAGGGGATCAGTGCCAATGCCTTCCTGGCCAGACAAGTTGAGCTGCCAAAGTTGCAACGCCCTCATGGTTTCCAGTAATTCCATCCACCTAGGAAAAGCCTTGTCGGGATAGAAAGGGGCCCATATTTTCCCAGGTTTCTCGAACCATGACTTCAATCACGTTTCCCAAGGTTCAGACTCGCTCTTCGCTATGGTATCGACAAAACCAACGGCTGACAAGGCAGGAAAAGAATCTAAAACATGACTGAGGTTCTTGTTAATAGATAACTGCCGGGCCACAAAACTGGCAGATTCTTCCAGCTGAAAGATGCCGACATGGTAGCGTAAAGTCCTGACATTGCGGGAGAGAACAGTATTCCGAGCGATTTTTTCGAGTATGTTGAGACGCTTTCTTTGCATGCAAATCTGATCGACTTCAGCAGATATGGGCTCAAAAAGAAATACAATTCTAGACCAGAAAGTCTCGCGGCTCGAATGTCTTGGTCTTCGGGAAAGGTCGCGATGATTGAGAAATGATCCGCAGAGAGCATTGAGACTGGTGCGTCTCGGTACGGAAAGACTGCTTCTGTACTATCCGAAGCCATGCTGGGCTTCAAAAAGAGGGAAACATGTTGAAGACCGGGTTGCAAAGACGAAGAACGCGTAGCTGGCGCTTGAATTATGGCATATGTAGGGCTCTGCAAGCGACCGGAGACATTGGTGCCTTCACCTATGGAGAGGAAGGACGAGTAGGTTGATTTATTTTTTATTCAAAATATAGTTGCATGTCCTATCGTGACAATGGATCTTGTTGTTGTTGATTGTGGCATATTAAGAACCTCAGTTCCACCACCCACGGGAGTCCCTAAGTTGTCAACACTCCCTTCAGGGCTCCAAGTTCCTAATGTCTGGTTGAAAGAAATATGTTGCGCGCTTCCAAATCTCGAGAAGCTCGCGACGTGCGAGCTGCCAACCGCATCGCTTACTCCCTTCGGAGGGCCTGCCAGAGAATCTCCCAGAACTTCGAAGCCGTTACTCGGCGTCCACAAGCCCTTTGTGCCATCCAAACTCTTGTGCAGCAACGAGTTATCCGTACCCCACGCAAAGACGTCTATGCGATTCGCGCCCCAAGAAATTGCTTCGGGCTCAGCTTGAACGGAAGTGTTACCACTGATCGAGGTCCAGTTTGACCAAGAACCATTGTAAGAGAGGTGCCATAGCCCGGCATCTCCCCCTCGCACAAAAACGTCAAGACGACCGCTGCCCCAAGACACTGCAGTCGGTCTTGAGGTGCAGTATCCTCCGAGACTTTCAAACCTGTATGAAGGCTGCCATGATCCGTTCCAATAGGTATGGTAGAGATGGTGTGAATTTGAGTCGACGACGAATAGGTCCATTCCGTTCTGATCCCAAGAGACTACTGTCGGGGTAAATACGCTCCAGTTTCCTCCTAGGCGACTCCAGGAACCCCAAAAAGGTGATTGAAAGGTGGCTGGATCCCAGGATATCTGATAGAGTTCAAAAGTATTCTTCAAGACGAAGACATCCATTTTGCTGGCTGTCCTGGAAACAACTGCGGGCGCGGTAATGGCCTCCCCGCCAAGCCACCCCCAATTTGCCCAACAGCAAGCACCCTGCCCATGGGACCTTTCCCAGATGCCTAAAGTACCATCTGACTGACCACCTGTGACATAGATATCCATGACGTATTTGGTTCGAGAAACGGCTGCCACAGATGTGTCGAAAGATGTCAAGGTTCCTCCGACCCAATCTAGCGAGCCGTTTGTTGGTTTCCAAATCGTATCAGAAGAGTCTAAACCTCGATATTTCCTGTACACGGAAGCATCACCCAGTCCCACTGCAAATACTTCCATGTGAGGATAGCCCCACGAGATTGCTGTGGGATAGGAGTAGCTCGACAAAATGGTTGCGGTGCCTGACATGGTCGGAGACGAATCTGATCCACTTATTATAATGTTACATCAGCGAAGAAGTCGCATTGTAATATCATATATAGCTCTCAGGGCTCTTCTTACCCAGTGGGTGGTGAATGGGGCGATTTGTGCAGGCCCCCGACAAGACCTCCTACAAGCGCAGCCAAGACCACAACCACTAAAGCGATCCACAACCAATGGATTTTTCGCAAGAACCATCTCGGAGCTGTGATAGTAGGCTGAGTAATCGCAGAGGCATCTTTGATACCATAGGCCGTTTGAGGGACAACTTCTGGTAGAGACTCTGGATTGACCTCCAGCTGGGAGTATTGCGGAACAGCCGAGGCGTTGGAAACTTCCATTGTGCCTGGCGCCGCGTCGCTGGAGAGGGGCTGTATTCTTATACTGTTTGCGTGACTGTAGTCTTGGCTGTTAAGCCATTGAAGCCACATACTAGGCTTAGAGGAACATTTCGAATCAGAAGGCTTTCTCAGACGCAGGACTCATCAGCTACAACTTGCAGGATCCGAGGACTCTGAGCGCACATGAAATTGACTGTAAATCCTTCTGGGAAGAACACCGAGATCCTCAATAAAGATGAACTACATCGCATTTCTCGTCATGAATCTGAAGAGACGAGAGCGTATTGCTACAAACCGAATTTCCTGGCCTGCAAGACACATTACTATGTTCCAGAGATGATGGCAGAGACATTCAATGTGGGTATACCAAGGGTCGAAGATGGTGGTACGGCAACATTCGAAGGGGTCATGACCAGGAAGACATTGTGAAGGCCGTAGAGATGAAGTGTGGTTTAGTGGTTGAAGTATGAAACATGTCAGGGCTGCACGTGATGTGGATGTATTGATGTATTGGTGCCTTATTGTCCAGGCCTGAACAAAATTTGGAAGGTCAAAGAGCTTTTTTGGAGAACGCGACTTCAGATTTTTGAACGCGTTGATGAACGAAACGTTGCATGACAACCTCCTTTTCTGATCTTGAAGCTTTTGTTGTTCGATTTGAAGCACCCAAGAAGCAGTCTGCAGTCCTGAAGACCGTCCCCTCCCCTCAAGATGGCTATGAGTAGGTTTACCTCCGTTGCTGAAGCTTCCATCAGCTGTCGAGCTCCGGCTAACTTTGTTGCCTTCTAGATATTGATATGTCACAAGGTATGTTACGTCTGCAAGAACTACAATACCAAATCCGATGCTAACATATCCACTTTGCAGCCTCGGTCATCAAAGATGAGCAAGGCAGACCATTCATTGTCGTCCGAGAGTAGGAGCTCCCAGCTGGTCAACCACTCCCTACACTAACATTTTTCCAGCCAAGGCAAGAAGAAGAGACAACACGGTACCGATGCCGTCAAATCACATATCCTCGCCGCAAGAACCGTTGCCAATATCGTGAAAACTTCCCTTGGCCCCCGAGGGCTCGACAAAATCCTGATTTCGCCTGATGGAGACATCACAGTTACGAACGACGGCGCAACGATCCTGAGCCAGATGGAGATATCAAACCACGTTGCGAAGCTTCTTGTTGAGTTGTCCAAGTCACAGGATGACGAAATAGGAGATGGTACAACTGGTGTGGTGGTTCTGGCCGGAGCACTGTTAGAGCAGGCGGCAGAGCTCATCGACAAGGGAATCCACCCCATCCGAATAGCAGATGGCTACGACCAGGCATGCGATATTGCTGTTGCTGAGCTGGACAGAATTGCAGATACTATCGAATTCACAAAATCGGACAGAGGAAATCTGAACAGGGTGGCGAGGACGAGTTTGGGGAGCAAAATCGTCTCCAAAGCTCATGACCAGTTTGCAAAGATTGCTGTGGATGCCGTGATGTCTGTGGCTGATCTCGAGCGCAAGGATGTGGATTTTGATCTGATCAAGGTTGACGGCAAGGTCGGCGGATCACTTGAGGATTCTCTACTGGTTCAGGGTGTTATCGTTGACAAGGACTTCTCTCATCCCCAAATGCCATCCGAGGTCCGTGATGCCAAGATTGCGATTCTGACTTGTGCGTTCGAGCCCCCCAAGCCGAAGACGAAGCACCACTTGGATATCACAAGTATAGAGGAGTTCAAGAAGTTACAGACCTACGAGAAAGACAAGTTCGCAGAGATGATTAACATGATCAAGGATACTGGTGCCAATCTTGTTATTTGCCAGTGGGGCTTTGATGACGAGGCGAACCATCTTCTGTTACAGAACGATCTTCCCGCAGTCAGATGGGTTGGAGGTCCCGAAATCGAGCTGATTGCTATTGCTACGAACGGAAGGATAGTGCCAAGATTCGAAGACTTGTCAGCAGAGAAGCTTGGGAAAGCAGGGATTGTACGAGAGATGGAGTTTGGTACAACGAGAGAGAAGATGTTGGTGATTGAGGAGTGTGCAAATACGCGAGCGGTCACCGTCTTTGTCAGAGGCAGCAACAAAATGGCAAGGTTCCAGTTTGGAATTGGTACACAGGCCAGGCTAATATTGGTAACAGATCATTGATGAAGCAAAGCGATCCCTCCATGATGCTCTCTGCGTGGTCCGGAATCTTGTCCGAGATAACCGTGTCGTATATGGCGGAGGAGCAGCAGAAATCGCCTGCTCCCTCGCCGTCGAAGATGCAGCGGTCAAGTCCCCTGGCCTCGAGCAATACGCCATGCGAGCATTCGCCGATGCTCTCGACGCCATTCCCATGGCCCTGGCAGAGAACTCCGGCCTGTCACCTATCGAGACCCTCGCCAGCATCAAGAGCAGACAAGTCACCGAGAAGAATACCAGATTAGGAGTTGACTGCATGCAAACTGGCAGCAACGACATGAGAGATGCGTTTGTCATTGATCCCTTGATCGGGAAGAGACAGCAGTTGATGCTGGCAACCCAGCTGTGTCGCATGGTGTTAAAGGTCAATAATGTCATTATTGCGGGAAGCGATGAGAATGAATTCTAAAAGCGAGACTTGTGTACCATAGCTGTAGAACAGGGACATAATCATAGAATCATTCTCTGTAACCCTCTCTTCTGATGGTGCCGGCTGGAATGCCGATGTTGCTCCCCGTCGTCACTTCAATGACAGAAGGCAGCACAGCTATGGTTCTATGGGAGGTCATTGTCCCTCTGAAGTGATCAAAATCGCCTTTGCGGCCCGCCTTCACCTCCGCAAAAGAAGGCAGAGCAAGCCCGTGCTACGAGCATTATCTTCCAGCGTTTTTATTTTTTTGATTGATATTGCTGCCCTGCCCTATTGCTGCTTTTATTGAAGATACTGGTAGTATCTACAGCTACACTTTGTGGGCCACAAAGGACTTCATTCTTATGGAGATCCACCAAAATATGGATGATGCTTCCCAGGAATATGCTGCAAGTTCTTCTGAAGTGCGGACACCCTCAGGCAACAGCAGCTCCCCTTGTTGCCCCTTTGTTTACTTTGCAGCGTCATCTTTTGAGATCACCTAAATGTGCGCTCTCTCCTTGGATTCAAATAGCAGCACATTTTCAGTTCAAGAGAAGTTTCTTTACATGGCGCCTGACATGGGTGGATGCCATCTCGGTTCGCAGCCACATGGGAGACAGCAGATGTTCAAATCACCCCCCCCTATTTTCCCGAGCCGGAGCGGATTCACCACCTGGCGGACTGGTGAATTCTCTCTTCACACACAGAACACTAAAACCACGACAAATATGATTGGCCGAGAAAGGACTAACCTCCACAATATTGTCGATGCCTTAATGGAAGATGTCGGCCTGAGCGTGCGAGGCTGTCGAACTTTTCTCGTCTTTGCCGACCTCTTTTAGGTATAGCTTGATCAAGAACAATCACGGTCACGTACCGCAACGATACTAATTCAATTTCGCGATCCTATTTCGAGCCCCCTCCTTAACCTCCATTCATCGATCGTCAACCTATTGTGGCCCACAACAATATTTTGAGATACTGGCTCGTGCACGTCCAGTTCCCACTTCCTTAGTTCCTGCTTCCTTCCATCTTCCTTCCCTTCAAGTCATCATACCACAAACAGCGTCTTCCAGGAAGGTCATTCATCCTCGACAACCACGCCGTTACAGCTCTTGAATACGCTCGTTCTTTGGATACAGCCAGACAATTTGATCTCCTGTCATCCTAGATCAACATATTCAGGGTCTTCGACGTCAAATCCGCGCATTTCAACACGACTACTTCACGCCAATACCAAGCATCTGCCTTCACTAGTTCCGACCGACATCCTATATCATCCGCAAGATGTCTGACTATCAGATCTCCGAAGAGGGCTGCCCACTGTGGAACAACGGCTTTCGATGCAAGGCAAGTGAGACCACAGGCTGTCCTCATATCCATGACAACTTCCTCCGCAAAGAAGCCCAGGAGAAGAAGATATTGGAAGACTTGAAGAAGAAGAAGGAACAAAAGCTGGCTGTTTCGCGCTCACAGCTTCAAGGCCAGTACAACAACGTTCTTGCTCCCAACACCCCCACCGCCAACCGGGCCAAGCAAATCACTTCCGTCAAGGTTGCCAACACCGCCCAGGTCAACTCCAGGATCAAGTCCATCATCAAACAGACAGATAACCAGGTCCAACGCTCAGCCCCTGCAACCTTCAACTCGGATATTATCTCTTCCATGGTCGCGAAGATTAATAACCTGAAGGTTGATCATGTCACCGTCACCAAATTCGAGACTGTTCATCGCTTGAACTGGGCCACGGTCATCTACTCCAAGCCGAATGCCCAATTGGCCAGCAAATTCCCGAAGTCCAGCAATTCAGTCTGCAGAAAATTTCTTGTGGGATTGTGCCAGAGAGGCGTTGACTGTCGTTACTCGCACCTTGTGCCATCTCCAACCAATCCTCAAGTTCCTTGGCCTGGAGTTGAGCATGAAAAGTTTTCCCCAGATTGGGAGTGGGATGTTGTTATGACAGCGATGGGGCCAAAGTATGTCCAAGTTCGAACATGCCCCCCGCCCAAGTACTCCTGGGACGTTTACAACAAGGATGCTCTCGTTGAGGATCAACAACTAGAGGAAACCTATGCTGCCACTGCATCCAAGGGTGTTCTTTCTCAGGTTGCTCCTCTCAAGGTCCAACACTCGAAGACACCTTCCCAAGCTTCGGCTGGGACATCTTTTCAAGAATCTGTCAAATCGAGCGAGAATTCTTGGGACACTCCTCGCCGTTCGTCAGCTACGAAGACCCGACTCTCCGATGTTGGCCGATGGACCTTGGAGACTCAGAAGCCGAAGCTCGCCTTGGCCCCACCTGCCGACAAGGCTCCTGGCAATGCAAGTTTTCACCGTTTCCAAGAGCTGCCAGCCGAACTTCGCATCAAGATCTGGAAGATGGCTATGAAGGACTATAGAAACACTGCTAGAGTCGTCTGGAAGTGGGATGACTACCACATGGGCAATTATTACAACAGCAGACTCGAGCCACGAACCCGTGCTCCACCATTCCTCCATGTCTGCAAGCAGGTTCGCGACATCGCTGGACATTACCATTTCGAGAAAGTCTTCGGCACCATGCAGTCCGGTCCTGAGACATGGTTCAGTTTCGAAAACGACCGCCTCTTCCTCCAAACTCCCTCCCCTCTTCAGCTTGTCAAGATGGCCCAGCAGATCATCGCTCGTGAGCGCAAGCTTGTCTCCTACCTCACGCTCCCTCTTCGCGACTTTGTTCACAACCCGATCGGCTTTGTTCAAGTCGTCACGGGCTTCCACAACTTGAAGCACTTGCATCTCGTCGCTTCTACCGCCTGGGAGGATAGGCGCTGGACTTGCGACCCGGGAATGATCCCGAAGGTTAAGCGAGCCCTCAAGAAGGACTGGGTTCGTCGCCAGACTAAATATCGACCTGATGACATGCTCAACGTCCCAGGTGTTTGGATCGACTCCGTTAGCCCTGTTGAGGCTAAGGCTTATGGTGTTGATGGCATTCAATGGGGCGCCAACGTTCGTCATGACGAGCGGTTGTGGGTAGGGAACTGAGGTTCTTAAGCTAGTGAATTTCTTGGGATCTTGACTTGGGATCACACAGCCTTCTCTTGCATCCAGAGTTGGTGAATTTATTGGATGGGTTGGGAGGTATTACGGTCACGGATTTCATGCACATCGAGCTGGTCTTCGCTGATTGGGACGTTGATGCGTTTCGTCGTGGATTTGCAAACAGTATCAAGCTGGTCTTAATTGATCGGCAGATACTTGCCTTTCCCTGACTCGAGAGATGGATACGTAATTGGTGGATGGATGCATACTTTTTGCTTTCTCTTTCGCGAAAGATGTTGAGATACCCTTGCTTTTCTTTTCCTTGCATTATGTGCAGCTGCTGGCATACGGCGGGGCGAGATGAATATTGGTTGGCTGGCATGCTGCAGGTTTCTTTCCTTTCCTTGCTTGCTTTACGAGACTTGAGGGACGATGGATGGATGATGATACGAAAAGTCTCTACTCTTCAACAACGCTACTATTCTATGTATGATAGTTTCCTACCATGACTTGGGGGTGGGAAAAGGTGTAAGAAAGGCAAAAAAAGGATGAAAAGACGAATCCCACAACTGTTTCACTGGGAGATGATTTGATGTGACATGATAGATATAAGGTGATTTATTGTGTGCGATGCGCACAGGGTACCTACAATGCATCTCTGCTCTTGCTGCTTACTTATTGCTGCCGCTGCCGCTGCAACTGCTCATCAACGCCATCTGAAGCTCAGCCACGCCTTCCGCACCACCACCCTGTTTATCCTCAATCCTCAATCATCTACAAATCCAACACTTCTTCAATCCACTTCCTCACAACCCTGCCTTCCCCATCTATTTCCGGCTCATCAAACCATGGGAGCGGAGCAACCTGCACCCTTTCCTCAGCCGCAGCCGAAGGATCATGATCTTCGTCCCACAATACCCTCTCCTTAAACTCATGAAGTAGCACACTCCTCCTCATTAACCTGACCATTTCTTCCGCTTGAGTCTGTGGCGTTACTTCCTCTCCCGCTTTCTCCTCGAGCTGGATATCGGTATCCCGTCCACGGACTTGCTTCCGTGCTGGCTTCTTGCTAGAGAGAGGCCTCTCGTTCTCGGTGGTCCCAGTGGACGGAGATTCGGACGGAGTGTAAAGGAAGAGAGAACGAGGGATCTTGAGACCGGAGTCCTTGGGTGGGAATTTTAGGTTTGCTTTCTTGCTGACCTCCAGCTCGAGGGAGCCGCCATCCATCTCTCCCCTCCTTCCGCTCGTCTCCAGCTCATCGATGTCCATGTCTGTGATGAGCGAGGGGTCGGAGGTCGGGTAGAAGATGGATTCTTCGAGGTGGTCGATTAATGGATTCTGGTTCGAGGGGGTGGTTGAGTCTGTTGTCGGGGATGGCGAGGAAAGCTCGTCGTCTTTGGACGTTGGCCATGTTTTTGGTACTGCTACCCCTGCGGTGCGGAAGAAGAGGAGGGGAGAGGCGAAGGAGTCGAATGCTGATCCTGGGGAGCTGAAGAGTCTTTCTTTCAAGCAATGTAACTTTCTTGAGTCCCATATTTCTTCCTCTACTTCGGATTGATGCTCGAGATCGGTAGGAGGTGCCGAAGTTGCGATATCAGTCCAGCCATACACCCCGTTCTTCGTTATCAAGCCCGCGATTCGTGTTGGGAGGTTCTTTGAAGCAAAACTCTCCGTCAGCGCAAGACTCGTTGCCAGTGTTCCTCCCAAGTAACTCCCATACACCAGAATTGGCCGTTGAATTACCTTCGACGTTGATGTCGGGGCATGGAATGTCCGGGGTCGAGGTGAGAAAGGAGAGGTAGGTGAGGTGTGGGTCCGCGATGGTGGAGAGAGGGAGAAGGAAGGGAGCAGAGAGGTGAGGAGATAGCTATAGGCGTGCAGGACATCGTGGAGAGGCGTGGGAAAGGGGTGGGTTGCAAAGGAGGGGTGATTGCTTAGAAGTTTTGGTGTTGGCGTTGGGTAGGATGTGTGAGAAGAGGAAATGTTCCATCTATAATTGATGACTGCTAGGGAGGCGGCGGGGTGGAAGAGGTAGCTTGGTATGGAAGAGTGGCTGGCATGGAGATGCAAGCCCATGGGCGGGAGGTAGATGGTTAAGGGCGAGGAAGGGTTGCGGAGGGCCGGGGCGTTGTAGAGGCTACTTGTGGTCAGCTGAAGCGTAGAAAAGGGGAAGAACGTCACGTGAGATTTTGCTGGTGCAGAGGCAGCAAAGTTTGATTACCACTTTCTGAGGCAGATCTTCGAGATCAGGGATAACCCAAAAGACTTACTTTACATCAATTGACCCAGAAGACCCACAAACCACTTTAAATATCTCAGGCTCATCTTCACGTGACTGAGATGAATAAAATCTTCTTCTTTTCTCGATGTGAAGCGATCGGCCCTCAGCCACGCATCTCCGACATAGCGGTATCCAAACTCTCAGAGCATTCTGCATTCGGAAGGGATCGCGATATTATGCAGATCCTCTGGATGCTTGTCAAGCAGAAGCTTCGGTCTCGAGGCCTCGGTCACCTCTGCTTTTCACTGCTGGCTGTTGGCACGAAGAGACTTGTCCAAAATACCTTGTAGTGCGAGAGAAAAAGAAATTAAACAAGTGCGTTTAGTATAATTATGCTCCCGGAAGAGTTTCAATTGCGTTATGTTGGGCGTTGATTTGGTTATGTTGATTTGACGGGGGAGGTCGCTAGGTGTCTCCTGAAAATGACTTGGGATGAAAACCTCGGCCACCGTACCGCCATGTTCCATCTGGGAAAAGGCCGCCGGAGATTCCCCCGTTCATTACAACCATAACAACAACCACAACTCCATCATTCCTCCCCAAAACCTGACCGTTGCGTACGAAGGAGAGATTGATATGGAGGCAACGACGCAGCGAATGCCATCTTGAATCTCTGATTCTCTCCTTATCATCTAGGCTGCGCACGAGCTTCTCTACGACCACGTATCTGTTCCTGCAACAATGGCGAAGCGTCCAAGCCTGAGACGGAAGGATGCTCGCTGGAACACTTCAATGCACTGATCAAGAGCCTCTTGAACTCTGGTCTGAAGACCCACCATCGCAGGTGTCAAGCTGGTTAGAATGAGGAAGATGCTGCTGGGATCCAAGCACCAGACCCGCTAGAATGTTTCCAGAGCCGCTGCCAACCATGGTTTGCCTGTGCACGCCCGTGCCATCTCAGTGTATGGGATTTATACTTTTCGTCAGAGAAAATGACGCTCACGAATTGCTTGCTGCAAAGTTTCCAGATGCTCCTCTGCACTCGAACCGTCGCTGGCCGGAATCATCTCATCAATTGCGTATGTCATCCCATTTTATGAAGATATACTCGGGCTCGATTCGCCCCCCTGAACCGTTTGGTTCTCGGTACCAAGATCTGGCACGCAAACCTTTGTCCTGCATCATCTTGCGGGCCAGCCCGAGGCCTCGAGGCCCACGGGATGCGCAATAGTGGCTCAAAAATCCCGAACCCACATCCTGGCTCAACGTCCTGCAACGCGCATAAGACGGCTTCTTCTCGCGGTGCCGCATGAACCCGTAAGGTGAGAAATAGAAGGGACCGGCGATCGAGGAGTGTGGGCCCAGTTGGGAGTTTACTTGACCTTTTGTCTCGCCCCTTGGGCCACAAGACGACGTCGAATATTCGAACTGTCTGATTAACGCAGAGTGAGAAGTTGAGGGGAGTGTACAAACATTTCGACGAACGGCCGGACGAATCAAAGAAGCGGTTCGATTCTTAGATATACTTTTAAATGGGTTTAGAGTGAAGGCCATTGTGTTGCATTGCGTCGGGACATACATACGGTATACACAGAATCGGTTGCATACAGTTATGGATCGGACTGAGGAGATTTGCAGTTCAGGTAGAAGTCAAAAGAATCCAGATGGAAGAAGCAGTAGACAGGATGAGAAAAGAGGGTACACCCTTAAACATTGAAGATTTAACCTCATATCTCTGCCATTTTCATTTACACTATTTAATTTTTGAACATCAAGACTTCTTGGATGGAGGTAAGGGGTCTAATTCTTGACGTTTTCGGTTCTCGCTTGTAACCTCATAGGTCCATCATCAATCATGTATACACCAGATATGCATCTCCACCTCATCAACACTCTTAAATTTCGAACAGCATCACACGGACAGGTTCAGAACCCAACCCAAGGCCATTGCGTAGATGGCTCGAGAATCTGTGCAGCATAGATTACATATTCCTCCTTGTTAGCTGTGGCTTCCCCTCACGGGATCCTGTCACTCACGCGACCCTCAGTTTGACGGCTGAGAACAAGGTTCTTACACTACCCGCGACGTACTGGCGACGCCTTGACAACTCCCCTTCAACGCATTGAAGCTGCAGGGCCACGCTGGGATGCACCAGCTGCCAACACAGCACCACGTCTTGGATGATTTCGGCTCAGAAATCCCCGATCGGGAAAGTTTTCCCCTCCATGAACCAGGGCTGCTGTTTCACAGATAACTGTCTGCTCGAGAGGGCAACTCTTGCGCTCAACCCTCAATGTACGAGCTGAGTCTCAGTCACTTTGTCCGAATTGCCTCCTGTTTTCCCGGGCAGAAATGCCTCGCTCGTCATTCCTTCCCCCCTTCCAGTAGCCTTACATTACACTCGGCAAACCTCCCATTAAATTCTCCCAGCGTTGCACGCCTCCAAAACAGACGGCGTCATTCGCTAACCGACTTGCATTCTGGGACTGGTTTCTTAGCTTCCATGAGGAAAGTTTTCCTTGCCCTGAGAAGTGTCTGTGCTGCGATTCCGGAAGCGGAAGAGTCATTTGCTCGTTCTTGTACTCTGGGTTTCCTTGCTTCCACTCTTCTCCTTCTTCCTTCATAGAATTATAGATTAGAGCATAGACAGATCTCTTTTCGTCATATGCATTATTCGGTTTCAAGCAGAAAGCAGGACATACGTCACTGAGAATTTTCAAGATAAAAATTTCTTATCGACCCCACTCCTACCCCGCCATCCCACCTTTTCTTCAGCGCAACCACCATTGTTCGAAGCAGAGCGGATAAATCAAGAAGGAGGAGATACAGGAAGTAGGATAGAAGGAGAGAGTAGCAACAATGGGCAAAGCGACACTGCATCTCGTTCGCGTAAGCAACTCTCCCATTTCCTCCCCATCACGCCTCACTCTCCTCCTCCTGCACGTCGACCCTGGAAATAGATTCTGGAAACAACACTGACTCTCTCGAAATATAGCACGCACAAGGCTACCACAACCTCAACACAACAAACCACTCTCTCCCCGATCCAGACCTCACCCCGCTCGGCGAACAACAATGCGCCACGCTCGCCTCCACCTTTCCCTTCCACGGCCGAGTCACACACCTCGTTGCCTCTCCCCTCCGCCGAACACTCTACACATGTCTCCTCTCCTTCCCTTCCGAAGTCTCGAACGGCCTAAAAGTCATAGCATTGCCTGAATTACAAGAAACCTCCGACCTGCCCTGCGACACCGGTTCCTCCCCTTCGAAACTACAAGACGAGTTCAGCGAGGGCCAATTCGCAGGAGCCGTGGACTTGCGCCCCGTCCACGAGGGCTGGAACTCGAAGAATGGGAAATGGAGTCCAGCATCCTCCGCCATCGAGCGACGAGCTCGCGAGGCACGACTATGGCTACGAAATCTGGCTTCGCAGTCAGAAGGGGATGCAGAGATTGTGGTAGTGACGCATGGAGGATATCTTCACTATTTCACGGAGGATTGGGAGGGTGCTGAACGGGGGACGGGCACGGGGTGGGAGAATACTGAGTGGAGGAGCTATGAGTTTGTGGAGGGGAGTGGGGATGCGAGTTTGAGGGAGACGAGGGAGAGTAGGGAGAGGAGACGCGGTACGGAGAGAGGGCTGACGGCGGATGAGCAGAGGGAACTTAAGGCGAGTAGGGAGAGGGAGTGGAGGGAGAGTGGGTTTCAGAGTGATGCTAAATTATAGATGGAGGTTGAGATTTAGATGGGAAACAGAGATTAGACAGAGATAGAGTTGTGCTTTTTGCATTGCATTTGGGTATGCATAGAGGCCCGAGCATAGAGTAATAGACAAGACATATTTGCAGCCACAGTCCGGTAGTTTACTAGGACTTGACAGGATCACCCATATCTTTGCGTCGGGAAATGAATTTCCTGGTCTTGGAACCTACCACGTGGGCAGCACATTGTTCCAGACAGCGAGGTTCTCTGCTCAATTTGCATTTGAAAGCTCAAACGGTTCTATCAGTCTGACTTCATTACTGCTATTCAATGGATTACAAGCCACGGGCTCGGGTATACCATGCGTCATGCCGTCCCATCTACTTCACAGTGAAGCTTGGGTTCCCGATTATTCACTCTCATGGCTGGATCAATGACTGGAACGAATCCCGTACTTTGAACTACAATTAACTCAAAAAGTCCTTTACCTTTCCCAATATTTCTCCAACCTTTGGCATCCATTCATTTTCCCAATACCCAGCATGCACCACCCAACCCCAAAGCTCCATCCAGGACCCTTGTGGTCCTTCATTCCACATATATTATTCCTCCTGTTCCGAATGGTTCCCCAGCTCTTTCTCCTAACCATCTTCTCCAGCTTCTACTCAGGATCAGACATATTTTCAAATGGCTTTGATTTTCGCTTCTAGCGCGATTTGCTCTTCGAACGTCGTGATTATCTCTTTCTTTTCAGCTATACCAACCTCATGTATATCATCTCCATGGTACACGGGTCCAGCAGTATAAACCTCGCATTTCCTCTGCCCTTCGACGATGACGAGGAAAAGAGTCCGGAATCCAGCATGGCTACGGAGCTTTAAGCTCTCCTTCAACGTGGAGGACGGCCTCGTGACAGCAGAAGAGAATTCGCAGAGTATATTGCCGACCCATCCCGCTCGTTCCCCTCCTTTCCCCGCTTCGCGCGGAGAAAACAAGGGTACGGGTTTTCAGTGCTCGTTGTGCTGAATCTCGTTTTTTGTGCGCTTGCCGCTCAGAGAGTGGTCGAGGATTGACGATAAGTTACCAGCGGATTGGGATTTCTTCTTTCAAGTGCTGGGCTTAGCCATTGAGGTGACGTGGGTGGCGTGGCGTGGCTCATGGCTAGGAATGCACTGTTGCACCGGTGGGAGGTGAAGATGGGTGGGATTGCGAGGAGGATCAGGAGGGAGTGTTTGCGGCTTGATGGTGGAGGGCAGCTTTGTGCTTTGGTTTGCCCCAAACTTTCAAGCTAAACAATGAGCGCGTCAATTCGAGGTACAATGCCTTGAGGAAGTCGAACAGCCCATGGCTGAACGAGGATTCACACGAAGGCCGAATCGAGTGCGTGGGGGAGCGCTTGAGAAAAACGGGAAGGATGGAGAGACATACTGGGTACCTCAAAATATGAAAAGGATGGGAAAGGATACAAAGCAGTCAGGCTTGACCCTTTTGAGATAATTACAGTGAGTGATAGGAAGGAGGGAGCAGTGAAAGGCGAAAGGTTTCAGGTTTTGCGGAGTGAGGAGCTAGCATATTGTGAAGTGATGATTTGATAAGAGCAGGGGGGGCGGGGGGGAAACCTTGGCTTGCGGGAAACAGTAGTCGTGGTCAAGAGGTGTAGATTGGTTGTCTAGCTAAGGTTGGTCGAAGGACGGTATTGATTCTCCAAGAGCAGTAAATTTATGGTCACGTGCACCACTGGCTTGGGGGCTTCTCCTTGGGGGGGTGGAGTTATGCGCCAGTGTTCAAAAACCCCTGTCAGCTATCTCCACAACGCCCGAGTTTGCAGTACACGCCCAGATTTGCAGTACTGCCAATTGTGAGTGCAGACTGACTCTGCCTCTTGTTTCCTGCCCACATTTTACCTGACACTCTTCCAGGCTTCACCAACATTGTTACACTGCAACGACAGCAACAGCAGCCCCCAGTAAAGCTTACTCGGTTGTATACCTGCAACGGGCAGTTGTTTAGTTTTGCAAACCTGACATCCCAGTCATCCTCGAGTCTGTCCGGACCCGCACAACTATGGAGGGGGCAGTGCTAGATGCATCAGATCACCCAATGCTCAAGGCAACTGGTCCCGCATTTACCCTTCCGCAACCATTACCTCCAGTCAAGGCCAATTGTTTGGCTTTATATCAACCGGACGTGCTCAAATTCCCAGGTTTCGGGAGTCGAGCCTACACTCACTGGACGGACTCAGAGCTCAACAGTAGTCCCCAAACTGAACGTGAGTCTCTCTCGGCACCCCCAACTCCTTCTCTATCATCGTCTGGCATCTCTAGCATCCAAAGCAACACGCATGAAGCCTGTCCCACTCCAGAAGCTTCCACGAGGACCACCCGACTGCCTCTCCGGGGCAGTAAGGCCAAGCAAAATGACTTTTTCGGTGCATCTGAATTTGGACGTTTGATGCTCATGGACTCGGAATATGAACCATTTCGCACGGCAAGCAGATCAGGTTCTAGCATGCAAGTACCAGGACGCTATCGGATTGCATATCCCCGTGGGAAAGTCGTCGATTGGACTCATTGGGAACCCACAAAGTTCCAGTGCAGCTTCTGCCAGGAGAGATTTCTCAATGATTTTGACCTCCGAACCCATCTACGGACGCACAAGAGGTACCGGAGGCTCCTGAAAGAGGAAATGGGCAACAATGACTTGGATTCCTCCCCTGACCCAGTGGATGGTCCTACTCAAGCCTTGCGTGATGCGTCCTTGGCTTCCCAGAAGAGGCCTACTCTGGATGACAGCTGCACGCCTTTCCCATCTGGAGACATCTATTCTGAGGATACTAGGGCCCGACAGAATAACTTGAGCGATGGAGCTAGTGGCGTTGCAAGTCGAACCAAATCCGAACGAGATACACGCTCGACGTCTTCGGATGAAAACACGGACCTGTGCGCCGACATCTTCCATGGCCTGGAAGGTACGACTATTGAGAGGGCTTCATTTCCTACATCACCTCTGCATGCTAAACACCCTCCCCCGCACTTGCTGCTCACAAAAAGTGGCGTGGAAGACCCAAAGAGTAGCCTTCGGAGCTACACCGATTGCTCAGAAGACGAAAAGGAAATGCTTGGCAGCAAAGACCTCCTTGGTTGTGAAGATACGCCGATTTTTGATCTGGAGATGGACGGAGTTCAAGGAAATGACAACGTCGAAGGACTTCTTATGCTGAGGTCATCATTGGCATCTATGAAGCGAAAACTGATTATCCATATCATGGATGAATTTATGGTCCTCTTGAAGCAAGATTGGGCTGCCCGTACACGAAACCATGGGAATGCGCCAGGTGAGGCACCAAATGGCACCTACCAGTCTAAACCAAGAACATCTTCTCAAGTTTCTTCGAACAACCGACGCCGACAGTACAATGGAGAGGACAATGATAACGGAGGACCCGGTGACGGTGATGGTGACGGTGATGACGATGATCAGAGAGCACCTAAAAGGGTTAGAGCTTCTTCATTTCCGGCAAACGACAACGCCAAATTTGCCTGTCCTTATCGAAAGTACGACCCTCGAAAATACTGTGTCCAAAATTGGCGTCCTTGTGCTCTCACCCCTCTTGAAAACGTAGCTCGGGTAAAGTTTGTTACTCACTCCTTTCAAAGCGGTTTCCTCACTAATTTGACTGATTGCAGAGCGCATTTATACCGGCATCATCGTATATTCCAATGCAAGAGGTGCAAACACCTCTTCCTGAACCAGAGCGTGCTCGATGAGCACATTTTGGCTCTGGAGGGCTGTATCCCCAATCGAATAAATCTTGCAGAAGGCATCACCGCGGAGACCGAAAAAAGGCTGCGAAGCAGGAAGAAGACGTATCCATATCAGACGGAAGCTGATCGCTGGGAAGAGATCTATCGAATGTTATTCAGCACACCAATCATACCTAGCCCTTGTATGTGAACTTTTCTTTGATCTGACTGGTGTGCTCTCTCGCGTGAACTAAATCCTCTAGTCTTTGAACCCGTCGAGGAGAGCGTTGGCCAACTGTCTGATTCGACAAAACTCGCCGAATTCGAAGAATATACACAAAATGAGCTGCCCAGGTTATTCTGGGCTGCGCTTGAAGAAGTCGTCACCAAGGAAATGCAGCCAGTTGAGGAACGACTAAGAACTCAACTCATGGACATGATCCAGAATTGCCAGCACCAAGTCTTCTCGACTTATCAATCTATGGTCACTTCCACTCTTGATACCTTGATGGGCGACAACTTCACCAGGGATAGACTGCTCAACCAATTCGAGCCACTATCCCGAATCACAACCACTGAAAACCAGCTTGCCTCCGTCAATAGCGCTGCCAGTGACAACAATCTTTCTGCTTTCAATTCCTCGACAACTTTGAGCAGCATTTTCAGATCATCTACGACACTGAACAGCGTCTTTACGTCATCTACTACGTTGAGCAGTATTGCCAGCTCTCAGACATCGCCCCAGATCCAGCCAGCTGGGAGTGAGCTCTGCGGAGAAGTGGAAGAGGACGGTACTGGAGCTTTTGGTGCTAATGATAAGACTGTGGCAACGACCGACATTGGTCCAGACGATCTCTGGACGACGGACATAGAGGACATAGACGTCAGCAAATTTGGAATGGGCAACATGTGGGACACGGGAACTTGAGGATAATTATCACTTTCAGCATGGTGGAAGTGCTCGGGTTAGTTGAAGTGCGCAAAAAATACCCCAATAATTCACGTGAAAAGGAAATGCAGAACAGTTCCAGATTCCCCTAATCACGACCAGGTGTGACCACAGTGATATTCTCATGAGTAAGATGCAAGCATAATTAAGAGGCAACAACCAACTCCACCCAAGAAGTTCAATCTTTCCGTATTGTCGATTAATTTTCTCTCTCTTACACTTCGCTTTCGGTTAGTAAGCTTGCCGCTCTTGCTCAGGCGCTAATTACCCTCGGCTCACCCTCGTCTCAATCGACTCGCCTGAGCAACCTGAGCAACCTGAGCAACCTGAGCAACCTGAGCAACCTGAGCGCCCAAGCATCTTGAGCAAGCCATCAAATCGTTACGTGTTTTAAGTTTCTCGCTTTTTTAGCTAATCACCCTCGATCTAACCACTCTTCTCTTATATTATTTTCGTTGAGTTTTGATAAAGATATAGAGGGTTATACTCTTGAGTAAGCCTACGTGCTTCGGGTATGTGCCATACGCTAGTTATAGTGCCAACCTCGTATAATAGGCTTCTTACCCCCCCTTTTCAGGTTTAGAAAAACCTCTTTTTCTTTCTTAGCTTAATCTTCTTATATCTAAAATTTGGATTCGATTATAAAATCCTTTTTACTCTATAATACAAATAGTAAGATATATAATCAATATATTGTGCCTAGGTAATAGAAAATTTTCTAAAAAGGTGTAGTATTGCTTAAACGCGTTATTAGACAGGGAATATAGATAACAGGTTAAAGGTTATAAATATATAATAGACGTAAGATATATATAAAAAACTGTATTGCCATGCTTAACACAAAAGCTACCTTTCCAACCACACTATAGGTTTCCCGTTTAGAATCGAAATATCGCTATGTACTAAGTTGTTCGTAGCAAACCTTAGGGTTTGCATAATTTGCAATTAGAGTATCGGTAGCTCCTTCCACCTATCCTAGGATCACCAGCTCCCTCTTGCTATTAGCAGCAATCCACGCTTCTTCTAAAATATTCGCAGTGGTGACCCGATAGGCTATCCCATCTCGTCGCTCCACCATTAGCACTAATTTCTCTGCAGCATGAACCTGCGTTGCATTCCGAGCAAGGAGTACAAAATCGAAAACACCTTCACCTAGGACACAAGTCATATCCTCGGGGTTGTCGGGCACGCAGAGGTCTGTCTGGCCAACAGTTTGGCCCTCCGAATCTCGGATCTCGTAGCGGAAGAACTTCGACTCCGGCCAGGTGTCATTCACCTCCTCGATTGGACCGCAAGTAGAGAAAGGGGCAGTTTCCGTCCAAAAACAAAGGAATTGGTTGTCCGGTGTCTGCTGGAGACGCTCGCGCGTGAGGTGCGGATGCTCGGCTAGGACAGTCTGAAGGGTGACCGCGAGCGGACTATAGGAGATGCCGGGAGGAAGTTTCGGCGTCGGGATTTCAGCCTCGTCGCTCATGACTTGTAGGACTTTCACCACGCGTAAAGGGGAGTTTCGGAGAATAAAGCAGAGGATCTCCGGACTCATTCTGGACATTTAACTTAGGACACCTTCGCCTAAACATGCAAAGCATATATGACTTACCCCGTGTCGACGTACTGGTCTGAAATAGGTAGCGACGCACCACCAATCCATCCTAGCCACGACCATGTTGGAAACGCGACACAACATTTCAGCGTCGACATGGGCAGGCTGGTCAGCGCCGTCCGTCGCACCAGCTTCCCCTGAGTGACCGCTGTCCTAGACCTTGTCCAGCACAGCGCAAGCTCGAACCGGGTCACCGGCAGGGCCCAGAGGGAGCTTACCTTTGTCAAAGAGCGAAATTCCTGGGTAATGGCACAAAACGCGTCGTACGCATCCCCAGGCTCGGTCAGGTGTCGGTGCGAGAAATTGTTCACTAGCATGCGGAGCGTATCCCAGGCGACATTGACGTTGTCGTTCCAAGCATTCTCACGCTCTGCGTCGCTCAGGAAGCGCGTGGTGTCATCCCAGATACGGTTTGTGGGCCGCGCGAGACTGGTCTCTAGGAAGATGTCCTCCGCCCAGCTGGTTGTCCGGCAGTTCCACGAAACCTGAGATGGGGTGACGATCAAGACACGGCGCGAGACAACCTTTTCTTGTAGGGTCCATCCACGTGTTGACCATACAGTACCTTCGAGGCAAGACTCGGCACCATTTAGCCGGACAGTTGGTGACGTGATGATTTGCATTCCAAGCGGCTGATCTGCTGTACCCTCCCGGACTTTGATGATATGCTGTTGGATGACACGAGGCTCTCGAATGCCAGGTAGGCCCGCCTCAGCATCCCGCCCACAGGCAGCGAGTATAGTAAGCTCAGCGCATTTATAGATGTAGCTCATGAACGCTAAATGGCTAATCTTATCGGGCGTGTCATCCTGGAGGATGCAAAGAGCGTCCACCCAAAGGTACTGGACGCCAAGGGACTCTGTCAAGGAGAGAGAGTCTTCGGTAGTCTTAGAGACTTTGCCGGCTAAGGAGCCCGGGGCGCCGAGCATCATCATGTTCTCGCGGCGGATGGATAGCCTTTGTCCCATGCCCCAAACGTAGCTCAACGCCACGTATCGAAGCTCTGCAACATCGATATTAGCGAATCGCACGACCGCCTTAGTCTTTACATCAATCAGCCGGAAGACGTTGACTTTTCTGGGGCGCAAATTAGTTAAGCAGGCCTGCCGTACATAGCATAAAAGAGACAATTATTAGCGTTTGATGGCATAAGCCTCTGGCGACGATGGGGCACGATTCTCTTACCTGGACTTGACTTTTGCCGCACAACGAGACCCATGATTAATCTTACACTCTCTCATCCACGCTCGAAGCAAATCTATCGGCACCATAGGCGATGTCGGACGCCCGCAAAATAGAAGGGAATCATCCGCGACGTGGCTGTCGTCGAATGGTACCGCAGTTTTTCTCGCGTGTCCTGGATCATAGGCCTGGATCCACCAAGCTACAGTCTTAGTTGACTTCAGGTTCAATTTGAAATCGTTCGATGGCTGCGTCGTAAAGTGGATAGACAAGTTGCTAAGGCTAAAAGAAACGTCCTCCGCTCTCTCGCTTGCCATCTGGTGGATCAACTCCTGGGACAGCTCTGCACCGGCTAGGGCTTGAAACCCGCCACTCCACTTGCAGATGACCTTGCAAACGGTTTCTGAGGTCAAGACATTGTCAGATAAGCCGCTAATCTTCTCTGCCAAGTCGGCTACCGCTATGCAGAGCGGACACTCGCTGGCGGATGCCCGTACTCGTGCCAGGGAGCCAAGTGTCCAACTAGGATACGGCTCCTTGTCAGGCTCGTGGCAGAAGGGCTTCGAGCCAGTGACATTGTGACCCGAGGAGAGGAGGCGCAACTGGCCGGCTGTGGGGACTTGGATATAGTCAAAATCGATGGTGGAGCAGAACTGACAGAGGCTCGATCGCATCATGAGTGACTGAAACCCTGGGCTATCGGGAAAGAATTGCGTTGCATGTGTCTAGGGCGAGTTTATTTCATCAGGCAGAAAGGGGTGACTAGCTCGACAAGCTGGCCCAATTTTCACCAATCAGAGGCCCCTCACCCTTTTCAGCGAACAGAGGGGTTAGTCGGTGCACGTGACACGTATCAGTTTACATACCTAAGCTCTTGTTCTCTCACATCCTCGTTCGTTTTGTAGTTTTATATTCTCAAATATTTGTTTTAGCCCTTAGTATTATAACTATCTCGACCTGTTACCGGCTTTAAAGTGTGTTGCTTATTTGCAATTCCGTTTTGGGGTTCTCAACAACCGATACAATCGATTCCTTTGACAAATGGGGATCCAAAATCAGCTCCGGTAAGAACCCTGCGAGGGAGCAGAAACGAGTTCCTGAGCAAATTTCAGTAAGGGAAACTATAGCCAGAGTACACAGGAGTCCAAAATGGGCTCGATATTATAGTGCACAAGCTGACTCAGGGCGTGCTCAGGATGCCCGGCACGCTCAGGCTCTGCTCCGGCATGCTCACCCTCAGCTCAGGTATGCTCACCCTTAACTCAGGTTAAAGCGGCAGTTGCTCACGTCCGCAGACTAAAACGGAACCAGCGAAAGGGAAAATTAATCCTGAGTATATGGGTATTCCCACCTCGCAGCAACAGTTGTAGACCAAACCAAAGAAGAAGAGTACTGAAAAGGAGGGTATGAAGTAGGAGGATATGAAGTGAAGTAACGTCGTAGCAGAAGATAGTATCAAACACGCCGCTCAAGCAATTAAAAATCATAAAATTCATTCCGAAAATGAACGTTGCCGGGAGGAGCGATTTGTCCCCTGCCGATCACGTGACCAGCACGTGCCACGCGCGAATAGCTATATTGCTCACTGCCATAGCCCATTTGGGAATGGCCATATATTCCCCACTGGCATAGCTTATTTGGAGAATAGCCATATTCCCCACTGGCAATAAAGATTAATAGTAAAGGAAGTAAGAAAATTACTTAATAGGTAATTAATTAGCAAGTGTGACGGCTGGCGTAAGGGCATGATCTGCCAAGGACAGGATATCGGAAACAGGCACAAAACGAAGCTAAGCCGGAATTGCTTAGACGGAATAATACTAAAGGTCGAGGCATTCTCCCTACTTTATTTTATAGCTTAGTATTTTCCAATATATGAGATTCTTTAAACTTTGAGCCTTCGACCATTATATTAATCCCGCCGTTACATAATACTAAGCTTACTCGACTCGGCCTATAGAGGCGATATAATACTACCGGTAAAGGACCCGTATTTATCCTTGGAAAGCAAAGATAGAATACCGCTTTTAATATTCGACGACCTTCTCGAACTATAAAGAACTAGAGAGCTTAACTAGAAGCATAATATCCTCTATAACCTAGTTAATTTCGGAGCCTGATCCTTAACTAGAGCAGATGATATTTCCCTTCTAGTAGTCAGTCCTCTACTAATATAAAAGAAGAAAGATATTATCTTCTATAACCTAGTTAACCTCGGAGCCTAACTCTTAACTAGAGCAGATAATATTTCCTTAATACTAATAAGAGTAAAAGAACTAGCCTCCTCTCCTGGTATAGGAAAAATTAGTAATAGTCTACTAATTTAAAATAAGAAAAGATAATAGTTAGTTTTAGTCTACCGACTTAAAACTAGACAAGATAATAATCGGTTATAGTTTACTAATATTAAATAAGAAGAACTTATTTAGTACTTATTTTTATAACTAATACTCTTTCTAAAGCTACTATAAATAGCCCGGAACCAAGTATTACTATTATAGGTATATTAGATAAGAGGCCCTAGTATAATAAAATAAAAAAGCCAGATTTTAATATTATAAACTTATATTACTAGGAAAGCTATTATAATACTATTCCGGAAAAAGATATTAAGAAATAGCTAGCTAATTTAGAACTCAAAATTAGTATAAATACTCTAAAAATAAATAAGGCCTAATAGAGAATATTTATATAGGATAACCTTATTAATAAATACTATCTTATTACTAATAAATAAGCGGAATATTACTAGAAATTCTATTTATATATTAACTAACTTATTAAGAAAGTTAATAAGCTAAAGGTAATTACTAGTTAATTTTATATAAGAAAAAGACTAGTATAAAAAGAAGTAATAAAGTAAAGATTTAAATAAGTAGATATTTAGGAATACTATAGATTTCTATTAAGAGAACTATTTAGGAACTAATACTAAGGCTCCTTTTTACTTTTAGTCTATAGTAATTAATTATAGCTTATTAGAATTAAGAATTCTATCCTATTTATAAATAAGAATAATTACTAGATTAATAATTAGATATTTAATATAAGAAATAAACTAATATAGAACTTCTCTAAATTTAATAGTAAATTACTAAAAATTATTTATATAATATAACTAGTTACTAGAAACACCCGTAACTTTATTTATAATTAACTAGAATCTAGATTAGTTAGATAGATTTTAACTATTAAATAAATCTTTAAGATCCTTTAGTAAGCTTATAGTAAAAGTAAAGAAATAAAATACTAGAAAGTAAAAGAGATATACTAGTACCTGAAATAAAAAAATAAGCTATTTCTAGTATTCTAGATAAAGTTTATTTACTTAATAATAAAGTTAAGGAAGTTACTAAATAACTAATATAATAATTTAATAGATAAAATAAATCTCGAGCTACTTAAGAGCTTAGGTAATAAGAAGTTTAATATTTCCAGGGACCTTACTAAATAATATATAAAATAAGAAAATAGGCTTCTTTTAATTAAAAATTAGTAATTCTAGAAGAAATAACTAATAGAAATTACTTGCTATTAAATACTATTTCGGGCTAGAAAGCCTATCGGGATCTAAGAAGCTATAGTAACCCTATATCTAATAAATTAACCTTAGTAGCTAGTATTCTTATAGCTAAAGAAAGCAGTTTACTAAGAATTTGAGAAAAGACTAGACCGGCTAGAAGGTCTTTATTATTATAGCTATAAAAAGCCTAGATATATAAAAAGTATTTATCCTAATTTTAATAAGGTTATATTTATTAAAAAGAATTATTTAGAGAAAACTAATAATTTAGAAATAAATAATAAGAATACTAGCTCTTATCTATTATCTAATAAGAAATATAATATTAATAAGTTAGGAAAAGTCTAGCTCTAGATATAGAAGTAAATCTTCTAGAATAAGAACTTTACTAAAAGCCTATAAATCTTACTTAGCTAATTAGTAGGAACTAGTTCCTTATTAATTATTAAATATATTAGAAAGGCAAAACCATAACTTTCTAATACTTAGTAAATACTAAAGTAAATATATATATTCTAATTAACTAAAAGTATATTTGCTTCTTAATAAAAGTACTATAAATACTCTTATATAAACTCAAAACCCCTATCTCCTTACGAGATTTTAATAAATAACCTAGTAAAGCTATTTAATATCTAGCTATTATAGATCTAGCTATTAATTAGTACTCCCAAACTTAATAATACCTGCTTACTACTAATCTTAGCTCTTATAATATAATTCTGGGAAGGAAATAGCTAGTAAAGTATAATATCCTACTAGACTATTAACGGAATTAACTTTATTAGCTAAAGAACTATAAGATAAATTAGCCGGATTTTATTTAGAAAATCCGATATTTTAATAAGAAATATTAAAAAAGTAATTACTCTAAAGATATTCTAACTAGGATCTTAAAAGAAACTAGTAAAATTAGATCCGAAAAGCAAAAAAATATATTTCTTATTTTTCTATAAGATCTTCTTATAAGAAAAGCCAAATACCAGGTAAGAAAAAAAGAGCTAAATCTTAATACTCTCGAAATAGTCGAGCTATTAGACTATTTCTACTATTTTATTAGAATAGCTACTTTCTAATTAAGTACTAAAGACCCCGGTAACTTGGTTAGATTAGTTATTATTAATAAGATTAATTATATATTTAAGAAATAGGGTTATAAACTAAAGAGATATTTATTACTATTTATAGTAAATAGATAACTAATATTATAGCCCGCCAGATACTATATTTAAACTAGTAACCTAATATATTTCCTAGATATAGACGAATCTAATACCTTTAGTAATATATTATCTTTTAATCCTAAAGAATTTTAAGAGCTCCGGATATTTCTTCTTATATAGCTATATAATATAGCTAGAGTATTTTTTAAAAAAGTAGTAAATAAGCTTCCCTAGTCTTAATTCTTTAACTATAAGCTCCGTTTTAATAGATTAGATCCCTTAATAAAGACGGCCTATCTCTATAAGATAAGCTCTAGTAAACTCGAAAAAATAAAAAAGTATCTTATTAAGAACCTAAAAAAGAATTTTATTAAATTATTTAAATTTCTTTTCTTATTACTAGTCTTATTTATTAAAAAGAAAAATAGTAGCCTATAATTTTATATTAACTATTAATAACTAAATACTATAATAAAGAAGAACTATTATCTTATTAGTATTTACTAAATTAGATATTTAATATACTTTTAACCGAATTTATATAGAACTAGTTTCTATAATATAAGTAGCTTTTAGAATAAGATATAGATCTTTTAAATTAGTAGTTCTATTATTTGGATTCTATAATAGTCTAGTAACCTTCTAGTAATATATTAATATTATTCTAATAAACTATTTAAATAACTTTTATTTAGCCTATATTAATAATATACTAATCTTTTTTAAGAATAAAAAGAAGTATTAATAATATATTAGAATAGTTCTATAGAAGCTTTAGGATACCGGATTATAAGTTAATATCCGTAAATATAAATTTGAAGTTTCTAAGATAATATTCTTAGGATTTATTATCTCGGATTAGGATATATAAGTAAATCCTACTAAAACTTCTATTATCCGAAACTAGTATTAACTTATAATAAAAAGAGAAATATAGTTGTTTTTGGATTTCTATAACTTTTACTATAAGTTTATTCAAGCCTATAAATATATTTCCTATTCCCTAAACCGTCTAATTAA